AGAATGATCACAGATTAGAAAACATTGGACAGCTAGCTGTGCTATCCTGGCCTGGATCGTAATGCTAAACTAACCCTTAAGAGGCCATTAGTGGAAAAATTGCTACCACACAGTTACAGCTTATCATTAAGAATAGAACGCAATGATCCTAGCTTTGGTAAAAGTACCAAAGCTGCATAAGATGTTGCCATTAGAGACTGCATGAAAAGGATGTAGGAGAACTTTGCACTGGCCTTGCACTTCTTATGTAAATCTGAAACCTCCACAAAATGTCCCAACTGATGAGCTATTAAAATATTTAAAGCTTAACTCCAGCGGGGTGTAGCAGTGTAAGCTCCTCATCCCCAACCTTGGGAAGCTTAGATAGGGTCATGAGCCCGAGGGAAAAAAAAAGTCCGTCCTGTGCACCTGTACAGCCAACCCACATCAGAAGGAACTGGGCAGCTACCTCCCCTGCATGGCCCCCAAACACATGCTACTATCACTGCTCTTGTCTTCCTGCCAGAGACTGTTAAGACCCTGTTGCTGAAGATACCATCCACTGTGGTCACAGGCCTGAGAGATCAAACTGGAACAGCGGCTGCTTCCTTCCTGCTGGCTAGCTTTTCAGTGCCTGGGGGTGCTGCTGCAGGCTTCTTCTTCTTCTTTTCTTTTTTTTTTTAAGATTTATTTATTTATTACATAAACAGTATTCTGTCTACATGCCAGAAGAGGGCACCAGATTGAATTGTAGATGGTTGTGAGCACCCATGTGGTTGCTGGGAATTGAACTCAGGACCTCTGGAAGAGCAGTCAGTGCTCTTAACTACTGAGCCATCTCTCCAGGCTTCTGAGGGAGGAAAGCTATCTTATGTAGCTGTAAACACTAAGAGTTACAGTAGCAGCTGACGGGGCAGATGTGTCCCCTGGTGCAGGAGCGGCATGGAAGTTTTGGGGGTAACCGTTTCTAACTGCAGTCAAGGCATGCTCCAGAGAATGGAACTGCACCCCTGTTGAGAGCTGGCTGGGCAGGGAGATCACAGTACCTAAAGGAACCCACTGCTATCATCTTGCTGAGTGGACATGGGCAAACCACTTCCAAATGCCCATGTTTGTACAGAATCAGTGCTGCTCTTCATCCTCATCAAAGAAGCTTTATTGCAATAGACAGCAGTCATAGATTCCTAACTGGTCAGCGTGCTGAAGTAAAGGCTGGTGGAGGGCTCGGCCCCAAGTGGCTGATGTCTATCACCCCATACTAGGCTCAAGGAACACTGCACTAGAGACTGAAAGAAGACCTAGAGGATGGGATGTGTTACAAAATGTTTCTTGACATGACATTGCTGTTGCACTAATGCACTTACTGCAGGCGTGGTTGCCCACACAAGACAAGATTGAGCCCTGTCAGCATCCCATCATGAGCCCCGCCCCCCCCCGAGGGACTTCTGACAGTTAATGGTGACTGGGGGAAGGGATTTCACTCTTCCGTGGTCTAGCCTCTGGTAAACAACCTCCAGCGCATGGCCATGCCAGCAACCCTAATTAAACTCAGTGTAGCACACACAGAGACAATGGGAAGATGACTTGGGGGAAAGTTTTCAACGGGGGGGGGGATGAGAGTAATAGCAGGTGAAAAAAGACTAACATTCATTATACACAGCAGGACTGTCAAAGAATTAAAAGAAGTTGCATCCCTGCAGCACAACCTGCAGGCAGCTTGGTCAGGAGGAGAGCGCCTTCCTTCCCCAGCGCTTACCACTTACATAACACTGGGGAAAAGCTTTATTAAAGGCGCACGTTTCAGGAGCATCCTCAGGTTTCAACTTCCTGAACCTTTCCGGTTTCATTTACCTCGTTGGTTTGCATGAGCTTCCCTCCAGGATGGAGTCAGAGGAAATGGTATTGTCCTCCGATCATAGGGCCTCGTTTTCACTATTACCTGAACTGGTCACAAAAATCTCACTGCATTGTGTTGTCTGTCTGGGACAGGATGTCATTGTATAGCCATAGCTGGCCTGGAACTCACCGTGTAGACCAGGCTGGCCTTGAACTCAGAGATCCACCTGCCCAAATACTGAGATGAAAGGTGTGCGCCACCACACCAGTCAAATCTCACTAGTTTTAAAGGGAGGCTCATTTTTCTACTGAAAATCAAAGTCACATAGCTGGAGGCAATACACATGCCGGTAACACTAGTACTTGGGAAACTGAAGCAGTAGATCAAGACATTCAGGCCACCCTGGGTTACATTGTCAGGAAAAAAAAGAAAAAGAAAGAAAAAAAGATCAGTATGATCGTAGCAAAATACAAATTGCTGATTTCCCATTCAACAATATCAAGAATGTATTATGAAAGTGGTTCAAAACTTAAAAGGTCGAGCAGGGCGTTGGTGGTGCACGAGGCAGGCGGATCTCTGTGAGTTTGAGGCCAGCCTGGTCTACAGATGGAGTTCCAGGACCCTCCAAAACAGTACAGAGAAACCCTGCCTGGGGAGCAAATAAACAAACAAACAAATAAATAAATGAAACTTAAAGGTCTTGTTATCAGCCAGAATAGTTTCGTAAGTTGTATTGTCTATAAGATCTGTAAACAGGTGAGGTTCATGATCCATGCTTCCGCCGGGGACCATGTTGGCGTCTGTAGTCTGTTCTACTGCTGGATGTCATATTTATGTCTGTGGTCCTTGTTGCCACTGGGCACCATGTTGATGCCTGTGGTCTGTGCTGTCTGCAGAAACCATGTGGAAGTCCATAATCCAGGCTGCTCCCCGCTGTTATGGGCAAGGAAGCTCTTTGGCAGTGATGAAGACTGCAGACTCCTAACTGAGAGACACTGAAGGGTTCTGTGACAACCTCCCCACACCCCTGCCTCACACCCTTGAAGAGAAACAACCTAGACAGGAAGCCATTGAAGAGAGCCCTTAAAAATTATAATAGGGAAGTTGAAGTGTAGCTCTTCACAGTTGATGGCTTCTGGCGGCGGTGGGGTGGGGGAGGACTCAGCCATCTTTAAGGGACTGGTCACTGGGGACGAATATAGGCAACACAAATTGGACTTGGTGTAATTTTTTTTCTTTTTTTTTTCCCGGAGTGGGGGAGGGCACAAACTTGGGGGTGGAATTGGGAGGGCTGGGAAGCAAGCGTGATGGGGTGCATTTGTGTGGAATTCCCAAATAATCAACAAAAGTATTATGTTGGGGAAAAAAATTAAAAACATAGTGTTTCCAATTTAAAAAACCTGGCATTATGCCCCACGGAGTTGCCTGCTGCCCTTAGCGGTCAAAGGCCCTGGGTGCTCAAGCTGCCTCCTGGGTGAGAAGTACTGCTCCCAGGAGAGGCTCCCCCTCCACTTTGAACACTTCATCTCTCAGCGCATTCCTGGTTGGTAATTCCTCCTTTGACTTGTGATTTAAATACTTTATTCAACACTTCCCAGTTGGGTTAAGAGCAGCTGGAGAGCAAACACGCTGGGCAAGTGCTCTACCACTGAGCCACCCCACAGTCCCTTATGTATCTCTTGACAAGCCTGTAGCAGCTTCCAGGGCAGGGGTCATGTCTGGATAGCTCCCTGGTTCATGGCAGTCCCCTAAGACTGGTTCCACTGCCAGAGGCCCCATAGACTGCCCCAGCCCCACAACTGACAGTAGTACATGCACTGGCTTTTTTGGAGCCCATTCCCTCTGGAGGGACACCTGGCTCAGTCCTGCCCCAAATGCTGTGACAGACTTTGATGATTCCCCATGGGAGGCCTCACCCTCTCTGAGGAGTGGATGGGGGGTGGGAGGGGGTGAAGAAGGTGGGGGGGGGGAGTGGGCGGGCAGGAGGGAGGGAGAACTAGGATTGGTATGTAAAATGAGATTGTTTTTAATTTAAACTTTAAAATTAATTTAAAAAGACAATGAATAAAAATAGCCACTACATCCTATTTCAGGGTTATACTGGTATAGTATAAAATTATATTAAGGAGCAAGAGATCTTAATTTGGTTCACAAAATAAATGTTATTAGGCACATTTGAAATAGTTTACTCTCTAAATTATTAGTCACTACCCTAAGAATGACTACATTCTTCAAACCACATAGAACCCCACCTGTTGTAAATCGAGTCTTTACAAAGAAATAGTTATTTCTTTCTCTTCACCTTCCTCCACCAACAGGATGAAAGGATTAGGAAAAGAAAAGGGAAATGAACGAGATGGCAGCCATCTGCCATTCCCACTTCAGCTGTCAGTAGCGGCTGAGTCACAGAAGCAGAACTCACCAGACTAAGAATCACATCACCCAGGATAACACTCAGCAGTTCCCAGAAAGGGCACTGAGGGCTCCTTAAGTCTTCCAGTTTAGGACAAGGGAATGGGGACTAGAGAGACGCTTGCAGAGGGCACAGGCTCCGTTCACATGGTGGCTCACAGCCATCTGCAACTCAGGTCCCGAGGATTTGATGCCCTCTTCTGGCCTCCAAGGGCACTGCACTCATGTGGCACAGATGTACATGCCAGGAAGACATCCACACACATACACATAAAACCAAAATAAAGAAATCCTAATAGAGAAATGGAAAGAGCCCAGACACTGAAAGACTTGTCCCACCCTCGGGCCGAAAGCCTGATTCCTGTCTTGACAGCACCAGTTACCTGACATGACTATGTGTCACTTTCTGCCGAGTGGTGGTAATGCACTCAGGAGGCAGAGGCAGAGAGAGACAGGTGGATTTCCATGAGTTCGAGGTTAGCCTGGTCTACAGAGTGAGTTCCAGGACAGGCAGGACTATTTCACAGAGAAAATCTGTCTCGAAAACAAAACAAAAATCACTCTCTAAGTTTGGAACAAAAGCCACGTGTGTGACTATTCCAAATTTCCATTTTGAAGTCTGCAGATCTGCTAGAAGCAAAACATTACAAACTCACAAATTTACAACATCACCTCATATAATGCCATCTGGCATCATAAGAACTAAATAGCTGTGATGCTTTGAATGACTTGGTGATTAACTCTACACATTATTTTCCTTCCCATTTTACAGTCAAGAAGAATGAAGTTGAAAGTCTCATACGCCTTTACTATAGCTTCGTGGAGAAACCCAGTGGAAAGCTCACTAATGCCAGGATGGATTGTAACACATTTCGCGGGATCCTGCACAACATATTTGGAATGACTGATGATATGCTGATGGATAGGGGTAAGGAGTCACAACAAACTGGAAACTGAACCCATCTGCGTGTCCTTTTCACAAGACTGGACTTGCTCTCAGTGCCAAACCAGAAAGCAGTAACTGTGGTAGGAGAGGGCTGCGAACAGTACCTGGGGGTGGGGGTGGGGGCTGAGGATGGTTCTTTATACAAACCCACTCAGAATTTTGTAGCTCGGAACAGGAAAGTTTTGAGAAATCACCACCCTGAACTAAAGAGTCTAGCAGCATTTTAAAAGGATAAACAACTAAGGGCCTTTAACCATGAAAGCCCACGCCACCATGTGTAAATCATTAATTGGCTTTTTTTTCCTTCATAGAAAAAATAATGACTCCTTATACTGGAAATATTTAGGGTCACAGGTCTGAAACAGGTATATCCAGTTAAGTTCTGTAGTAAATCATTAAAGCATACATTTTGGTAAGATTTGACACATACATACCTATAAAGCCATTTGGCACAAATCAAGTCATCAATATATCCCTCACCTCCAAAGAACAAATAACATTTGAATGTTTTTCTATAGGATAATAAAGTTTTATTGGTAAGTTTAACAACTGGACCAGAAAGATGGTTCAGCAGACAAACCTAAAGTGAAAGACAGCCAGGTCCACAAGGCTTTGACCTCCACACAAGGGCCACTCCCCCACATGAGAGAGAAGAGAGAGGAGAGAGAGACAGAGACAGAGAGAGGTGTGTGTGGAAGGGAGAGAAAAGATTAGTATATAAGAACTTAAAAATAGCCAGGCGTTGGTGACGCATGCCTTTAATCCCAGCACTCGAGAGGCAGAGGCAGGTGGATCTCTGTGAGTTCGAGGCCAGCCTGGTCTACAGAGCAAATTCCAGGACAGCCTCTAAAACAATACAGAGAAACCCTGTCTCAAAAAACCAAAAAAAAAAAAAAAAAAGCCGGGCGTTGGTGGCGCACGCCTTTAATCCCAGCACTCGGGAGGCAGAGGCAGGCGGATCTCTGTGAGTTCGAGGCCAGCCTGGTCTACAAAGTGAGTTCCAGGACAGCCTCCAAAGCTACAGAGAAACCCTGTCTCGAAAAACCAAAAAAAAAAAAAAAAAAAAAAAAAAAACTTAAAAATAATGTTTATCCCCCGGTTAAGTACTGAGCTGAAAGCTCAAGAAAGCCAGTAACAGAGAGGGAGGACTGATGATCAAAGGGATTAAGACTGGGCTGGTTTAACCCCCAGAAACAGCTGACCAGACAAAGGTTAACTCTTGAATCCCAGGCATCAGCCTGGGAATCCAGCATGGGACTGATCAAGACCCCCTGAATCTGGGTGTCAGTGAGGAGGCCTAGGTAATCTATTGAGCCTTGGGCAGCAGATCAGTACCCATCCCAAGTATACACACGGACTTTGGACTCCCATAGAACAATGTGAGGTGCACTCTCACCCTGAACTCTTGGGGAAGGGTCTAGGCCCTGCCCTATATGAAATGACAGACTATGGACACCCCCATGGAGGGCCTCACCCTCCCTGGGGGAATGAGGGGATAACGGGGGGAGGGTGTTGGGGGGAGGGCACGGGAGGAGGGGAGGGAAAGGGAGAGGGACCTGGAACTGACTTGTGAAGCAACCTTGTTTCTTATCTAAATTTAAACTGGAAAATAAAATAAAAAAATAATGTTTAACATTAGTAATTTACTTTGAGAGATATTTTGGAAACTCTACAACAGATTTTCATCACTTTTTATTAGCTCTGTGGACTTTCTTGGTTTTAGCAACTACATAAGATACCAGAAATGAGTATCATCATTGCTCATTGTGTGGAATGACAGACTCTTCTGCTTTAGAAGTAAAGGGGGAAACCCACATTTCCAGTAGCTTTGATTCTTTCAAAAGATAACACCAAACATTTCTCCCTCGATTTGTAAGCGAAGTTCTTCTATCTAAACATGGGCTGGGAGTTTAAAGTAATCACAATACTCACATATTCTTTTTCCTTTTCAGTGTTCTTTGTGTTTGACAAAGACAGTGATAACCACATAAGTGTACAAGAGTGGGTTGAAGGATTGTCAGTGTTTCTCCGAGGGACTTTTGAAGAAAAGACGAATTGTAAGAATCCATTGCTGGCTTACTGCGATGCCCATCAGCTCTGCGTTAGTGTGCTGGTGCACTGAGAGTCGTCACCCACGAAGGGACAGGACAGCACTGACTCTGCAGCTAACTAGAGTGGCCACAGCTGGGAACAGGTTCAGGTTATGAACATTGCACACTCTGGTGTGACAGCAATTTTGTGAAGTCCCCTAATAACAAAACAACAAGGTCATAACTCAAAACACTTCTCAAGTACATTGGCAGGTGGTCACAGCATGGCAGGGGGCACTCTCAGCTTCTGGGTTGGTGAAAACATTCCAAAGGATTTACTTAATAGCCACAGGGTGTTAGGTCCCACTCAGAGGTGGAAAATAAATAGCCATTTAAAGGGGCCAAAGACACACCAAGGCTCTCAACCCAAAACATTCCAAACGAAGTGAAGTTCTCATCAGTCAGCCTTAGTTGATGTACTTCTTTCCAGGAATGTTTGGTCACAAGTGAATGCTTATATAATCAAAAAGATGAAACCAGTGCTCTCTAAAACAACCTTGTAAAAATGCCTCAGGACATCTCAAACAGAAACAAAGTGCCAGGAAGATGGTTTGTCAGGTGAGGGCGCTTGCCACCAGGTCTGACACCTGAGTAAAATCCCCAGAGCCCACATAGTAGGAGATCCAATCCTTGAAAGTTGTTCACTGACCTCCATGAGTATAAATACATGTGTACATATATAAATGTGGAAAAGTAAGAAAAGGAGGGCTGGAGAGATGGCTCAGTGGTTAAGAGCACTGGCTGCTCTTCCAGATGTCCTGAGTTCAATTCCTAGCACCCACAGGGTAGCTCACAACCATCTATAATGAGATGTGGCACCCTCTTCTGGTATGCAGGCAGAACACGGTATACATAATAAATAAAAAAGAAAAAGTAAGAAAAAACCCCACAAAGATGAACTGGGAGACCCAGTTGTGACTTACTAAGTCTGTAATGCTCACTTGCCACTAGGGTGGGTGTTTGGCTTACAGCCCAGGTTAAGAACAGTCACTAAGGGTCAGCTGACAAAGCTAAGGTTGCTGTGCCTGTCTAGGCTTGGCAGGAAATAGGTCTCAATGTCGGGTTGAGCTTGTGCTCCCTTGGGGTCACTTGTTGTCTTTTCACAGAAGAAAATGTGCCCTCCACTACAAGAGAATGAGAACAAAGATCAACACACCCTAACAGCCCAGACATTACTACCCATCCCTCGGGTCTTCATGACTGAGGGTTCTCCCGGGGCACTGGGAAGCTTGCTCTGCACAGCGATAGCTCTGGTCTCCCACCACCACCAAGGGTGCTGTCCATTTCCTATGTTTTACTCCTGCTGTCAGGATTCCCTGGGAAGAATCCTGGAGACAGAATAAAAGCCATTTTAGACACCAGTTTTCAGGGAAGCAAACTGCTTAACATATCCATCTGCTTAAGAGAAGACCGCAGGTCTTTGTGGTTGAGCAAACTTGAATATCTTTTGCTCTTTCACTTGATTTTAGTTTGGGGCATAGAAAAAGAAGATGCCTGGAGGACAGAGAGAATAGGAATGCTTGCTGCTTTCCCAGAAGACCCGAGTTAGATTGCTGGCACCCACACTGGGTGGCTCCCAACTGTCTAATCTGTCTAGCTCCAGGAGATTCAATTCCCTTTTCTGGCCTCTGCAGGCACCTGCACATACAGGCACACACTCACATAGACAGACACAAAAGTTCTCTAATAAAAATATTTCTAAGACAAAGGTATATTAACATTTTAGAGCAGTACTTCGTATGAGACTCTCTGACATTTAATAATTTTGTAGTTCTTTTTGCATGTACTATTTCATGAAGTAGCAGTTCCCACGCTAGTGTTTGGGAATGTAGTGCTAGGGACTGACTCCAGGGCCTCGCACGTTTTAAAGCAAGCACTCTAGCCTCCTCCTACCCCTCTTCACCTGCTCCAGCATTACAAGGTTCATACACAAGCCTGATGGAGAAGTGGAAAGCTGTGTCATGGTGTCAATTCTGCTGGGAACACTATCGCTGGTGAACAGTTGTGGCACTGAACAGAGTTACACGATTTAGTAGCATCGCACTGACGACAATGTGTTTCTCTAATCCCACTTCCTAAAATGCTTCTTACACATTTTAGGAGAAATTCATTTGGGGGAACACTATTTTCTACAGTGGGCTTGTTCTTCAACTTGTATGTTATGCTGTAGACCAGAGAAATTTAACAGATAGCCCACCCCTCTGACACTAGTTTACTCCTGTTTTGGCTGAAACATGTAACTACACCATAAACGCCAGGAAAGCTACTTCACTGCTGTACTCCAGCACGAGTAAGTCACCTGGGACAGACAGAAGGCATGGAAGTTCCTCTCCAGAGAGAGGCTTGATGACAAGGAGATGACTACTCACTGTGCACTGGGCGGGGGGAAGTCCTTTTCCAAGGGTGCAGTAAAGTGTGCACCTTATTTTTATAGTCTATGCAGAGAATACAAGCATATCACACACATTTATGTAAACACACATTGCAAGCATATAAACAAAAGTTGGTTAAAAAAATCCACCTCATTTATTGCAGCTTGATACCATTTTCAAACCCCAAATCCAGGGACTCCGAGCTGTTTGTTCTTCTAGCTCCCGAAAGATATTTAATCCTGTGGGAAGAAATTTAACCAGAAGCACTTAATTACAAAACCTCTACCATATAATGGATCAGATCAGTTATTATATATCTATCATCTTATGCTGAAGTAACTAATATTTTATTGGTTCAATTTTTGATTCCTATGCTCTATAAAGTCTGCTTTGAAGTTTATTATTTAAATGGAGATGGTTATATTTCCCGGGAAAAAATTTTTGACATGTTGAAGAACAGTCTCTCGCAGCAGTTCCCTGAAGAAGAGAACGATGAGGGGATAAGGGAGCTGGTGGACATAAGCATGAAGAAAATGGTAAGCATGGGCATGGCGGGGCACCGCACTGAAGCACATGGCTGCCCTGTCTGTGGCAGGCGGCCACGGAGCGAGCACGGCCGCGTCTCCTCCAACTTTCCTAAGCAGTTCTCCCTGCTTTTTATGGGCTCCTCTACTCTACCTAGAACAGTGCCTCACTGACAGTAGGTGCTCAGTACATATGGAATGGTTCGTGGCTACATAGGCACTATACAAAAGAAATGCTAGTCTAGTTAGTTTTCAAGTATTACTGTCAGTAAAACCTTGTCAATTTGGGGGAAGGCTAAATTCAACAGATGTAAAATTTCATGTGTCTTGTCTTCACGGTCTCCCTCTTTCAATTTATCTAAATACTAATTTCAGTGCCATAACAACAATAAAAAGTACTTGGCCCTTACAGAGTGCTTACTAGAGAGCAGCCACGCAGGCCCTCTATAGCATTCGTTCATCCTATCCTCAGAACTGTTAGCTCCATTTTGCAGATGAGCAGAGCTGAGGCAGGGAAACTGGTGCAGAATGAAAGCGATGAAGCCTTGCAGCACTGGCTCCTCAGCACAGGAACAGAATTCCCCCAAATGAGTTTCTCCTAAAATGTGTAAGAAGCATTTTAGGAAGTGGGATTAGAGAAACACATTGTCGTCAGTGCGATGCTACTAAATCGTGTAACTCTGTTCAGTGCCACAACTGTTCACCAGCGATAGTGTTCCCAGTGCACTCTTTCTCACAAGGACCCAGGGCTGTTTAGAGAGAGGCTTTGTTTTTTGTTTTTGGTTTTTTTGGTTTTTTTTTTTTTTTTTGGTTTTTTTTTTTTTTAGTTTTTACGAGACAGGGTTTCTCTGTATTGTTTCGGAGGCTATCAGTCCAGCCTGGCCTCGAACTCACAAAGATCCGCCTGCCTCTGCCTCCCGAGTGCTGGGATTAAAGGCGTGCGCCACCACTGCCCGGCCAGAGAGGCTTTATGAACCCAGGGCTGCCCCAGCAAACTCAGAGAAGAAAGAGCGAGGCGTGGTGGTGCATGCCTGCAATCCCAGCTCTTAGATATCTGAAGGACTGCAAGTTCGAGGCGAGCTGGGGCCACGCTATGAGACTGTCACATACACACGCACAGGGAGAGAGACACACAGACAGACAGAGGGGAGGGAGGGAGGGAGGGAGGGGGATGGGTGAGGAAGAAAGAGAAGGAGGGATAGACAGACACAGACAATCAGACAATGGAAGAAACAGACAGATATGGGAGAAAGGTAAGACTCGGAGAATGGGAAAGTCAGTGTCTAACACCTGCAGAGTGTACTCTTGTAGAAATACTAGCTGCCACTCAGGTTGAGTGCAGGTGCCTTCTTCAGTGACAGGATGTCCCCAGATTCCTTTCTGGAAAGGAAATACTTATGGAATATGCCTTTTTCTGATGCCCACTCAGATCAGTTTCTCCAGTTATGCACAAAAATGAAAAACCAAGGACACCTTACCCAATCCAATATGAAGCAACAGTTTAAGGCATTTGTAATGCCCTGGGCTACACAACATATATAATCTCTCCTAAGCCTTGTCCAGAACACTTTGCTGACTTACACCCTGCTTTCTACTGTGATTCGGGTAGACAGAACTCTGCAGGCTCCCCACACCTCCCTACTTACCCAGATCTCAACCCTCCACTATTCTAGCAGGAGCCTGCAGGCTACATTCCATAATCTAGGCCAGCCTGGACAACCACCATGATAACTCCCTACACTTTGCCCTAAATGGCTATTCATTCTACCCGAGGAGCTCCCAAATAAAGCCTTTTGAGAAATAGAGTAGTGATAAAAATCTGAGCCACAATATACTTATTTAATTGCAAAAGGGACAGTGGGTTAATATAGATTTCCCAATGTTTTGCATTACTCCTAGATTTCAGTGTATGTTACTGACAGGGCTGCACTGTGTATACCTGAGAGGACTTGGGTTAGAATAATAAATCTGTCTTATATTAATAAATACCCACGATTTGAGTAAATAATGCCTTCAGCAGTATGAGCTTATAGCTGTGCTTGGCAGTCTAGACAGCTAGTTTCTATGGCAAAATTAAAGACTTTGATCATTTATCATGAAATCACCTTTCTCTATAGGATCATGACAACGATGGCAAGATCTCTTTTGCCGACTTTGAAAAAGCAGTGAAAAAAGACAGGCTTTTGTTGGAGATCTTTGGGCCATGTCTGCCAGATGCAAAGGTAGTTTTTACAAATACTAAAGGCTTACAGTGGATTTTGAAATTTTTCATTAAAATTATATGACATTTAATTGTGTGTGGGGGGGTACACATGCCATGTGCTGGTTAGTTTTATGTCAACCTGACACAACCTAGAATCATCTGAAAGGAGGGAGCCTCAGCTGAGAAAATGCCAACGTAAGATCTGCTGTAAGGCACTTTCTTCATTAGTGATTGATGAGGGAGGCCCAGACCATTGTAGCAGTTGTCACCCCTACAACATATGCAATCACCTCTCCCGCATGTAGAACCTAACCCTCGGTGGCAGTTTCCTGCAGCGTCATCTGAGAGCACGCCATGGCAACTGAAGTCAGCCTTACTCTTACAACACAGTCAGATACAACCACTGAAGCAGGCCTTAGGGACAAGAACTGAGATGCATATGCATGCAGCTCACAGTGCAGGGTGTGCTTCGCGGTTTATTTCCCCAGAGAAGAAGACAGAAACAGTCTGTACAAAACTACACGGTCCACTGACAGAAGAAAAAGTGCAGATATGCTGACAGGGTAGAAATCTAGAATTTCTAAAATTGATTAGTTTCTAGCTCACCACAGTTCACGTAAATTACTCTTACAAGTTAGAACAGCATGTGGATTTCTTTTCTTTCTTTCTTTCTTTTTTTTTTTCGAGACAGGGTTTCTCTGTGCAGCTTTGCAGACCAGGTTGGCCTCAAACTCACAGGGATTGGCCTGCCTCTGCCTCCCGAGTACAGGGAAAAAAGGTGTGCGCCACCACCGCCCAGCCTAGCATGTAGATTTCTTTATATATATATTTTATTTTAAAATTTAAATTAGAAACAAGATTGCTTCACATGTCAGTTCCAGGTCCCTCTCCGTTTCCCTCCCCTCCTCCCGTGCCCTCCCACCAACCCACCCAATATCCCCTCATTTCCCCAGGGAGGGTGAGGCCCTCCATGGGGGTGTCCACAGTCTGTCATTTCATCCAGGGCAGGGCCTAGACCCTCCCCCAAGAGTTCATCACATTGTTGGATGGGAGTCCGAAGTCCATTGGTATACCTGGGATAAATACTGATTGCATGTAGATTTCTAATACCAACTCTATTCTAACATTTTATTGCATTTTTCCTTTACAGAATTGCCTTCATTTTGAAGCCCTGGTATTCAGAAACAACATGACTACTAGCTTTTGAACACAAGTTGCTCAATACCTGAATTAAAAGTCAGATCCTGACTGCCTTTATTTGCACTATAGGTTTTTATAATTGTTTCAAGCAATTTAAATATTGTAATATAAGAATTAATACAAGCCATGTGGTGGTGGCATACAACTTTAATCCCAGCACTTGGGAGGCAGAGGCAGGTAAATCTCTGTGAGTTTGAGGACAGCCTGGTCTAAAGGGTGAGTTCCAGGACAACCAGGGCTACACAAAGAAATCCTGTCTCAAAAAACTAAAAAGAATACAGTGTGAAAAGAACAGTTTCTTCCCCATTGAGTGTAGATCCAAAAAAAGATTAAAAACATTTGCAACAGTTTAAAAGAAATAAAAAAAGTTTACTTTAAAACGCTAGCAGTAAGATATCTTAAAGAATTAAAATGGGCTAAACATTAAAAAAAAAAAAAAGATCTCTCCAGAAAATATCAATTTAGCTTGGTGTGGTGGCACATACCTTTAATCCCAACACCCAGGTGGCAAAGGTCCAGGGCCAGCCAGAGCTACCCAATGTGACACTGGCTCAAAGGGAAAAAGAGAGAAAAGACAAGACTAACTCACTGGCAAGCTATATTCTTCTTCTTTGTTTCTGTGGGTGACTTGTATGCACGTCTTCCGATTTGCTCTCTGGAGGCTCTGGTACAGATGAAATCACCTAGATTAAAAAGAAAAGAAGTCACTTAGTAGTAGACAACCACAGAGAGTAAAAGCTGGGACAGAAATGAGTACATGTAGACCTAAAGAACAATACAAAACCAACCAAATAAGGATTCATTTCCTTACAAATGTACAATTAACAAATGAAGAGAAGGAGGGAAGGGAAAGGGAGAAGGTACGAGCACACCAAAACCAACCAATGAGTCAAACAAAAAGACCAAGAAGATTCTAGTAAAATTCCGAGAATCATCTGGGAATTCCTTGAAAACATATTTTAAAAACCTAGAAAATCTAGATGAAATGGATAAATTCTTAGACAATATATTGATGGACCAGCTTGACCCATCTTAACAATAGAAGCCATCTTGTTACAAGGTCAAAGTAAGTTCAGTCCTGTTTTCTGTAAAACTTGGATATGACCATGTCTTGACCCATTTCCTGGAATTTGAAATGTTTCATACCCTATACCCTGAGATGTTCTGGTAAATACTCTTGATGCGTTCTACCAAATTCCTACATAACCAAAATTGCTCTGGAAACTCTCAGGCCGTGACAGCCCCTCACTCACAGTTCCTGAGCTGTCTGAACCCCGCTCTCTCCTGGGCTCAGTGCTGTTCTCTCAAGCCCTGCTTCAGGGAGACAGCCTTGCCTGCAGAAAACAGTTTGCTAAATTCAACTAAAAGAATCTGGGTAACGGCCTTTACTCTCATTTGTTATAATTAACAATGTGACCTATTAAAATTAACACAAGAAGATATAAACATTTGAAATATATCCATGACAAGCAACAAGATTAAAGCACCAATAAAAATTCCTGAATTAACACCAATGCTTTTCCAGCTAGTTAAAAAAGCAAAAATATAAGGAACTCATTCTATGAAGTCAGCATCACCTTGATAACCAGTCATATCAGAATCAACAAACATGAAAATGATAGCCCAATTTCTCTGGTCAACACAGAAGTAAAAAAAAATTTCATTATTGCAAATTTAATTGATGAACACATTAAATCATACAATCATGACAAAGTTAGTTTCACTCCAAGATTTCCAAGAAGATCCCCACATAGGCAAATCAGCATACTGAATCAAGAAGAGAAATTACATGTATATCTCAGTAGATAATTAGAGGAATTTTTGACAAAAGTATCAAAAACACATGGGGGAAAAACATTCTCTTCAACAAAGGGTGCTTAAAAAAAACAAACTGGATTTCCACATGCAGAAAAATGAAAAATTGATCTGTATATCTTACAACACACACACACACCACACACACACACACACACACACACACACACACACACACACACAAATCAATTCAAGATGGACTGAGGCCCTTAAGTAACAAACTCTGAGACTTCTAGGGGAGAACAGGAAGAGCATTTCAAGGTATGCACACAGGCAGATTCTCTGAAATGGACTCTAATGGAACAGGTAGTAACACCAGCTGACTGAGTCATTGGAACACAAGGAACTGAAAAGCTTCAGAAGTGGGAATCTTGGTCCAAATACACAAACAAGGAGTTAATATTGAGAATCTGTAAGAATTGCTAAAGTTATAAAATTAAAAAACAAGTCATCCAATCACAATAAGTAAGCTAATGAATTGAGAGTAGATTTCAAAGGAAGAAATATATGTGGCCAATAAATATTTGAAAGTGTTCAACATTATTAGTCATCAGGGAAATGCAAGTGAACACATTAAGATGCTACCTCATCTCAAACAAATTAAAATTACATTGGAATTTTACCTCACACCAGACAGAACAGCTACAATGAAGAAAAAAACAGGATACAGATAAAACATCTTGGTTTTACTGGGTTGTTTCTGTTTTTAAGACATCTGCCTGCTGAGTCTATACATCAAATGCCTCTGGCTTTACATTTTAAAGCATTTGTATTATCTGACAAATTTAGACACAGAACTATTCAATATGAGAGATGAAAAACATTGGCAAATTATTGTAAAAAATCTTAACTCATGGGGGTGGGGGAAGGATGAATACTGAATACACACTTATTATTCCATTACCCAAAATAACTATTAATAGTAAGTCAAAAGCAGTATAAGACGATCCGCGTGTGGGGTGTGGACTTTACACTTTAAAAATGTGATCAGCCCTAACTGCGACAGCAGTGACTCTGTTTCTATGCCTCAGTTCAGAGCACCTGAGGACATACTGTGCTGGCATACACTGAAAAACACAGGCAGGCTTACATAAGAACTACATTCATATACTTCGTATTGTATGCAATTCCTCATCCTTTATCAAATAAGATTCATTAGGTGAAAACAAAACTCTCTGTAAAAGACATGAGGCCACCTTAGCCTGTCAGTATACTGCAGAAGGGGAGAGCAACTGTGAACAGGACTTTGAACCTGGGAGTTAATTATAAGAACATGCTTGAGGCCCTCCATGTAGGATTTCTATAAGGCCCATCTCCACTCCACAAAAACAAAGCTTTCATAAGCTACAACAGACGTTAACTTTCTTTTGTGTTTAGGAAATAAAAAATCATGTAAATAATGGGGAAAAGACAATCTGATTTCCAACTAGCTCAGATTTTTTAAGTTCTGAACTAAGACTCGGTCTTAGAAATCTCGACTTATGAAGTGATGGAGCCCTTACCTAACACAAACTCCTGCAGTCTGTTGCCAACAATGCTAATTCACTAAGTAATCAAAACCATTCTTTGTTTTATTGATATCTATCACAAAAGCATTAGGACTTGGATTCAATCTGCAGTAACTTTGAATTTAAGAGAAATAATTGATTATAACTGTCAATTTTGCTTCTGTTATTACTACCTATAGTGTTTTAAAAGGGGAGGGGAGGAGAGACAACATCTAGAATCCACTATCATAGTCTGACTGGCTGGAACATTTAATATTTTATACCTACGCTGACATAAAATATATCTGTTCATTGTTAAACCAAGAATTACTGTCAAGTAAAATAGATATTGACCAAATTTGTTATTTTAGAAAATAAACGTAGAAAATACATTAAAAGCAAAAAGTAAAAAATAATTATGTTTTAGTTCCTCTGAATAATTTCCTGTATAGTTGCTGACTCTACAACTAAATTATCTCAATTAAAAAACAATTACCTCACCTTTTTAAGTTTATTCCGAATTAAATTTGCCGTTGTATTCAAGGAGTCATCCTGCAGATCCACTGTGGGAATACCTGGTAACTTAGGTCCAATCATAACTTCGTGACTGCTTGTGTTTGTTTCAGGAAACGTTCCAAGTTCATGAGCACAGTCTCTCCTTCTTTTCCTCTCCTGCAGCTGTGTTGTCCTTGGCATAAATCTGCCCACTGACTCTGAGGTAGTAATCGCCTCTTGCACACTAGAGCAAGGTGGTGAATTTTTGTAAGTGTTCATCTGTAGTTTAGGGGAAAAGGCACTGTAGTTATGATGTTTCGATAGTTCATTGTGGTTCCTACTGCTACTACAGGAGTTTGATGCTCTGTCCGTATGTTCCCCAGGTAAACATTTGCTTTGGGAGGCAAAATAACATAAAGGCAATTCACAAGAATAAGGAAGAGAAGGACGTGAGTTCTCAGGAGAAGTGTTCAAAGCAGTTGTGCAAAATCCAGGCATATGTGGATGGAAATCTTGTCTAGAATCTTTTGTTCCTTTTTGTTCTGGAACCAGTTTCTTCTTTGTCATGTAATAGTCTTCAAATTTATTTTTTTAGAAATTGAGGGAAGGGAAACAAATGGTTCATTAATCATTTTGATCATTCAGAATCTTGTAGTTATAAAACCACACTTAAACCGAACAAGCTCCACTCCCAAAATTATACTGCGAGAGAGGGAACACACTGGTATGATTTAAAGGTTTTTTGAAAGGATAGGAAGGGGTACCTTGTCAAGCTTCCCCCTTCTGTGTTTTCCCTACTTATTTACTACATTTTCTTATTCCTCTATCTAGAATGTCTCACAGCTTCCATGGAGCTACCTTGTCACCCTACTCAGAAGACAATAAAATCTATTCTTCACATTTTCCACTAACTGTAATCGAGTTTCCCACACCATTGCATAGAAAGCTTTACAGTTTCAGAATAGTCTGCTATATGAATAAACCATGTTTACTTCCTACTTGTGTCAGGAGAAACTCAGTTGGGCGTGTAGACATTTGAACCAGCTGATGATCAAAAATTGGAATTTTCCCACAATGAGCAGACTTCCAGCTGGTCTGCAAATTACAATTGCTTCTTGCTGCCTTCACGTCAATCACTGGATTGCTTAGCAGGTCACACAAACAATTCATGATTTGCTTCCTGTCTACTTTCCTAATCTCTCTCACTAAAACATTGGTATTCTGGTTACCTGTAGGACTTACAGCTCCTTAAATGCATGATGGCAATTTATTTCCCCAGGTTTAAACATGTAGCCTGGCTCACCTTGCCATGCTCCCCCCTCCCCTTCTGATAACATTTGCTAAAATTCAACCATCTCTCAGATCCCATAGGAGATATTCTAGGAACCAACGCCTCTCCCTTTCTAGGCAAGACTATACAGTGCTGCACAGAACCCTGTGGTTCAAGTCACCAAAGACCATGACTGAGCAGGAACTCCACGATGACACATTCCTAGCAGTGCTCGATACACAGAGGATGTTTACAACAGACTTTTCATACCTTTGCTTTTAGTAGCTCTTGCAATGTAAGCCTTTCTTTCTTCTAATTTTTTTCTAGTTTCTTCAACTGTCTCAAATTCTGGAGCATAGCACACATGAAGTAGCCCACCAAAGAAACTTTGCTCATCCATCTTTTTCTTAGCTATCCTAAAGAGAAATAAAGAGAACTCAAAAGAGAAATACATAGATTACATGGCTTAAAACAACTATTTACTTTTACTAGTTTTGCCTTATGCGTAGGTGTATTCTGCACATGAGTACAGTTGCCTAAGGAGGCCAGAGGTGATGGATCCCCTGGAACTGGGGTTACAGGCAGTTGTGAACCACCTGACATGGGTGCTGGACCAAACTCCAAATTTGAGTCCTCTGGAACAGCAATAAGTGCTCTTACCTTCTGTGTTATCTCTCCAGCACCCAGATGCATGGCTTTTCTTTCTTCTTTCTTTTTTTTTTTCAGATAGGGTCTCACTATGAAGGCCTGGTTGTTCTGGACTATGTAAATCAGACTGGTCTTGAACTCAGAGGTCTGCCTGCCTCTACCTCCCCAAGTGCTGGGATTAAAGGTGTGTGCCACTACACCCAGAAAGTTATTTTTTATTATTTTTAATTATGTGTAAGTATGTCCTGGAGCTAGAGTTTAGAGATACCTGATCTGGTTGCTAGGAATCAAACTCAGGTCCTGTGGAGGAGCAGTACATGCTCTTAAGTGCCGATCCATCTCCCCAGCCATGGCTTTTTAATCCAGATTTACCTAAGACAAAAGCTTAACAGGTATTCCATAGATTTAAGGAGCAAAGTTTTTGTATGTGTGTTGGGGGGGCTGGGTAAGATGCTTTGTTTTGGATGACTGCACTCACACAGAAAGTACTGTCAAGATTTATCTTATTATCTATTTACTTGTATGTGTTCTGTACATGTGTGTGCATGTGCCCATAGAGAAAGACCAGAAGAGGCCACTGGATCCTGTGGGGCTGGAGTTATAAGTGGTTGTGGGCCACCTGACAAGGGTGCTTGAGAACTGAACCCCAGTTCTCTGAAAGAGTAGCAAGCTATCTTACCACTGACTGCATCAGGCTCTGCGGAGACACAAAAGCACACTAGCCATATGCCTTCCTAACCATGAAGAGTTGGCCAACTGCTGAGAAAAACACACAGCCCTGTAGTCAAATGCTTTTGTGGCGGACTACGTAGCACATAAAAGAAATATGAGGGGCTGGAGAGATGGCTTGGTGATAAGAGCACTTGCTGATCTTGCAGAAGAGCAGACTTAAATCCCAGCACCCATGTTGGGTGGCTCACAAGCCCCTGTACTCCAGCTCCAGGAAATCTGAAGCCCTTTTCCACTATGAAAACATATGAATAGCAAACATCAGAGAAAGATATGCTTTAAATCGGGCTAGTAATGAAAAAAAATGGCTAACATGAACTAGGGAGAGTGCTTGGTCGCTAAAGCACTTGCTTAAGCTCAGTGCCTAGGCTGGGATCCCTGGCATCCACATAAAAACTGGGCACTGCTGTCTATGCCTATAATCCTAGTGCTGGCAAGGGAGAGGGAGAAAGACCACTGGAACTTGACAGTCAACCAGTCTAGCTGATAAGCTCCAAATTCAGTGAGAGACCCTGTCTCAAAAAAAAAAAAAAAAAAAAAAACAGAACAGAGCGCAGTGAAGGGGCACATACCTTTAAACCTGGTGGAGTTAGAAGGAAGCTTAAATTTTAAGTTTTAAGTTCAGCCTGGTCCACATAGCTAGTTCTAGGCTAGCCAGGACTACATACTAAAACGAAGGCAGTTGGCATTGACATCTATCCTAGACAGACAGACAGACAGACAGACAGACAGACAGACACACACACACACACACACACACACACACACCTCCCCCCAAAAAAGGGTCAACACAAAAATAAAGCATTGTTGACTTCAGCCTTACTGGAATACAAGGTTTATGCCATATGTAAGTATTAAAAAGAAGTTTATTAGCATAGAACTATAACAATAAGAACTGCCCTTGCTAATATTTACTCTTAATAGGAGACATCAGTCTAAGTCCTATACATAAGTTATTTCATTTCATCCTCTGTCAGAGAACCTCAAGAAGCAAACCTTTTTGCTATATGGATTTTAAGAAAAGGAAAAGTGTGCTTAGCAGGATTAAAAAACTCCCAAGCAATGAGGACAAAGGACTGAAAATTTGCTTCGAATGTAATTCTGAATCTACCATACTAGTGGCTCAAAAACTGTAAATCACAGAAACGAGAGGATAGAAATAGAATCACACATCTGAGAGGATGGAAATAGTAGTTTTGTAAAATGAGCCTTTTAAATTTTTGAAGAAAGAGCTAGCTGACTATGTAAATCACGGTTAGGGTGCTTGACTAGCACATGTGAAGCCTGGAAGGGTAAGAAACAAACAGAAGCCAGGAGGTGGTAGTGCACACCTTTAATCCCAGAACTGGTGAGGCGGAAGTACGTGGATCGCTGAGTTTGAGGCCAGCCTGGTTCTACGGAGTGAGTTTCGGGACAGCCAGAGCTATACAGAGACCCTGTCTCGACTCCCTAAAACAAGCAAACAATCGGGAACATCTAGGGTGATGAGTGTTTGTGTGACATGGATATGTTTGGGAAAACCCTAGGGACAAAGTGGCACCAACAGCAATACAGGACATGGGTAATGCTTAATCTGTACATACCTTGCACTTTGTAATTTCACAAATTTAATGAGATAAACTTCCGTAAAATCCTCTGCTGGGTATTCATCTAGAGCGTTATACTGTTCAATCGCACCATACAGGGCAAATCGCTCAACTAATTCCTTCATGGCTCCCACGGCAGGAACTCCTTGTATTAATAAGTACTGTGACTCCAAATTGATTGTATATACCTAATAAATAAACAAAAATAAATGTACCCCACAGACAAGCCTATGGCAAATCCGTCGCTGACTTTCTGAAAAAGTGGAACTTGTTCAACCCGGTCTGCAAAACGCACACGCGGAACGGCCGCTCTGGGCTAAGAGGGAACACACTGCACTTGAGGGTACCTGACTAAACCTGTCAACAGACGCGTCTTCTACGAGCTGACTCCAGAGAAGCTCGTGGGAGCAAGCAGCCGGGGGCCCCTCACCCAGTGCCCGTCCCGTGAGAGGCACAAAGCTAAGCCCGGGCTCCCGAGGAGGGACGGCGTGATCAGAAGTGCCCCGAGAGCGGGGACGGCCTTCGGTACCCGCGCCTCCTCCACTGGCGGAGGCTCTGACAGCGCCCCGGGCACGCCTTGGCGGAGGCTGCCCCCGGGGAGCCCGTGGGGACGGGAAGCCGGCGCTCCCGGCCAGGATCGCGAGGAAGCCGCGGCCACTCTACCTTGACCGCACGAGGGCGTCGGCCCTCCCGGTATTTGGCCCGCGAGTCGCACACAGCCGTCTGGACGTGGTGGTCGAAAATGCAACCCGGCTTCCCGTCGCTGGACGCCATGCCGCCGGTAGTTAAGTCTCCGCGCCGGAACAACATCCGCTGGACGCGCTCCTCTGCGTCCAATAAGAGAGCAGAATGGGTCGAGCGCGCTTGGATTGGCCGGCCGATCGACCCTGTCGACAATCGTTTCCTGAGAGCGCCAGGATTCCATCAGCCCTGTGCCGCCTCCTAGCGTCTCGGAGGAGAGATCGGAGAGTGACCGCGGCCAGGCGGGCGGAGAGGGGGGCGGGGCCGATCGATAGTCTCGGGCTCCGACGCCCCGACCTGCGGGGGTGGGGGGGAGCAGGGGGCGGACTCTGCTCTCGGGTGGGTTTGCGGGGGGGAGTTGAACCGGGACCATGTGGAGCGGCGATCGCTCGGCGGGTGCGGGTTCTGGCGGGGCCGTCGTGACGGTGGCCTTCACGAACGCTCGGGACTGCTTCCTCCGTCTGCCGCGGCGCCTCGTGGCCCAGCTGCACCTGCTGCAGGTAAGGGGCTCGCCGGACGCCCGGAGCCACAGCCTGGACGCCGCCGAGGGCTCGTGGGACCCGTGCCTGCTGACGCCTTCCCCGCCCCGGGCATCGTCTGTCACCAAACGGGCTGCAGCACCCACACGGCGGCTAGTGCGTCCCCTGACCCTAGTCCCCCGCTCTATAGCTCGGTTAAACTCTGCTGAACGTGCTGGGACTCTGCCTGGGCATTCCGAAGCAGTCCTCACGCTAGAGACCTCTTATTATTGTCCTGCCGGCGAGGTGCCGGGGCTGCCACAGAGGCCTCGAGTGGCAGACTTTAGTTGGCTTGTGGATTGCTGAGGTTCCCAGTTGGTGCCGGAGGTTAATAAGGTGACGGCTCTCCCCGCTTAGGAGGGCTTCGAACGCCGCAAGGGTGTGCGGGGAAGGGAAGAGAAGGCGATGGAATTACTCACCCCTCACACCGTGAGAGAGGTAACCAGGATTACGTGAACCTCCGCGAGCTGTCACTGTCTGGATGCTGTCATGGTGGTGTTTCAAAGGATATCAGTGGAAATACGGCATGCAGATTTTCCTAACTAAGAACGAGAGCAAATAGGCTTTCTGGTTTGAGTGTGCTCATAGGGACGAAAATTAGAATATTTGAAATCTTCTGAAATCCTAAATGCATGCTACCGGACTACTGGCTGGTAAAAGAAATATCCAAGAATTTGAAATGACTTGAAGTAGCTCACCTTTTCTTCCTCTTGAGCTACTTCTATCTTGCTATTAAAATCCACCTATCGAAACACATCAGTTTCATCAAAATCATTCTTATTGTTAGTTTGTCTTCACCAAATAGACTCTTTTTAACTGTCTGATTTGCTTTCTTTGTGGAGGGAAGAAATCAGTCCCTGTCACCAAGTACCAGCTTGGCTAACTGCCCTTTGTCATTTTTGTTTATTTGTCTGTCTGTTGAGGCAGTGTTTCTCTGTATTACAGCCCTTGGCGGTCCTGAAACTCGCTTTGTAGACTAGCCCTGAACTCACAGAGCTCCCACCGACTCTGCCTCCCTGCCCCTCCCCCCAGTGCTGGGATTAAAGACTTGCACCACCACCGCTGTCAGGCACCCTTTGTCGTTTCTGATGGAGATGTTCGTGTACTTTCAAGTCCCAAAGTCCCCACTTGAGGAGTTCAGAAAAATGCTTCCTTAAGGAAACTAAGGGTTTGATCCTGCGGGGCGGTGGTGGTGCACGCCTTTAATCCCAGCACTCGGGAGGCAGAGGCAGGCGGATCTCTTGTGAGTTCAAGGCCGGGCTAGACCACAGCCTCCAAAACAATACAGAGAAACCCTGTCTCGTAAAAACCAAAAAAAAAAAGAAAAAAAAAAAGAGTTTGATCCTGGGGTAGTTGCTGCTGTAGACTCAGTGCTGTTTAGAATTTGGTAGTCTTGGTCTTTTTTGAAAGATTCGAAGAAGTGTTCTTGAGAATTGGTTCGAAGGTATCTTTGAAGTTTAAATGTCTTCAGCCCTGGAATAAATTGCTTTTTCTTCTGAGCCTATATCAGCAGAACAGGTCAACACCTCACCCCCATTATCAAAGGAATATTTTATGGGGAAATTGTTTAAAAGAAGATAAGTTATCCATAATTGCAATGCCTAGAAATACCAATACTAACAGTTCGGATTCTGTCTTCCACGGTTATCTCTAATCGTTATCTTTTATGGAAATGAGGAGCTATGCACACACCCACACACACAGTTTTGTGTCCTGTTTTTTGAATAGTGTTACTATGACTTTTTGTTTGCTTGTTTAGGGGTCATAATTTTAAGCAATTGGTTGGCTACCTAGTTAATGCTACCATAAACTGGCCATAATTCATATACTTGCTGACTGTGATTAACTATTGGACTCAACTTTTGGAAATTTGAATGATAGCCATTTTTAGTAACAGTATCATTGTTGCATGTGGGTCATTGTCTTCATCTCTGGTTACCTAGGATTCCCAGAGTAATTGTGTCTTAGTTAGGGCTTCTATTTCTGTGAGGAAACTGAGCAGAAGCAGGTTGGGGAGGCACAGGCTTATGCTTCCGCACTGTAGTCCATGATGGAGGGAAGCCAGGACAGGAACTCAAACAGAGCAGGAACCTGGAGGCAGGAGCTGATGCAGAAGCCGTGCAGGGGTGATGTTTACTGACTTGCTCCCTCTGGCTTGCTCAGCCGGCTTTCTTATAGAACCCAGGACCACCAGCCACCTCCCACAATGGGCTGGGGCCCTCCTATATCACTAACTAAGAAAATGTTTTGCAGGCTGGCTTTGAAGCTGGCTCTTATGGAGGGATTTTCTTAACTGAGGTTCTGTCCTCCCTCATGAATTAGCTTGTGTCAAGTTAACATAAAACTACCCGGCACAAATTGGACTAGAAGGCATAGTAGTTATTAAAGCAGGAAGGCTCTGAGTTGAGAGCTAATAGGCTGGAATATCTCACCTGAGCTGAAGCACTGGCTAAGAGCAATAGTAGGGGAGTCATGCAGCAGTGGCTTTCTGCCCTTTATCCAACCGACCTCAGCCTTTCAGAGTACAGACATTCTGGTCCCTCCGCAAGCTCACCAACCAAAAATCTTGAGAAGAGATCTGTAATAAATCTTCGGGCTACTGGATGCTCCGAGTTGAAGCCCACAGTGATAGAGCCATGAAAGGTTAACAGCGAAGGCGCCTTAGCTGCTCTCAAACAAGGAAACTGCAAGCCAGAGACCAGCTCCTTTTCACGTGGCGTTTGCCCTCGTGTTTGCCCTGGCGTCTGCCCGCACTGAGCCACACCAGCCTGTCAATGTTTCTCACTCGACTGATCTCTTCCTGCCTGTGTGGTTTTACTGGTTCTCTGCTCCCCCAAAAGCCCCCTCCTTTCACACAAATCCCTGCCTCTAACAATAGTATAATCCTCCTCCTTCATAGCGCTGTGGGTCTCTGTTGCCCCCGTTTGTATCCTTTTAGGAACTTCATAATTGTATTCATATGACATGTGTCATTTGTTACATGATGTTTGGTTTCAAGCATGTCTTCCTTTGTTCGCATGAGTCCTTAATGAAGGACTGGGTACCAAATCGATATTTAGCTCGGACAGTCTGGATCACTACGTTGGTCAACCCTTACTCCTTGCTAGGTTTGCTGTTATTAGGCAGGGTCTCAGTATGTAGCCATGGCTGGCTTGGAATTCTCTTTTTTGACCAGGCTGGCTTGAAACTCACAGAGATCCACCTGCTTCTGCCTCTTCTGTGTTAGGATTAAAGGAAGAGGTCTTGGAGAATTTTTTAAAAATGTAGATGGGTCCCTGTACGCTGTAAGATTCTTAGGATCATCATGGCCCCTATGCACTAGATATGAGTGGATGATGTCTCCCACCGTGACCCCCCAAGCCATCTCCAGACACACACGTCCTTGAGGGACAGTGACTCCTAGTTGAGAACCACTGCTTCGGTTCAATCACCTTGTGTGTTTTTTAAGCTCAGGACATGCTGTGCTTGCAACAGAAGGAGTAATACTGACTCTGAGTGCAGAAACAGGGTCTAAATCTCGTCCAGAAATTGCAATGCACAGGCTTACCTCTTCCTCCTGATAGCAAGAGACAGCCCAGCCCTTCAACCTAGGCAATCCTGACGCATACAGGTTCACCTGATACCCTGTCTCGAGAAACCAAAAAAAAAAAAAATATATATATATATATATATCACCTTAGAACAGTAGTATGCCAACTCTCACTGAGTGTGGATTTGACACTATGCAGCTAGTAACTACATTGGGCCAAATAAAATGACTGAAATGTTCTTTCTTGTTTGATAAGGTTGATTTCCCCCTCCCCCGGCCTGGGAGCATAGAGGGGATGCTCGTAGGTATTTTATATATTTCAGCATGTACTTCATATTTCCTCTTTTACTGTCTCTGGTTCTAAAGATTTCTTATGAAATAGAGGGAACTGGATTGTGATAGCAGCAACTTACGAAACCTCATAGAAAAGCCTAGGGCTCCATTACCTTTGCCCTCATAACCTAGATGGTAACCTGGGACTTTTGACTCCCAAGCCAGGCCTTTCTTTTACTTACCAAATTGTACTTAGTTGAGTGATCTTTGTAAGCAAAAACAGTTGGATCATTGTTTGGAAACTGTGAGAAAAATTATGCAAGTAAAGGCTACATGGTGACTTTTTGAATTTCTTTGAGACGGGGTTTCTCTGTTTTACTCTGGCTATCCCGGAACTCATGCTTTAGACCAGGCTGGCCTTGAACTCAGAGAGATCCGCCCACCTCTTGTATGCTAGGACTTAGGTGTGTGCCTCCACCATGCCTGACTATCAGAGTTGACTAGTGAGTATGTTTGAGTACTGCGTTGCCTCACTGAAGGCCTATACTACCATGCCCTTACTACCAGGAACTTTACAAGTCATTAAAAAACCGCATAATTGAATTAGGCCATAAGACTGTGAGCATGTCGGCTTTGTGCCCAGAATGGTCTCCAGGATTCTTTGCAGTTTGTCCTGTTAAAGGAAGCAAAGTAGTGAAATTTGGTGTAAATTAGAGTTTGGTGCTTACCATTCTAAGGTTAATGGGTTTATTTTAATTTATAAAAATGAATTTAATAACATTAAGCTTCCTGAGATAACAAGGGGATTTTTTTAAACTGAGAAGTGGTAAATGTGTGGAAATGCTTATGATGCAGTAGTAAGTGGGTAAAGCATGTTAAATCTTATCCGTAATATACAAACGAATGAATTACTGACTAAAAGGGGTTCGCAAGAAGCACACAGAATCGTTCATATTGTTGTGTTTTGTGAAGAGAGTTTTTTTCCTTCCTAGTGTCTATATTTCTCAAGATTGCTATAATGAGTATAATTTTTTTTAGAGATAGGATCTCACGACGTATCCTGGGCTGACCTTGAGTCACCGCCCTCCGGCCTCAGCCTCCCAGGTGCTACGATCACAGACATGCCCCGTCCCTGGCAGAGTACTCCTTCAACCAGAGAGGACACGGGTCTCTTAACTCTCAGCCACAAACTTACAGATTATATTATTTTCATGCCTTGCTGTTCTAATATATCTTTAGTTCATTAGCTAATTAATTAACTTTGTGTATATCTGTCTGTCCGTCACATGTGATGATACTTGAGGGGGCCAGAAGCAGACAGAGCTGGGTCTATGTAGGCACAAGAGCAGCCATGCTCTTAGCCACTGAGACATCTCTCCCTCCCCGTGTAAACCTTCCTATAACCCTATGACCTTTGTTTGTTTGTTTGTTTTTTAAGACAGTCTTACTGTGTAGCCTCTCCCGCCCCCGTGTAAATCTTCCTATAACCCTATGACCTTTATTTGTTTGTTTGTTTGTTTTGTTTTTTAAGACAGTCTTACTGTGTAGCCTTGGCTGGCCTGGAGCTTGAACTCACAGAGGTCAGCCTGCTTCCGCCTCCCAAATGCTGGAATTAAAGGCATATACTACCTTGCTCAGGCACTTCTATGACCTTTACAAGTCATTGAGAAACTGCATAATATATCATTTCAGAAAGAATGTACAAGAAGTCACTAACAGTAATTCCCCCTAGGAACGTGGGTGTCTTCACACCTTAATCTTTTTAAATTTTTCACTTTTACCATGTGTATTTATTATTTTTTAAATAAATTCATCGATCAGTAAGAGATTAAATATTCCAGCTGGTTGGAACTCTAAACTGTGTTGCTATGTATTTTTCAATTTTTATTTTAGTATATATATGTGAGCATTTTGCCTGAATGTATATCGTTTTTTTTCTTCTTTGGATTATTAATGTAAAATAAACACATACATACTGGAAGCCTAAGTTCATTCTGCTCCCTATGGTATTTTGAATTCTGAGTCACTTGAGTTAGGCCCTAAGTCTGTGAGCATATTGGCTTTGTGAGCAGCATCATCACTATTGGATGTTCAAAATAATCAGTTTTTTTTTTATTACAAATGTGAATAAAGAGTGACTATCTACAGCACGTTTTTTTGGTTGTATGTATTATAATAGTTGCTTATCTGAATCCAGGGGGAAGCACATAAAAACTTCTAAACCCCTTTTCTTTCCCACTGTTTGGATAAACAGAATCAAGCTATAGAAGTAACCTGGGATCGCCAGCCCACGTACTTGAGCTGGGTGGAAGGCAGACACTTTAACGATCAAGGTGAAGACGTGGCTGAGATTAACAGACAAGTTGGTCAGAGACTCGGACTTTCCAGCGGGGAGCAGGTAGGCACAAAGCGGGCCATGACTTCCCTTTACCGTCCTAAAGCTCAGATACTGAGGGGGAGAGGGTCCTCCCTGTTGTAACCAGGACTCTCGCTAACTCAGGCTAACTGTATTTTATTCATCCAATCTTTAACATGCCTCCTACTTGACTTTGAATTCTAGTTGCTAATTTTCCAGGCAATTTTTATGAAATATTTTCTTTTTTGGGTTACTGGATTTTATTCCTATTTCAGAACTTCATTTTAGTTTTCGTCACAATTTTATTATTTATTTTGAGTGTATGTGTGTGAGGTGGGATAGGGCAGTTAAGGGTAGTGGGGTGGGGAGGAGGTCAAAGGGCATGCTGTGGAGGTCAGAGGAAAGCCTGTAGGAATCCATTTCTTCTTTTTACCGTGTGAGTCCCAGTGATTGGACTCAGGTGGTGAGTTGTGGTGGCAGGCACCTTTCCCACTGAGCCGTCTCCCTGGCTCCGTTTGACTTTACTTCTCTCTTTCTGTGTCTCTCTCTCTCTCCCTCCCTCTCTCGTTCCTTTTCTCTCCTTTTAGAGAACTAGCAGTGTAGCTGGCGATGACCTCTGAACTCTTTGATCCTCCTGGCTCAGCCTCCCGAGTGCTGGGATCTTAAGTGTGTACCAAGACCTCTGGCTTATTTAATATTTTCTAACATAAATTCTAACCTTCCATGATCTTACTTGATTAAAAATATCACTTCAGGGGGCTGGAGAGATGGCTCAGAGGTTACGAGCACTGGCTGCTCTTCCAGACATCCCAAGTTCATTCACCACCAACCACATGGTGGCTGACAGCCATCTATAATGAGATCTGGTGCTGTCTTCTGGCATGCAGGCATACGTGCAGGCAGAACACTGTATACATTATAAATAAATAAATCTTAAAAAATATCTCTCTAACAGAGAGTTGTCTTTTCCATCTTGACCCTGAATGTGTGTTTTTTTTGTTACAGTATGTTCATCAGCTTATATTTTTAAGATTTATTTACTTATTATGAATACAACATCCTGCCTCCATGTATGTCTGCACACCAGAAGAGGGGGCCAGATCTCACTATGGATGGTTGTGAGCCAGCATGTGGTTGCTGGGAATTGAACTCAGGACCTCTGGAAGAGCAGGCTGTGCTCTTAACCTCTGAGCCATCTCTCCAGCCCCCCGTTCATCAGCTTATTAATTCTAAGAAATTTAAATAATCACTTAAAATTTGATTGGAAATAAAAATTTCATTTTTTCCTTTCTCTAAACCCAGCCTTAGAATGGATGTTGCTGTTTGTCGAGATCCGACTGCCTTTAGGATTAAGAGAAAAGGCTGGTGTATATTTCCTGTCATTCTTGCCCCCAAAGTATATCATGTGCACAGTCTTCACTGGAAAAAGCTGGGGTTGCTGTGGTGAGCACGCAGGAATGCCAGGGTCTTTAGATGTTTGCATCCTTATCATACGATGGCATGGTATTTGCATATGACCTCTGCAGGTCACCCTGTGTTCTTTAAATCACCTCCAGAGACTTCCAATACATAATTCAGTGTCAATGTTGTGTAAATAGTTGTATCATTTAGGAATTCTGCCAAGAAAAAATGTTTAACAAATGCAAGGGTTTTTTTTTCCTCCATTGTTTTCTCTCGACAGTTGGTTGCACATCATTGGTAGGAACACCAAGGCTGGCAGCCGCAAGGCCTGAGTGGCTTGCTTTTCCAGAGCTGCTTTTGTACTTTCTCAGAATCCTCAGTGGCTTGGGTATCTCTTACGAGAATTTTGGGGTCAGATGCTTCAGACCTGTGGTCATTTGCACAGCCTACCAGTTGGGCAGCCCACATCCAAAATTCTAAATCGTGAGTGGCTCAGAAATGTGAAACCCACGCTCAGAAACGTCATACTGCAGAGCATTTAAGATAAGGAATAAAGTCAAAGATGGACTCGCTATGTCCAGGGGTGACATCACAAGGAAGGTCAATTGACGAGGCCAATTGGCCCTCTACTACCAATTTCTCACAGCAGAATATGAGAGCGCCACACCTCCTTTAACTTATTCTGAGCTCATGATACTTTTATTTATGCTTGCTGCTGATAATTAAAATGGGTCATTCGAGAGAAGTCCAGAAGCCTTGCGGTAGGCTTTTGTGTAGAATCTTAATTTGTTTAATGGGTGGAGGGTGAGGGAGGGTGTGCATGTGAGCTCGCATGCCTGTGGAGGTCAGAGGTCGACATCAGCTGTTTTCCTTGACTGCTCTCTGTCTTAGAGAGATGCGATGAATCCACCCGACATGGGTGATTGCTGGGCCATGTCTCCAGCCTTTCTGCCCTAGCTATTGAAACAGGGTCTTTCACTGAACCTAGAGCTTCATAATTCACCCAGCCGGGCTGGCCAGCAAGTGTCAAGGGGCCGGCTGTGTCTGTGCTGGGATTATAGGAACCATTTCTCATGGCTGTTTTTATGTGAGTACTGTGAGTACAAGCTCAGGTCCTCAGGCTCATGTGGCAAACACTCTGCAGAGTCATCTCCCTAACCCTTAGAATCTTACATTTTTTTTGTTTGTTTTTTGAGACAGGGTTTCTCTGTATTGTTTTGGAGGCTTTCCTGGAACTCGCTCTGTAGACAAGGCTGGCCTCAAACTCACAGAGATCCACCCACCTCTGCCTCCCGAGTGCTGGGATTAAAGGCGTGCACCACCAAGGCCCGGCTTGAATCTTACATTTTTTAACAGGACAATGTCCTCAGATGTCACTGGTGCCTTGTTTGCCAACCAGTCTTCGCCCAGGATTTCCTAGCACAATACTGTAGGACAGCTCTGGGGACAGTATCAGCTTCCTAGCATGGATCCTGCTGTCTTGATTAGAACTGCCAACAGTCCTTCTTGTTTTTCGTTTTCATCTGCTCCTAAGAGGTGTGTGCCTGCTTCTCTGCAGACTCCTTTGTAGCAGTAACAGAAGACCCCCAGAGACCAGGAGCCGAGAGGCAGCTTGCTAGACTGGGTAGTAGCTGCCTCCTGGCCACACGAGGTGCCTTGAGCATCCTCAGGTCCATCCCATGCGTCAAGTGCCTTTACCTGCTGAGTCACTGCTCCAGCCCTCCTTTCTTCAGTTAAAAATTGCTTCCGAGTTTATTTTGTGGATGGGCATTTTGTCTGCATGCATGGCTGTGCACAACATTAATGCCTGATGCCTGCAGTGCCAGCAAGAGGACATTGGATCCCTTGGAACCAAAGTTACACATGTTTGTGAGCCACCATATGGGTTCTGGGAAGAGCAATAAGTAATCTTAACTACTGACCCACCTATACAGCCCTCACTTCTTTCTTAAAAAATTATTTTTATGTGTGTGGGTGGTTTGTTTGCATGGATGTCTATGTAACACATGTGTATAGGGCCAGTAGAAGCCAGAGGGGGCATCAGATGCCCTAAGAACAGAGTTTCAGATATTTGTGAGTGCTGTGCCAGGTTTGCAGAATCCCAGAGACTAACCCAAGGAATTGACACTTCTGATGCAAAAGCAAAAGGTTTCTTCTTATTGTTCAAGCTGGCTGGCTTGGATCCCCTTCCATGGCGGAGGAAATGAGATGCCAACCATCCAAAAAGAGAAGCTTTTAAAGGGAAAAGGGGGAAGGGAGTCATGAGACTGCAAGTCTCAATTCACAAGGTTCCCATGGTTACAGAGATTACTTGGCACACAAAGTTTCTATACAAAGTTATCATGAAAGGAGGGCCTTGGAGAAGGCAGTAACTGTCACCTGGTTAGGTAAAATTAATTGGCACATCTGTGGGCTAGGGGCTTACGATCAGAGCACATCCTGTGATCTAAAAGTTTTTTTTTGTTTTTGTTTTTTTTTGGTTTTTCAAGACAAGGTTTCTCTGTGGTTTGAAGGCTGTCCTGGAACTCGCTCTGTAGACCAGGCTGGCCTCGAACTCACAGAGATCCGCCTGCCTCTGCCTCCCGAGTGCTGGGATTAAAGGCGTGCGCCACCAACGCCCGGCTGATCTAAAAGTTTTAAGACCAGTAGGGCAAGAGGCTCTCTGGTTCCCAGTCTTCTAAAGGCAAGGGGGTAGGGGCAGATGTTGTCGAAGCTGCTCGTGGGTCAGTGAGGTACCACACGGGTGCTGGGAGTTGAGCCTGGGTCTTCTAGAAGAGCAGCCAGTGTTGTTAATACTGAGCTTCAGACAGTTGTGAGGTACCATGTGGGCATGGGAATTGAGCCTGCATTTTCTAGAAGAGCAGCTAGTGCTCTTAACCACTGAGCCATCTCTTGAGCTCCTCTTCTTCCTTTTTTGGGAAAATCTGACTATACTGCCAGGGATAGCCTTGAACTCAAGATTCTCCTGCCTTAGGCTCCAGAGTAGCTGGTGTTACAGCAATATGGTATCTCACCTGACTCTCACACTTCTTTCTAGGAATTGCCTTTGTTTTTGCAAACATGTTGTGCTGGGATGTTCCTTTATTCTGTCGTTCATTATGAACAGTTTTTTTCCTAAAACATTGAGTATATCAAGGTCTAAGAAGAAGTACTTACTATTTGCTACCTGAAACATGGAAGAAGGAAGAGAAAGAGAAAAATACAGAGACACACATGAGAGACAGTAAGACCAGTAAGAACTTATTTTCTAGAGATACAGAAAAATCTTCTAAAAGTGATTTTGCGTTTCTGGTTTTCCCAGGTGTTTCTCAGGCCGTGTTCCCATGTGGTGTCTTGCCAGCAAGTTGAAGTGGAGCCCCTCTCTGCAGACGACTGGGAGATACTGGTAAAGAACCAAGTGCTAGCTTACCGTCAGCTTAGACAGCTTCTAGCTTACCGTCAGTTTAGACAGCTTCTAAGCACCCGTAGATATCTCTGGGCTTCTTTATGTATTCTGAGTCAGTCTGAATTGTAAGAACGACTTGGTATAAATGTAATACGTGGCATGAGCACCACAGATGAGACGATCATGCTGTGTTTGGGGCTAATTCTAAATAAGTAGGCTTTAACTTGTCTTGACACAGAAACAAAACAGCAAAAGGGTAGCGGAGATGTTGGATCTGCCATATGTGTCCCATAGCATAATGTATACTTCAAATAGAACAGTAAACTTTAAAAAAGAGTGGGGATTTCCTTACAAGGTATAGAATGATCTGAATGCAACCTGACTTGGCCTTTTTCTCTGTCGGTCCTAGGAACTGCATGCCATTTCTCTTGAGCAGCATCTTCTAGATCAAATTCGAATAGTTTTTCCTAAGGCTGTTGTTCCCATCTGGGTTGACCAGCAGACTTACATATTTATCCAAATTGGTAGGTGATATTGTACTATTTGCTGTCATTCTCTACTCCAGAGTACCAAGTCTGAAGCAGAAATGAACAGATACTAACGGGCTCTGTCTTCTACCCAGTTGCCCTGACGCCAGCTGCGCCTTACGGAAGGCTAGAAACCAACACCGAACTCCTCATTCAGCCCAAGACACGCCGAGTCAAAGAGAACACATTTCCCAAAGCAGGAGATGCACACAGACCATCTCGTAGCTGTGGACAAGAACAAAAAGGGATGTCAAAAGAGCTGCAAACCAAGCAGCTTCCTATGAGCGCGGAGGGTGTCACCGGGTCTAATGACACAGACTCATCCTGGAGACCACACTGGTGGACTATGCTAGGAAGCATGTTTTCTTTTGGACCTGACAGCAGACAAGCGGCATCCTGGGGTTCGTTGGAAATCAGCGCTTTCAAAACCATGCAGTCACAAGTTGTTCCTCTCGACAGTGTTTTCAGAGTATGCCAAGTTCAGCCTCCTAGTGGGCATGACACCCCAGCTACCTCTGTGTTTCACAAACACTGTACCGTTCATGTGTTTCCATGGGACCAAGAATATTTTGATGTGGAGCCCAGCTTTACTGTGACCTATGGAAAACTAGTTAAGCTGTGTTCTCCAAAACAACAGCAAGGCAAAACAAAGCAGAGTGTCCTGTCTCCCGAAAAGGAGAAGCATCCGTTAGAGTCGCCAAATCATAAACAGATCGGCTCAGGCCACACCGAGGAAGCTGGTGAGGCGTGTGTGTTGAAGGTGGTCTGGAATGGACTTGAGGAGTTGAAGAATGCCACCAAGTTCACCCAGAGTATAGAACCTCTCCACCATGGCAAAGTCTGGGTTAGTATGAGGTTTTCAATTTGGGGAGAAACTTGTCACTTAATCTTCCTGAAGATTTGAGTTAGAATAATGTATATAGATTAAAACCAGCATGGTGAGAGAGAGTCTCTAAAAGCCTCTCTGTGGAGGAGCCGTGTCTCCAGCCGCTCCTCTTTTTTTAACATAGTATTTTTCTTGATTATCTGGAAATCTCACAGAGTGCACCCCAGTCACCTCCCAGGCCCACCCCGCACCCTTGTGACCTCCAAAACAAAAGATGGAGAAAAGACAAAAACACCAAGTCCAATCTGTGTTGTCCGTATCTTCACTGGGGCGTGGCCAGACTCCCAGTGGCCAGCCCCTTCACGACAACTGGATCCTTCCCCACCCTCCCCAGCCAGAAGCTGTCAGCTGTGAAGAGCTACTCTTCAGCTTTCCTGGGCTCCCCTTCTTTCTGTCTTTTACCTGGGGAGACGAGAATTTGGGGGTTGCTGAGGAGCTGCTCAAGAGCACTTGCTGCTTTTGCAGAGGACCCAGGTTTGATTCCCAGCATCCATGCGGTGGCTCACAACCATCTGTGACTCCAGTACCAAGGCACCCACACCCTCTTCTGGCTTCCATGCCACCAGCATGTATGTGACGTACAGACATACACACAGGCAGAACACACACGTAAAAATGTTAAGATTTTTTTTGGCATCTTTATTGAGATGAAATTTAAAGTATAATTTAACACGTGCAGAAGTTGTTATTAATATAATATTATGTGAACATCCCCATAATCTAAGTTTAGAATATTTTTATTGATGGGGGTGGTAAATTTTACCCTTTGCTCTTTGGATTGAACTGTACCCATGGCAGATTGTCTGTGATTAGGTTTAACTACTCCAGATTTTTCACTGGTTCTCCACTTTCGCACACACAGAGACTTCTGAAATGATTGTATACCGTTGCTACAGTCTTGATGTTTATGTCTCCCCCAAAACAATATGCTGAAATCCTTCCCACAAGTTGATGGTGTCAGGAGATGTTGAGTTATGAGGCTGAAGCCTTGAGTGCACCTGATGTCCTTATAAGAGAGGTGCCCACTTGAACTCCTTCTCCCCTTCTGCCAGGGGAGGACAGAGCAAGCATGTGCTCACATGCCCAGGCAGGAGGAGAGCCTCACCAGCATCAACTCTACCAGTATCTTGACCACAGATGTCCCAGTTATAAAACAGGAAGCCACCAGTACATGGTATTTCCGTTAAAGCAGCCAAAAGGCTAAAACAACTATGAACCACTTTGTTATGATCATGTGATGACTCCTATAATTTCACTTGATTGCAGAGGAAGGAATGTCAATATCTAGGCTATGAAATACTTGAATCAGTCTTTGGACATATTTCTCTGCTTCCTATTTGTTTTTAAATTGCAGATCCCAGATGACCTGAGAAGGAGACTAAACATAGAAATGCATGCAGTAGTCAGGATAACTCCACTGGAAACCACCCCTGAAATACCAAGATCTCTGAAATTACAGCCTAGAGAAAACTTAGTGAGTTCAAATATATGTTGTATAAAAATTCCTTTATGGGTGTTATGGGGTTTGTCATTGTTCATTAATGGTAATGTGTTTCTGTTTATTGTTGAAAGTTACATAGCATGACATCTTAACCATTTTCCAGTGAATAATTCAGATGCATTAATTATGTTCATAATGTTGTGCATCCACTACCATTTCCAAAATGTTTCTATCGACACAAAGAAAAGTCTGTACCATTAGGCAATGGCTCACCACCCTCTGGGCAGCTGCAGTCCATGTTACTTCTTGTGGAGAAGTGAAATCAACAGCGTCTGTCCTGTGTACCCGACTTATTTCAATTTACATCGTGTTTTCAAGGCCCCTCCATATTGTGGCGTGCACACACACACACACACATACACACACACGTACGTTTATCCATCCAGGTATCTAATGCAGCAGGGAGCAGTGAAGGACATTGTCTATATGATTCTCTGTTTTCTCTTCCTTTGGGTGTATACCCAGACGTGAGATTGTGGGTTTGTGGGCCAATACCATGCTTAATTGTTAACAAGGTTAACAATTGTTAATAAGGGTATTCGGTCTCCTTTCTTTCTTTCTTTTTTTTTTTGAGGGGGGTGGTTCTTTAAGACAGGGTTTCTCTGTGTAACAAACAATCTTCCTGGAACTCACTCTGTAGACCAAGCCGACCTCGAACTCACAGGGATCCACCTGCCTCTGCCTCCCAAGTGCTGGGATTAAAGGTGTGCTGGGCTCTGTTGGTTTGTTTTCTTTTATTGAAATTTTGGAGTTGGGGTGCAGCTCAGTTGGTAGAGTGTTTGTCTAGCTGAGACTACAGTCACATGTTCTCACACCTGTACAATGTTCGTCTAGCATGCACGAAGTCTGATCCCCAGATGCACAATGTTATGCACCCCTGTTAATGCCAGCACCTGGGAGGTGAAGGCAGGAGGGTCAGAAAATCAAGGTCACCTTTAGCTCCATGGAGAGTTCAAGGCCAGCATAGGCTACATGAGAAGATAGTGCCTTTTCTTAGTCTCCTTGTGGAAGTGATCCGGTTCTAAACTGAGCTTAGCTAGCAGATGTAAGCTTGACTACATGAAGAAAAAGAACAGACATAGACCCGTTTGAGAAATGGCAGAGCACAGGTTGACTTAGATGGAAAAATAGTCATCAGTTTTTACCATACGATCTGTATGTGTGTGTGTGCGCGCGCACATAGTGTGTGCGCGTGTGGGCTCACAGGTGTATGTGCCCTGCAAGTGCCATCCACTTGTTTTCTGAATCATGGTCTCTCACTTGCCTACCACACGATAAGCACACTATGCTCACTAATCAGCCCAGAGCCCAGAAACCACATGTGCTCACTTCGCTGGGTATTTGGGGTCACTTGTAACCTTTGCTGTTTATATAAATGGTTCCTCACCATCATCACATCAGATCACACTCACACTCACATCAGATCACACTCACACTCACATCAGATCGCACACATCAGATCACACTCACCATCATCACATCAGATCACACTCATGACAGATCACACTCACACTCATGACAGATCACACTCACACTCACATCAGATCACACTCATACTTCAGATCACACTCACACATCAGATCACACTCACATCAGATCACACTCACCATCATCACGTCAGATCACACATCAGTTCACACTCACACTCACATCATCAGATCACACTCACATCATCAGATCACACTCACACATCAGATCATATTCACATCAGATCACACTCACCATCATCACGTCAGATCACACATCAGATCACACTCACTCACATCAGATCACACTCACACATCAGATCACACTCACACATCAGATCACACTTGCATCAGATCACACTCACACTCACGTCAGGTCACACTCACGTCAGATCACACTCACACACCAGATCACACTCACATCAGATCACACATCTGTATGTAGACTCTAAACAGCCTGTGAGGATTGTATTTGGTAAGATCTTACGTTCTGTGGGGAAGACATGTAAATATAAGTGTGTTAGGTTTAAGTCGGGCGTTAGGGTACCTGGTCACTCTTCTGTCCTTTCCTCTGGCAGCCTAAAGATGTAAGTGCAGAAGATGTGAAAGCTGTGTTCTCGTCGTGGCTCCAGCAGGCTGCTACCACCATGCTTCCTTTGGTGATATCAAAGGAAGAACGTGTTAAACTGGGAGTGAAGGATGGTGGGTAAATGCGTTGTTTTGTTTCTCCTATTGAATTCATTATAACATCTCTATTTTTTGTTTTGTTTTCTTTTTTCAAGACAGGGTTTCTCTGTATAGCTCTGGCTGTCCTAGAACTCACTTTGTAAGACCAGGCTGGCCTCAAACTCACAGAGATCCACCTGCCTCTGCCTCCCGAGTGCTGGGATTAAAGGAGTGCGTCACCACTGCCTAACTAACTTGAAAATTTTTTAATTGTTTTTCCAATGTTTGTCACACGTGAACAGTGGGTGAAGCATAACAGTGTTCTGGGTGTTAAAGAATGTCTCTAACTGAAATAAGTTCAATATTTCAAATGAAATTGTTTCCTCTTGGTTTCAGTGTAACTCTCCATTTCTTACTTTCTCTTAACAGGGCTGAAAGAGTTCTCTTTGAGTATAGTTCATTCTCAGGAAGGAGAAAAGGAGAGAGGAAATGCTGTCTTTGTGTTGAGTGCCATTCTACTGCAGAAGATCTCGATACAAGTAATGGCATTCTATTGATGTGTAATAAAGCAATGTTTGTTATCTGTGACTAAGAAAGTTCGGGTTTCAGTCTGGAAGCTCACATCCAGAACTGCATGAGAAACCACAGAAGAGTAAGGAATAACTTGATTTTAAATATTTTACTCCGTAAATTAGTCATTTATTCTAAGTGTGAACATTGGTGAAGCACGATTTTCACAATTACCATTGGCTGTGTAAGCTGGCAAATGGGATTTAAAGTTCTATGTGTCAAACAAATGGAGATTTAGTTTTAGAGGATTGACTTTAAAAGTTCATATTTTGGGGCCAGTGAGATGACTCAGTGGGTAAAGGTGTTTGAATACAACCTGGGAACCTGAGTTCAGGCCCAGGAAGCTGTGTAAATGGTGGAGGAGAGAGCCACCATCACCAGAGTTGTCCTCTGACCTCTACATGTACACAGGTGCCGCCTTCTCATTGTAGCGTGTATGCACACATGTGCACGCACACACACACACACACACACACCAAAACTGTACTCTAACCTCCACACACACATTCACCACCTTGATATTGTAGTGCGCACACACATCAAAGTTGTTCTCTGACCTCCACATGTGCACATGACCTCCTATTTGCACATGACCTCCACATGTACGCATGACTTCCACATGTACGCATGACCTCCACATGCGCGCGTGACCTCCACATGTGCACCATGGCACATGAGCCACTCCCTTGTTGAGGTATGCACACCTGCACCCACGTGCACACAAATAATTAAATTTTTATAGACTCATATCTTCACCTGCCATTTTGCTATATTGTTTTGACAACTGGTAAACTGCTCTCTACCCTTCACAAATATCACACCACTTTCCTTCCAGAGGTACCTTAGTACTGTTTTTAGAATACTATGTTCCAGTTCTATTCGCTGCTGTGGCATGGAAGCCGGGCCAGCCGTTTAGAATTTCAGTGGTTTGGAACTAGCCACATTTTCTTTATCTTTGAGATGTGACTGGGGGAATGACCTTCAGAAAAGGTGCAAATGTCAGAGATGTGGATATATTCATTATGCCACAAATGGAAGAGAGATGCATCTGAGAGTGTCATCAGACAGCTTCAACCCTTCTGCTGTTGTCTGTAAATATCTGTGCTCCATGTGTGAGTACCTTGTAAGGGCTGTTCAGGCCATATTCTTGGGCACAGCATGGACTTCGTTGTGGTTCTTTTTTGCTGGGACTCAGGAAACATGCCGAAGACCTAACTTTGAAATGTAAAACTGGCTTTTCCTTGCTGCTCTAGGTCCTTCTAGAGCCTATGATCAGAGAAGAAAACAGTGAGGAAATTGACTTGCTTCTTCCTTTTTTAAAGCTGAACTCTCTGGGGTAAGAGGTTAAAGTCAAATTAGTATGTTTAAAGACTGCTTTGGATTCTCTCGGGCAGGCGTCTATGTGCAAGTGACCAGGAATGCCAATGAAAAGTCTTTTTCATACGTTAGGAGATAATCTTAAGGGTTATTTATATCCTCACACATAGGTTAGAAATGTACCTTGTCTCTTGTTATTAGAGATTCTACTTTGAGAATTGGCTGGTGAGAAAAATAGTTAACCAAATACCACCTACCTGATCATTGTACTTGACCAAAACAGTAGTCATCAAAGCAAATAAAAGCATTTTAATAGCTAAATCAGAAACATTGGCTGAGTGGTGAAAAATATTTTGAATTAAGTTATTCCTTCACTATTTTCTTGTAATAATTAGGATTTTTATTTTATACCTTTTCAGAAAAACAAATTTGAAAAGGAAGCCATCTTGGTTTCTTTATTTGTGTACTGAGTATCCATAACCCTGTTAGCATGAGAATTCACGTGCTTATACTAGATGTGAGCGGGATTTAATTCCTTTCTACGTTTTAGTGAAAAAAATGAAACCTTCAAGAGGATTGGGGGTAACAGCATGCATCACTACAAAGTAAAATCTCTTTGGATTCCACTTTCAGGGGGTTTTGCTCATGAATATCATCATGGTAGAATCAAGAACTGGCGTAGGTTCGGTGTTTGTGTATGACAGGTTGGAACTACATCCCAGAGGGCCATTTCAGAGCGGCCAAGGCTTTGACTACCTCAACAAGCCCTTCTGAACCGCCTATTTACGATACTGTTGACGACCAAACCAAATGTTATTTGGGGGTGGGGAATGTTTAAGTGTGTTAGCAGGTCCAACAGGTGACCGTTAGGACAAAACTGGTTACTGCCCATGCTTCAGATGTTAGGCTAGCGTTTAAAGGCTGCACATCAGATACAGCATTAGCCCTTGTAAGTAAAGGAGAACTAAAACTTACCCCTTACACATCGCTAACTCTGCCAGGGAGGAAAGCTTCGGCCTCTTATAGCTGGGTTTTCCTCTGCTATGGGCTCTGGTCACATAAGAACTTTTGTGTTTTGCAGTGGGGTGAGTCCCTTGGGTGTATCCGCCATGGAGCACATCACTCACAGCCTCCTGGGACGCCCTCTGTCTCGGCAGCTGATGTCCCTGGTCGCAGGACTTAGGAACGGCGCTCTTTTGATCACTGGAGGAAAGGTATTTGGTTCAAATGTGCTCCTTTTCACTAGCTCGTAGCATTTCATCCTTATCTCTTTGGATTTTCTTATGTATTTTAAATGGTCTTTAGTACATTAGACATTCATTAGTAGTTTCGTGTGCCTGTTAGGTATTAGGGAAGTCATCATGAATTCATATACGCTCTGCACCCTCTTTCTTCATTGACTGGTAGGAGTATAAGATTTTTGGTGTCTAGGCTACTGGTGAGACTGTTGGTGGTATTGGTATTTTCTGAATAAATCCCGCTTGGCCTTGCTGATTTGTGCTTGCAGCCATTCTGTTTGAGATTTTTCTATCTGCATTTATGGCGACACTGGTCCACAGCTTCTGCCACTGCTGTCCCGTCTTTGTCTGGTTTTACTGCCAGTGTATTATGGGCTCACGATGAGCCTCCGAGTGTCTCCTTCCCTTTTTGTGGGGAAGAAACTATAAAGTTGGCTTTCATTCATCCTTTAAATGCTTGACAAAACCTGCAGCAAACCCATCCAAGCCTCGCAAGTCCTTTAAATGATGAATTCCATATCTTAATGATTACAAGACTGCTTAGGTAGCGTGCATCATCCTGACGTGGACGATGTGTCTTCTCTTTTTAGCTTCTTACTGTCTTGGTTGAGATCCTGACGGTTAAAAAGACTTACTGTCTTATTCTCCACCAATGCTGTGTTATTTTCTATGCCAAAGACCAGAGTGTTGGGTATTAGAGAGATGTTTCATTGGTTAAGAGTGCTTACAGCTTTTTCAGAGGGCTGGAATTGGGCGCTCAGCACCCCAGCACCCACGGTGGGTGACTCACAACCACCTGTGACTGGGGCTCCAAATAACACAGTGCTCTCCTCTGACCTCCATACACCTGCACTCGTGTGTATGTTACACACACATAGACATACATACATACATACATACTTAAAACCTTACACATAATCTTAAATATACACTTAATCTTTAAAAACAAACAAAAAACCCACAGTGTGGTCTTGGTTAATCATAGGGCTTTATAATTATAGAAATATTGTTTCTTCATTTCTCTTCTTTTTAATAGTTGTTACCTATTACTAGTCCGGTTTCTTCCTCCTGTCTTACTTAAATATAGGAACTATTCTATGTCATTTTTTAAAGGATTTATTTATTTATTTTATGTATATGAGTGCTCTGTCTACATGTGTACCTGCATGCCAGAAGAGGGCATCAGATCCCACTATAGGTGGCTGCGAGCTACCATGGGTTTACTGGGAATTGAACTCAGGACCTCTGGAAGAGCAGCTGGTGCTGTTAACCACTGAGCCATCTCTCCAGCCCCTTTGTTATTTTTTAAATGACCACATTATCATGGTAGAATATTTATTTTTAATCCCAGCACTCGGGAAGCAGAGGCAGGCGGCTCTCTGTGAGTTCGAGGCCAGCCTGGTCTATAAGAGCTAGTTCTAGGACAGCCCCCAAAGCCACAGAGAAACCCTGTCTCGAAAAAAAACCAAAAAAAAAAAAAAAAAAGAAAGAAAAGAAAAGAAAAGAAAAAAAAAAAAGAAAGAAAAAGGAAAAGTCCTGTCCCACTGTCTCCAAAAGCAGTCTTTTGAAGTCTCTCCTAGAGTAAGACAGTCAGTAGTAGAACCGAGGTCCTGGGTTTACATGTCATCTCTGTAATGTGCTCATTATAAAGCTTTAAGTTTTGCTTCTCATCTGTGTTCATTGGAATCGCCTCACTTAAAGGAGAGGAAACACATGAGAAGTGTTTCACGGATGTGAATTACTCAGAGCTGGAAGAAAAGGCCCTCTGGGCGGGTGATGATATGTCTTGTCTACAGTCTAGCACCCTAATTGTTCTAGTCTTTGAAGTCCATTAAGTTTAAATGAGGGCCAAGTGGTGGTGGTGACACCTTTAATCCCAGCACTCAGGAGGCAGAGGCAGACAGATCTCTGTGAGTTCGAGGCCAGCCCGATCTACAGAGCAAGTTCCAGGACAGCCTCCAAAACAATACAGAGAAACCCTGTCTCGAAAAACCAAAGGAAAAAAAAAATACAGAATGCTTAGAAGAACAAAAAGCATTAAAACAAATGCTGTATGTTGGAATGATTGCATAAGTTCTTTTCACCTTTCTCCACTAAGTATAGCTATTTTTAATTTTTGCATATTATTTTACAATGAGATAAATCTAAAGCTTGTATTTGAAAAAAATGTTCATTGATTGTAAGCCAGTGTTGAGTTCTTTGTTCTTATATCTAAGTAGACAGTCCTGGCAGCTGAACTGTCTGTCTCTCAAGGGCAGTCTGTAATCTCAGCCATTCCAAAGGCTGAGGCAGGGGGCAGGCCTTAAGTTCAAGAGTAGGCTGGCCAACATGATAAGACCTAATCTTGTAAAACCTAATCTTGTAAAACATGCCATATAATCATGTCCATCACAGGAAAAAGTGTCTGAAGGTTGTACTCCACATTAATGGGTAGTCACAGCAATGGCTGTAAACCATTAAGAAAGCATTAATTAAAATTACTTAGTACTTTCTGATTGAAATTAAAGAGATATGTCTTTAATTTAAAAATTATTTATATATTAGTCATGCCTTGTAACAGTATTGTTTTTAACTGGTTTTAATTAAGTGTTCGGAGTTATACTAACGAGTGTAGAAATGGGTGCATTGTAGTGAATGCAGGGTACCTAACACATTAACAGAGTAGAAGGAGAGCCATATTTTAGTAGCACAGAATCCCACATTGCAACTGGATTGGTGTCTAGTTAGCAACTGATGCTGCTGAACCTTGGTGGTTGCTGCAGTGACAGGAGCTACTTCTATAATTAAATCTATTGCGAGTTCTGATGATGCAACTGTTTTCCAGGGGAGTGGGAAATCAACGTTAGCCAAAGCAATCTGTAAGGAAGCCTGTGACGCATTGGATGCCCATGTGGAGATAGTCGACTGTAAAGCTTTCCGAGGTAGGAATGAGCATTCGCCATAACGCCCACCTTTGTAGACAGGAATATATATATTGGTTTTTACGAGACAGGGTTTCTCTGTATTGTTTTCGAGGCTGTCGGTCCAGCCCGGCCTCGAACTCACAGAGATCCGCCTGCCTCTGCCTCCCGAGTGCTGGGATTAAAGGCGTGCGCCACCACCGCCCGGCGACAGGAATATATTATTAATGCTACGAATATAGTTATACACTTTTTAAACTTTTATTTATGTCATTTAGTTATTGAAAATACCTAGAAATTTGGAAGCTTGGCATGTTGGTGTATACCTTTAACCCCAGCACTCGGGAGGCAGAGGCAGGAAGATCTCTGTCTACAGAGCGAGTTCCAGGACAGCCGGGACTACACAGAGAAACCCTATCTCGAAAAACTAAAAAATCCTTAGAAACTTGAAAGCATTGGCTTTCTGATGTTTGTGATAAAAAGTCTATTTGTCATTTGGTGGAAGCCATTTTTTTAAAAGTGAAAGCTCACTAGAGTGTGTCCCCGGAAATACCAACAAATCCCACTCCAAGCATTTATCATATACTCTGTGAAATCTGTACTTGATCTTGGTCTTTGAATTGCTGTGGGAAACCTGTAGAGTTCATGACTGGGAGGGTAAATGGTGGCTTTGGGTGACAATGAGAAGAATTACAATTGACCTTCTCACTTTTGTATTTTTTAAACATTTCTAACATTTACACTACTATCTATTCAGTTAAAACAAAAGGTTGGAATAATTTCTCTTTGAACAATTAGTTTCCACTAACACCTGGCTCCCAGGTCATCTTTATAGCTCATGTTTTTACCTAGTGCATAATAAGAAAATAAGAAATCACATTGTATGGACATATGAAATCCTTAAAAGATAAATAAAAAATGTATTTTAAATCGAGATAATGATAGCTCTGAAAACTCAGTATTTCTCTTGCTATAAAGGAGGTTTTAATCCTGCTTGAAGCCCCATGAAAAAAAGAATTAACTTAGAGCTAAGTGTCAGGGGATCTTTGCATTAGTTTACAGACATGGCAGTTTTCTGTCTTCTGGAAGTTAAAACTTTGTACCACACCTGGAAAAAACCTGAAGCCAGACGTGTCATCAAATCTAGGACCTTTGGGGTCTCCAGGAAATGGTAGGGTTCGACTCTGACCTTGACCCCTGCTCTGGTTTTGTTTCTCTACATCCTGTGTATTTCACAGTTGTAAGCCACCTGAAACCCTAAAGTGAGACCCAGTGTGTACAGACAAAAATCAGAGCAGCCTGTTTCCTCTCTTTGTGATGCAGTTTGGCACTTTGAGTCCTCAGACACTTAGGAGTTGAATGCGCCAATGATTATCAAGTTTAATTGGTATATTAATAAAACATGGGTTTAATTTTTATAGATAAACTTCTTCTATTACCTTCAAACTTTCAGTCCCTGAAATAACACTGACACCATGTCTTCTGTGTGTGTAGGAAAAAGACTTGAGAGCATACAGAAAACCTTGGAGGTGGCTTTTGCAGAGGCCGCCTGGAGGCAGCCATCTGTCATTCTGCTGGATGACCTGGACCTCATTGCCGGACTACCCACTGTCCCAGAGCAGGAGCACAGCCCTGAAGCGGTGCAGAGCCAGCGGCTTGCACATGGTAATGTGTCCCCTACTGGTTGGGAGCTTTTTCATTTGCTAGGCAACATTTTTCATTTTAATGATCAATCTATTTTTTACATTTTAATTAGTTTTATTTATTTATTTACTACTTGTGCAATTGTTGGGGTGGCACCCACGTGCCAGAGGACAGTTTTCAGGAGTCTCTTCTCTCCTCCCTCTATGTGGGTCCTGGAGAGATTATAGAACTTTGAGGAATGCACCACTGATTGCACTTAGAGTGTGACAAGCGACCTGGTGGATACGGAGGGTTGACAGCATAGCCTCATTGTTCCGGAGACCTGAAGCCAAAGCAACATATAAGAGTGGCTTTCACTAGTGTTGCTCTCAGAGTTCTGTATCTCACGTAGAGCCCCCTGGTGATAAACTCCTGTTTTAGCTCTGTTAGTCTCGTGTGTAAGGAAGTAAGGAAACCCTGCACGCAAACTCCTAGATGCCGCTGTTAGTCTCTATGGAAGAATGCTGCAGATCTCGGGATTAGGACTCAGAGATATGTTGCTAATGCTTACTTCAGTTCTTATCTTCTCAGCCAAACTTCACCAAGCCTTGAGTAGAAAGAAATTATCCAGGAAGTGCTTGAAACACCATGCCTCTTCTGCTAAGTCACCATGATATAGTATAGACATTAGTCATCCTTCTAGAATATTCACTTCTGAGATGCCTTTGTGTGTTTGATTCATTTGCTTTGTAAGATCAAGGAGTATGGAACCTCAGTAGACACGTCCTGAGTTTACAGAACCCCCTACAATAGATAGATCAGTGAATAGACAGAATTAAAGGTTTTAAAAAACATGAAGGTGGCTCAGCTGTTAAGAGCACTGCCTGCTCTTCCAAAGGTCCTGAGTTCAATTCCCACCAACCACACGGTGACTCACAGCCATGTGTAATAAGGTGTGGTGCACTCTTCTGGCCTGCAGGCATACATGCAGGCAGAACGCTGTTTACATATAAGTAAATAAATCTTAAAAGAAAAAAAACCATGAAGGGGCTGCTCCATCCTAATATTAGGTCATTAGTAGTTTAGTGAATGCACAGCTTTAAGTTTTCGCGCTCTTTCCCTGAGCTTTATGCTGTATTACTTCACCCTAGCTTTGAACGACACGACCAAAGAGTTAGTTTCTATGGGAAGCTTGATTGTCCTCGTCGCCACGAGTCAGTTCCAGCACTCCCTGCACCCCTCACTTGTCTCTGCTCAAGGGGTTCACACATTTCAGTGTGTCCAGAACATCCAGCCCCCCAACCAGGTAAGCTGAGCTGTGTTCTTTACATGAAAGTTGCTTTTATTTTAATAGTTACTGCTTCTAGATTTAAGAGCAACATCGTGTAGTTTGTAGCAGGGATTATAATTTACACTCATCGGATATGTTACATGCTTGCTAAGGGAATGGTTTTCTTGAAGTCAGTATTTCTTCTGAATGAGGATGAAATGAAGTTAGACATCTTTTAAGTTGGTGAGCCATCCCTGCCCCCTTTGGGACCTTATGTTTACCAAGCATGTAGTGACCACGAGTAGATGGACGGGTGCTCTGGCTGGAGACAGCGCTGTTTAAGAGTCCCGCCCTGGTGGCGCACGCCTTTAATCCCAGCACTCGGGAGGCAGAGGCAGGCGGATCTCTGTGAGTTCGAGGCCAGGCTGGACCGACAGCCTCCAAAACAATACAGAGAAACCCTCTCTCATTTAAAAAAAAAAAAAAAAAAACAGATGTTGCTTAAAATGTTCTTTATTGGAGAAAGAAATGGCACTCTTCTATCAGTGTGGTTTTAGACAATTTACTGAGTATAATTTTAGACCAGACACAGACATACAACCCCGTGATAGGATCATGGCAGAAGCAAAGAGTTTATTTATGTTTTTGAAGGAAAAGGCTGGACCCAACCCTGTTACCCAGTTTACGGTTAGTTTTGGCGTCAACAGTTAGAGAACTCTTTGTCACACACTGTGGATGTGGGAGTACATGCTCAGGTGCTGGCGTGAAGGCAGCCAAGAGCTGTATATGCTGAGAGTGGACAGAACTACCTCCAGAGTACACGTGGCAGCACAGCAGACTGGACCGTGCAGTGTGGATGTTTAAAAGTCTGTGCCATCTCAGTTTGTGTAAATGCACTCTGTGATGTTCCCATGATGATGAAATGGCCTAGTGAAGCATTTCCCTGATCATATTCCCATTGCCAAGTGACATAGAACTAGTGAAATGTACCACTGAAAAATTAATAATCTGAATTTTATATTTTTTTTCTTAAGGAACAAAGATGTGAAATTCTGCATAATGTCGTGAAAAATAAACTGGGCTGTGATATAAAGAAGTCCTCTGAATTTGACCTGCAGTGCATAGCTAAAGAAACTGAAGGATTTGTGGCTAGAGATTTTACTGTTCTCGTGGACCGAGCCATACACTCCTGTCTCTCTCGTCAGCCTGTCTCCACCAGGGAAGGTATCTGTTCACCAATCCCTGAATTTTTTTCCTGTTCTGGGAATATAGTCGTAGCAGAGCAAGAATTACATACATTCTGCTTCGTACAGCATTTGAGTAGAAATCTGGCGTTTCCAGCAAGCATTACAGCGTATTTTAAAAATGAATTGGACTTGGAGGTGTGTGACTTTAATCCCATCACACAGGAAGTAGAGGCAGGCTATCTTTGTGAATTTGAGCAGCCAGGGTTTCCTAGTGAGACCTTATCTAAAATTTAAAAAAAAAAAGCTTACCCCCCCCTTTTTTTTTTCCGAGACAGGGTTTCTTTGTATTGTTTTGGAGTCCATCCTGGGACTCACTCTGTAGACTAGGCTGGCCTCAAAGTCACAGAGATGTGCCTGCTTCTGCCTCCCATGTGCTGGGATTAAAGGCTTTCGCCACCAACGCCCGGCTGCTTTCCTTTATTTTTAAACAGAATTGACGTTAACAACATCAGACTTCCAAAAGGCTCTCCATGGATTTCTCCCTGCTTCTCTGAGAAATGTCAACCTCCATAAACCTAGAGACCTTGGCTGGGACAAGATTGGTGGATTACACGAAGTTCGGCAAATACTTATGGACACTATCCAGTTACCAGCCAAGGTAAGGTAAAACACATTGAGACACACACACACACATACACATACACATACACACACACACACACACACACACGCACACACACACACACACACACACACACACACCCCAAGTACTAATGGTCAGAGGAAACCTATACCACTGACTATGGCTTTATTTGTTAGCTTATACAATTTCCATTTGATTGACAAGGATTTACTGAGTTACCAAGACATGGAATTTTCTAACTACTTGGTATTTTCTCTGCCTGTAAATGCAAAACCATTTTGATGTAAGTATCTTAATTCTGTTTTGCCTAAGTCACTCAGATTTGCTAGAGCATGGTGGACCATCTGCTGGCGTTTCAGCAGAAGCAATAGGGATGATGTAGGACGTGGACAGCCCTCTGGTCTACAAGACAGCCAGGTAGATTAAGCAGACTTTTACACTCTGGGTGTTAGTCTTAGAAGGGCAGAGTTGACCGGCAGCATAAACTAGGTGGATGGTGAGATAAAGGTCGAAGACTTGAGAAATGGGGATGGTTGTGAGGTCGAGGACTCATGCAGAGTAAACAAGTAAAGATTTGGGGTCACGTGTGGCTGGCTGGCAGCTCTTGAGAAGGGCCTGGGATGTGTTGAGTACAGCACAGAGCCATAGATTTAAGCCTATGGGAGAAGAAGTGGGCGTGGACTTATTAGCCAGCAGCATCATGGCCTCAACTGCTGAGTTTGGGCACCAGGCATTAATATCCAAGGATATGGAGACCACGCGCTTGGCTGCTGACTTTGAGACCTCTCTAGTTAGAGTGAAAGTGGAATTCATATTGGGATCTTGTCAGTAGGTGAACTCACATAAGCTTGCCTAGGAGTGGAGGCAAGCCTACTGCTGACTGTAGCTACTTAATGTGAGGTAGGGTTTTGCACTCCGGGCAGCTGGGTATTTAGAAGGTAATTGAAAAGGAGCTAATCATTTGGTTAGCAGAGACATTGCTGTCTACAACCAGGACATGACACGACACGTGCTTCTCTGCTATCTCTGTTTCAGTGCTTGAATGCACACAGCTATCACAATTAACCATATAAGCCGTATGTGCTTGTTGGAAGACTGCGACTTTGGGTTTGTTTTCCTAACACAGCCCTTTTACTACTCTTTAAAAAGAAAGACTGCTGTAATTCTGTAGCTCAGTAGCCTTGCCTGGCTTAGTCCAGGCCCTGGTCATACTCTTTAGTATCACCCAAACAAAACAGAAGACCAGCGCAGTGGAAGGAAGGTCTGGTGCCCCGACTGACAGATGCTTTGCATGGGCTTCACTGATTATTTCCCATAGGAATTTCCTTCCCTGCTGTGGTGTTATTAATAGAGGAGGTAGCAGTTATTAACATCCAAATGCTTTCTGTGTATTGGTCTTCAGTCTTTGTTTACATTTCTGCTCTTTGCCATGCTTTTAATATTTTTCAGTACCCAGAATTATACGCAAACTTGCCCATACGACAGAGGACTGGAATATTGCTTTATGGTCCCCCAGGGACAGGAAAAACTTTACTTGCTGGAGTAGTTGCAAGAGAGAGTGGAATGAATTTTATTAGTATCAAGGTATGTGTGCACTTCTTTCCTTCTTTGTCTTCTTCCCCCCCCCCCTTTGTTTTCCAAAACAGGGTTTCTCTGTATAGCCTTGGTGGTTCTGGAACTTACCGGGTAGACCAGGCTGGCCTTGAATTTACAGAGATCCACCTGCCTCTGCCTCCTCAGAGTGCTGGGATTAGAGGTGTGGCCACCACTGGGCCCTCCTTTGTCTTTTTAATTGAGGCAAACATACAGCATTCAGTTGTCATTGTTGTGCACTCACAGAATTGTGAACCTACAACCTCCTGTTTCCAAAGCTATTTCATTCTGTTTCCTCTTTCCCTCATTCCTTAGCAGCCATTAATCTTATTTCTGTGACTATGTTTTTGCCTGTTCTTAATATTTTGTACACAAAATATCAGGTAGTATCTGACCTTTTGTGAGTAGCTTCTTTCACTTCAAATTGACATGTGCATTGATATCTTAACCTTTTGGGGCCGAGATTACACTCCATTGCTTACCTGTACCACATTTTCCTTAAACATTCGTTATTACTGGCAAACTGGAAGTTGTTTCTACAGTCAGACATTAATGCATATATTTTAACATTATTTACTTGTGCATGTGTGTGTGTGTGTGTGTGGGCTCACATGTGCCACGTGAGCATGTCAGGGGACAGCCTGTGGGAACTGAGTCTCTCCTTGCACTATGTGGTTCCATGGACAAAACTTAAGTTGCCAGGCTTGGTGGCTTGTACCGTCTGAGCTACTTCTACAGGATTCTGTCTACCAGGGTTCTATGGATAATGTTGTTCTAAACACCCATGTACAAGTTTCTGTAGACATATGTCCTCACTTCTTTGGTATGTAGTAAGTCTTTGGTATGTAGTAATGCCTGCTTCACTTCTGCAGAGATGGAGGAGTGATGAGCAAAGGGGTCAAGACCATGATGGTGAAACCCACAAAGACAGCTGACCAGATAAGGGGGAGCTCTTGAACCCCAGACTGATGGCTGAGAGGCCAACAGGAACCACCTTACCTTTTTACCCTCACCACAGCCATCCTTGTTAATTCCAATTATGTTTCTTGATTGTGGATTGAGCTTCCATTTGGGAAGCTAGGAGTGGAGAGTGATGCATTTATTGGTTTATAGCTGTAAGGAATTGCATACTGATCCACTCCTCTCCATGAGTGGCTTTTATGTTCTTGTTTAAGGCAAACCACCATCGCTGTGAACAGAATGTATGTGAATATTAAAAGGAAAAGCAAACTGTACTTAAGAGAGAAGAGATCTACAGGAGTCGAGACAAATTTTGTGGGCCTCTCACTTTCTGACTGCCTTTATCTTACCCAGTGCACACGGGGTCTACAATGGTTTTTTGTTTGCTTGTTGCCTTTTTTTTCTTTTTCCCGAGACAGGGATTCTTTGTGTAGCTTTGGAGCCTGTCCTGGAACTCATTCCGTAGACCAAGCTTGTCTCAAACTCACAGAGATCCGCCTGCCTCTGCCTCCCGAGTGCTGGGATTAAAGGCGTGCGCCACCACTGCGTCTTCGAAATGTTTTTACAGTTGACTTTCAGGAAAGGAATTTTATTTTTCACCTCCTATATAAACAGATTGATTTCAGTAATTAAAGATGCTAAATAGAGCCAATTATCTCTCTATACAATTTAGGAGGTTCCCAAGGATTTGGTATGGATGGTTTGTCCCCTTTGAGGCATGTAATACTTCACTAAACAAATCTAGTGCTTAGTTGGCCGCGCTGTTTTGGCAGTAGAGACTCAGCAGGGAGCAGAACTGTGCTCGAAGTTTACGTTCTAATAGTGGAAAGAGACACTAAGTAGACAATGCCTGTGAAAGCTGTTGGGTGGTGGTAAGTCCAGCAGGAAGCATGCGGTAAGGAGGCATGGAATAGCTGGGCTGCTCACACACAGTGTTGTCAGGCAAAGCTGTTAAGCAGAGGAACATGTTGACAGGGATCTAAAGGAAATGAAGCCACAGGCCACAAGAGCATCTAGGACAGTGTTCTAGGCAGAGGAAGCTGACTTAGGCAGCCATGTCAACACCCCAGCACAGTTCATTGTAAGATACGCATGAGAGACAGCCATTCAACCCTACCTTAAACATTCTGTACTTCATTGTGCTTAATCAAAACCCAAGGATGTGTTTGTTTTTTAATTAATTTCATCTCAGCTTGATTTTCTTTTGCCCTCTAGGGTCCAGAGTTACTCAGCAAATATATTGGAGCAAGCGAGCAAGCTGTCCGAGATGTTTTCACCAGGTGGTTTTTATGTTTGAAGTAGCTGGCAGCTATTATTATTAATCTTGATTTTGGTCTTATTTTTTAAGAACTGGTTTATGTGAATTATTAACAAAGCAAACAACAAGTGTTTTATTTCAGCAAATACTACCTAAAATACATATCTCAATATTAAGTTTTGGACATTATTTTTTATTTACACTAGTAATATTCCTGAAAGTAGAATCTTAAGTACTCGTTCAAAGATCAGATAGGCCTCCCTCCCTCCGTCCTTCCTTCCTTCCTCCCTTCTTTTCTTTGAAGACAAGCTCTCACTATATAGAGCACATGTTTCTTCTGTCTTAGCCTCCTAATGCTGGGATTAGAAGTGTACATCACCACACTTTTCCTTAGATTGGATTCTTATATGAAGCAAGTAACTATTCCTTATGTTCCCTTATGTCTTTAAGATCTAAGTTTTCTCTTTCATCTCCTAACGTATGTCTTAGGAGTCAACACACCATATGTCCAGTTTTACTAATGCTCATATTACTGGATGTATAGAAGATCACATATTAATACAGAAGATAAATAAGTATCAATTATTCAAGTATAACAGAATCATGGGAGATTTTTAAAGTAAAACTTTACTTTGTAGTCTTCTAAAAATTTTGTGACACAGTGTACAGCTAAGAGACTATACATAGTAAATATATGAATGTAATTTGAAAAGGAATAATAAGGTCAAGGTTTATGTATCTACTATGCAGTTTAAGAAATAGAACCTTGTAAGAGGGGCCTTATTAAAAAAGTCCATGACCACATATTGACAAAAGGTTAAATTAACAAAGAACATATTATAATTATAATATTTTGTATCTAATAATACAGATTTTTTCAGAGTATTCCTACAAAACAATGCAAAAACAATAAGCTAGCCATCTTAAACAGGTTGAAGAATTAAACATACATTTCCCAGAAGCGGAAGCCAGTGAGCACACATGAAAATGGCCACCATGGGCTGGAGAGTTGCTCAGTAGTTCAGAGAGCTTGCTGCTCTTCCGGGGAACCTGGGTGTGGTTCCCAGCATCCACATCGGGTGGCTTGCAGATGCCTTTAACTCTAGCTCGAAGGGATCTGACATCCTCTTCTGGTATCTGAGGACACACGCACACACATTGCACACACATAAAAAGTACAAATCTGTTTTTAAATGGCTAGCCACGAGGAGAACCTATTGACAAAGATTTGGGTTTTAGTCTCTTACTTATCCAGAGGCATGACTCTCTAAACAAATATTTTAAGCTCTCAAGAGTCAATTTAGAGAGAAGATGGGAGACAAATACAGTCAAAGTTCCTGTGTGTATAGCTGATATTATCAGAGAATTAATAATGTAATAAAAATAAATAACACTACTCTGAACAAAAAACTCAGTTTAAATTTTATTATCCTGAAAATAAGGATAATTGCATCTAGAGTGCTTTCTTTAAGGGTTAGTTGTGAAGATTAAATATGTGTATATATATTTATTTATTATATATTGTATGTATGTGTATATATGTATATATTATAGTCTATGCTGTGTGTGTGTGTGTGTGTGAACTCTGGAGCCCTGGTAAAATGCAGAGTGTTTGTGTTTTTTTTCCCCAGAGCACAGGCTGCAAAGCCCTGCATCCTTTTCTTTGATGAGTTTGAATCCATTGCTCCTCGAAGAGGTCACGACAACACAGGGGTTACAGACCGAGTAGTTAACCAGTTGCTGACCCAGTTAGATGGAGTTGAAGGCCTACAGGGTAAATCACTGTTAATGCAAAAACACACTGTGAGAAGAAGTTACTGAGTAATCATCCTAACGTGGTCTCCCCCCCCCCCACACACAGGTGTGTATGTGTTGGCTGCTACTAGTCGCCCTGACTTGATTGACCCTGCCCTGCTGCGGCCTGGCCGACTGGATAAATGTGTATACTGCCCTCCTCCAGACCAGGTGACAACGTCATAGTCCCAAACCCAGCAGATGCAGGGGCCACACTCTTTGTGAGCTGTCCTTTGGCCATGCGGTAGCAATTGTCCTTAGAATACAGCTTTGCAGGCAAAGGCTTTGTTTACTGTTTGCTCAACATAACAGGCCCCGACTCAGGTGTCCAGGAACACGTGCCAACCAGTAAGAGAAAATCAGGGAGCCTAGCAAGGACTGTCTAACACTCACTGTTTTCAAAGCTCCACCCCGTATCCTGTCAGAAACCTCTAGTTCAGAGTCAGTCAAGCAGGGCAGTGAACATGTGGCCAGGGCACATGGATACAGTTGTTTGCACTCTTCTTGTCATGGTCTGCCAACCCTTGCCCCCAGATGTGCAAAGCAATAAATAAACAAAAGAAAGAAAGGCCAAGAGGTCAAAGTAGATAGCCCATGTGCCTTAGTAGCACGCCTTTGTTGGCACACTTGGCAAATCTAGGAAATAACCACGTGTGAGGGTGACGTTGTTCACATGAATAGTTACAAATATCGGTTTTTACTCATTTCCTACCTGTGTCTCCTTTTAGGGACACGGTTCTAAGAAAGACAGATCATGTACTCCTAGTACATTTTACACACCGCTTGGAAAGCTTGTTAGATATGTTGTTCATTTGTGAAAAAAAGTTTCAAAAGAGTCACAATTTTTACAGCGACAGTTAATTTTTGATGTGTTTAGTCAGCTAGTTTTTCTTCCTTCAGGTGTCACGTCTTGAGATTTTAAACGTTCTCAGTGCCTCCCTACCTCTGGCAGGCGACGTGGACCTCCAGCATGTGGCGTCAGTAACAGAGTCCTTCACCGGGGCTGATCTGAAAGCTCTCCTGTACAACGCCCAGCTGGAGGCCTTGCAGGGGAGGCTGCTGCCCGGTGGGCTCCATGTGAGTTCCTTGGGAAGACTGTCAGGGCGGTGGGCGACAGGAAGAGACTTGAGGACCAAACTCTGCAGGGAGGGACTTTAATGTGCCTACTGTAAATGGTCCAATATTGGATATGGGATTTGCAGAGAATTTTACTTATGAAGATTTGGCACATGTTTCCATAACATTACCATAATATTAACAAGCTATTTGGTATTAGAAAAATATTATTTAGTGTGTGTTATGGTAAAGCTTGTGGGGGACTTTGGCGGATTGCACGGCAGGCGAGGGTGACTCAGGCTGAGGGACAAACACGCCAGGCAGACAGAGCTTAAGGGAGAAGTTTTATTAGAAAGGGAAGCGGGCGTAAGGTAAGAGACACAGACAGAGAGAGGACAAGAGGGAGACAGGAAAGTCCTGTCTACCCCAGGGGAACAGCAGGAAAGAGAGGAGCAGGAATGGAAGAGTGGGAAGAGGGGTCCTTTGTACCTGGGCTGCCCAGGGTACTGCCTGAGTGCATTCTGCCAGGTGACGGGCAGCGTAATGCCCGAATCCTCACAGAGTGGGGTAGCATGAATTCATATAAATAGGAAAATAACGACTGAAGTTATTATTTATTTTGAAGATGAAATTGTGCCGGCCAGCCGGTGGCAGTCTCCTGTGGATGACCCCTATGGTCTTACCTCATCTCCTCGTTATTCTTTGGCATCTTCCTTACCTCCTGATACAAGCCGATCTTTGTTTATCTTGTATTTTCTATGTTCCAGCCCTAGAACCAGGGTTTTCTCTATTGATTTTAATTTTACTTTTAATTATTACAGGAGACAATTTACTACATACAGTCTTTGCCTATGTTTTCTAGGAAGCTTTTCTGTATACTTCCCTCCACCAGTTTTTGTTGGGAATCTCTGTAGGTCCTAAATTACTTACATAGTTCCAAGCGTGTGGGGTGGTGTGCCGGGAAGCACATGTATATAATGCGTGCACGGATGCACATGTGCACATGGAAGTCAGTGAGCGGCCTTGGGTGGCATCCTCAAGTGCCTTCTCCCGCTTTGAGCAGGTCTCTCACTAGTCCGAAGCTGTGGGTGGGCTGGCTGGCCAGGGAGTATCAGGGTCACACTGCCCCTACCACCCAGCCCTGTGATGACAATCCACAGCACTGTGGCCAGATTTTTCCTATGGGTTCTGAGGATTAAGCTCAGGGCCTCATGCTTACACATTATTTTACCTATTGAATCATCTCCATAGCCCCCAGGTCAAGGTCTTGCTATTTATTTTAGCAAGCCATTATAGTGAGTGTATTTTTTTCATATGAGTGCTTTACAAGTGAATATGTGTACATAGACATATATACTCTATAATGTGGTTGATATTAATCATTTCACAGTAAAAACAAAAATGAGTGAAAGGCAGAGATGGAGAACTAGAACCTGGATTCTGAGTCCTCGCTGTGTTATCACTGGGAAAGTTGATGTATTTTACACACTTCATCTTAACCTCCCCCTATTGAAGTCCTTACACTTGTATTGCGCAGGGCTGGGCATGTTGTTCCGTTGGTAGCATGCCTAACATGCACAGGGCTCTGGCTTCACTCCCCGGCACCAGGCAGAGCAGGCATGTTGGAGCACACCTGGAATCCCAGGAATCATAAACTCAAGGTCATCCTAAGTTACATAGCAAATATAAGGCCAGCGTGGGCTACACGGAACCTTGTCTTGTAAAAACGTTGTTTTTGTTTACCTCACACCCATAGAGGATTGGGAGCTTGCTGAGAAGGGTGAGCCTCTCCGAGCTGTCTACGGAGTGGCGTCTGCTGTTGTTTCTGGTGACGGAGTATTCAGGTCTTAACAACCGGCACTCTCTCTGTGTAATTTAGGATGGTGGCTCCAGCTCCGACAGTGACCTAAGTCTGTCTTCCATGGTCTTTCTTAACCACAGCAGTGGTTCCGACGACTCAGCTGGAGACGGAGAAAGTGGCTTAGATCAGTCCCTTGTTTCTCTCGAGATGTCTGAGATTCTTCCAGATGAATCAAAATTCAATATGTACCGGCTCTACTTTGGAAGCTCATATGAATCAGAACTTGGAAATGGAACCTCCTCTGACTTGGTATATTGTGTAGTCATCATTGGGTGACTCTGATACGCAAAGATACATGTTGGTGTGACATTGGAGTGGGGTTTGTCTCCTAACAGCCCCACATAGTCTCCCTGGTTGGCTGGTCTGCACTAAAAGTGGTCTTGTTGTTTGGTCCTTGTTGGGTATTTAAACGGGCAGGAGCAAGGGGCTTGGTTCTGCAGGGCTCCCTTTGTGATCTATCATGAGTGATTTTAAATTCTTTTTACTCTGGAATCTATTTCATAGTAAATGTAAATTTTATCATCATGAAGTACTTCTGGATATTATGGAATTTGCTACAACGATATCTAGAATTCCTAACAACAAAAATGTTACCTACCCTGTGATTCTTTATGGAAAATATGAAAAGAAGTAATAATATGTATCAACAAGGAAACTATTTAGATTAAATGTGGGCAACATCATTGTTTTAATTAGTTAAAGTGTATACCCACTCAAATTAATAGTGGCTTACTATTGCTTTTTTAATGTATAACATTTTATATGCATAGTTCCTTTTTATGTATATTTGCTTTAATAATTAAGGTTTTTGGTCTTTTGGGTTTTTGTTTTTGTTTGAGACAGGGTTTCTCTGTGTAACAGCCTAGGCTTGCCTGGAACTCACTCTGTAGACCAGGTTGGCCTCAAATTCACAGAGATCCACCTGCCCCTGCCTCCCAAGTACTGGGATTAAAGGTGTGTGCCACCACTGCCTAGCTTAATTCAGGTTTCTAAAATATAAAAATACCTGCTTTTATTCCTAAAAAGTAGGGTCTTTTTTTAAAAATATGTATAGAATTTAAATCTGTTTCCTATTTTTCAATTTCTCTAGAAATATTGGGGAATCTTCGCATAACTATTTACTAGACACTGAGAGGGGGCTAGGGAGTCAGCCGCTAGTGAAGTGCTTGGCACAGAAGCGTAACCTGAGCTCTGAGTCCCATGTAGGAACATGGACACAGCGATGCATATCTGTAAGCCTGCCTGGGGAGGCACAGACAGGAGGCTCACTGAGGTCTGCTAGCCAGGCAGTGTAGACAGCATGGAGCTCCAGGTGAGTCTGTGTAGAAAATAAGGTGCAGTGTAGACAGCATGGAGCTCCAGGTGAGTCTGTCCAGAAAACAGGTGCGAAGCTACTGGCAAAGGCACCTGACACTGACCTCTGACCTCTGGCCCCTCACTCACGCACTTACACAGAAAACTAGGAATAAGGTTCATGTTGAACCTGTCCTTGGCCACCAGTGTCATAGGTTTAAGTAGCAAACCTCTATGCTATGGCTGCTGCTCTGATTTGCTCTGGAAGTCCAGCATCACAGAATGCCGTCTTTAAACTTGCTTAACTTTGGTACATTAAAATACAAACTTAGCTAAGTCAAGATTATTGCTTGGTAGCCTGCTTGCGCTCCAGGATGGCCTTATGTACACCCTAGCAGCAACAGGCAGACGTAAAAGCACTGGGAAATTCTCAAACAGTAACTATAAGAAGGAAACAAAGTTTTCATTTTTATCTTCCTGACTTGGCTCTCTCTCTCTCTCCCGGTGTGCCCATTCATCTTCCTTTGGTCTTTGCTGTCCCTTCCTGCAGAGCTCACAGTGTCCCTCGGCACCAAGCTCAGTGGCTCAGGATTTCCCTGCACCTCCTGGAAAAGAACCATTGTTTACACAACACCCTGTGCTCAGGACACCTTCCCAGGAAGGCTACCAAGAGCTGACCCAGGAGCAGAGAGACCAGCTGAGGGCAGAAATCAGCATCATCAAAGACAGATACCGGAGCCAAAGTGGAGTATGGCCTTTTCCCTCACAACCGTTACAGCTTCAGAAGCCGCTTTTCCCTTTTGGTCATGCATGTCTTTGCATCTTTTTCCCGTTTCTTATTTTTTTATTTCATTTTACATTCCAATCACAGTTCTCCCTCCCACCCCTCCTCCCACACCCCCCTCCGCCTTCCCCTAGCCCACCCCAGTCCACTCCTCCTCACAGGTAAGGACTCCCATGAGGTTCCACATAGTCTTGTGCAGTAGGCTGGGCCGTCTGCATTTTAACTGAGCCCTACTCACAAGCAGGGTGTTGACTAAGATGCTTGTGAGTGTCTTGCTTTGGAAGTGTCCTTTGAGGAAGAATGAGTGTTATCCAGGAAAAAGCTGACAAGAAGATACGACACTGGGACTGCCACTGTATTCCCAGGTTAACATCTGTTTAATCTGCTTTTTGTTTAAGGAGGATGAATCCCTTAACCAGCCAGGACCAATCAGAACCAGCTTTGCTATTAGCCAGGCCCATTTAATGACTGCACTTGCCCACACAAGGCCGTCCATTAGCGAAGATGAAGAGAAGGGTTTTGCTGAGCTGTAAGTAGCCATAAGAAACATATTATTCACTTAAGCTCTTGAGTGTTTAAAAATTTTAAAACTTCAGAATCTAAAAATATATACACGGTTAAACTGGGGTTGTAAGTAGGTGACAGAGCGTCTGCCTAGAATGTGTAAGGCCCTGTACACTCGTCCCGTAACCATCAAAGAAAGTGTCATAACTGTGCACCCAATTAGACTTTCCCTAACTAGTTTGTTGGTTATGTTTGAGTTATATTATAGTGAGATGATTTTAGAAAATGAAGAAACAGGACAACATACAATGGCCTAAATAATTTTAATTATTTAGCTTATAAAGTTTGTTAGCAATGTCCCGGTTTTAACTGGGTGTGATGGTGCATGTTTTTAATCTCAGCACTTACGAGGAGGGAGGCAGGCAGTCTCTGAGTTCTAGGCCATCTTGGTCTATATAGTGAGTTCCAGGACAGCCAAGGCTACTCGAAAAAAAAAAAAAACACCAACTACACACACACCCGGGTTTTGCTTTAGGATGGTTTACATTTTATTAGTGTTGGCATTTATAGAATCTTTCTCACTTCGGGGATTTATAGTCTTCCTCCGGTTTACACTGTGGCTACTGTGAATGGTGGCCTGGGCATCATTCTGTCGGTGATTCAACATAATTCAAAAAGTATTTATTCCTGGCTTCATTTAAGAATAAATGCTTCAGTCGGGCAATGGTAGTGCACACCTTTAATCCCAGCACTCAGTTGACAGAGGCAGGAGGATCTCTGTGAGTTTGAGGCCAGACTGGTCTATAAGAACTAGTTCCAGGACAGCCAGTGCTACACAGAGAAACTCTGTCTTGGGGAGGGGGGGAAATAAATACTTCAGTTCATGTTCAATTTTGCAGTTCTTTGAAGGTGAGGTGTATGTATGTCAGCAATGTGTACTTACTACATAGATATCAAAAAAGAAAACTAAGGAAGAATAAGAAATGGAAATTTCCTTCGCCTCATATGACTCTGTACTTACATTCTTCTCACTAAAATGAGAGCCTCTACCTGTGCTGCGAGGCCTCTGATCCCTTTGAGCCGCCCATCCATCCGTCTTGAACTCTGTCGGACGTTGATGCGGGTGGCTCTTTGTGGAATTCAATGCCAGCTTCTAGCATATCTGCCACCGTACCCAGGGGTACACACGCATGTCGCCTCCGGGTTCTCACTGCCGATCTGTAGGCAGTGTGGAGCCACGCATTTGCAATTCTTTCCCTAGTTCACTGGGATAAAGGTAGAGTCATTGCCTCACAGGGTACTAACATTCCTTAGGCTATAGCTAGTGTCTAGATCTCAAGCCGACCACCTCAGTGTTCCACTGCTCTCAACATGGCTGATTTAATTAGAGAGATTATGTCTTATTTAGTAACTTCCCTGCCTTTGAACATAACTGTAAAAGTTATAATTTTCCTATGGCCTATTGACATTTGTATTTTATCCTGTATAATCTACTGTTTTTTGTCTTTCTCCTTTTTTCTACTAGACTGCAACTTTGAAAAATTATTTTTGATAGCGTTTTAATTTCCCCTATTTTCCAGTTATTTTCCTTTCATTTCTTAAAACACAAGGCTGTTTTTAAAACAATCCATTATCTTTTTGCAATTATTAAATGTTATTCACTAAGTATCATCTCTCTTACTTTTTAAGGTATGAAAACTTTCAAAATCCAAAGAAGAGAAAAAATCCAAGTGGAACAGTGTTTCGACCTGGACAGAAAGTAACTTTAGCATAAAATATACTTGTGGTTTTTCTAGGATGTATTTGTTTGTTCTGATTGTCTGTCCCTAGTTGAAAATATAAAAATGATGTCTGTAAATTTCTTTTTAACAAATGGGTTAATTTTATAGAATGGTAAATGCTGTGATTATATAATTAATGCTCAGGGCTGTCTGAGATTAATGGTGAAGCTAAATGAAGGTATTTATAACAGATTGTGTATTTATTTCCATAAGTCTATATTAAATCCTCAGTAAAATCCTATCAGATCAGTGATAAAAAATTTTGTTTTCTTTTAGAGGAGAGAGATTTCTTGACACTCACTGTTTTTGTGCCATTTGACAGATTATATGCCTTGCAACTTATTGACTGTTTTGGTTTTGGAAAAAGATATATTCTGTTATCTTCTGATTTTTTAAAATCCAAACATGACATTTACATACAATACAATTCAGATATATTTAATCCCTTCAACTGACAATGCCTGATAGACTCTTAGAATTTTTAAATGTTGTTCTTTTTGGTCCTGACTGTAGCATGATTTTATCTTGATACTCTCTTAATCCATGAATTAAACTGTAAAGTCAGCCACCATCAACACACACAGCATCTCTAATATCTAGCAGTTGGGTTTGGAAAAGGGAGACAGAGAGAATTAATGAGAATATACAGATAAGCGTATGAAGTGTATGAGATCTTGCGTAATGTGGATGAGTGTACAAGCAGGCCCCCTGCCCTGTCCACAGCCTTGTTAATGGCTGCCATGAGAAGCCTGCATTTCCCTTTCTGTTTCTCCCTTCCAGGTGCTGGCCATAGCCTAAGAAAGCCTTTTTTTTTTTTTTTTTTTTTAACTTTAGCCGTTTCTCTTTTCTAAAGCTCCCTGTCTTAGTTAGGGTTTCTATTGCTGTGAAAAGACACCATGACCAGGGCAACTCTTTTTGTATATTTGTTTGTTTTGTGTTTTTGGACAGGGTTTCTCTGTGTAGCCCTAGCTGTCCTGGAACTCGCTCTGTAGAACAGGGTGGCCTTGAACTCACAGAGATCTGCCTGCTGGGATTAAAGGTGCTGCACCACCACCCAGCCAAGGCAACTCTTATAAAGGAAAACATTTAGTTGAGGAGCTCAGTTACAGTTTAGAGGTACAGTTCATTATCATCGCGGCGGGGGAGCATGGTGGCATGCAGGCAGACATGGTTCTGGAAGGATATCTGAAAGTCCTACATCTTGCAGGCAACAGGAAGTTGACTGAGACACTCAGTGGTATTCTGAGCATAGGAAACCTTAAAGTTTGCCCCAACAGTGACACAGTTCCTCCAACAGAGCCATATCCACTCCAATAAATCCACACCTCCTACTAGTGCCACTCTGTATGAGATTATGTGGGCCAATTAAATTCAAACTACCACACTTCCCTTCTGGCCACGTGACTGCTTGCCAACCCTCCTTGTCTAATTTATAACGTGTGGCTTTCTCTCTTCATCTTTCCTCACCATCCAGCTCCTCTGGGCAGCTGATGCAGTTCACAGCTTGCCTTTGTCCTCCAGCTTAAAACAAAAACCCGAGTTTTTAGTACTAGGGATGTTGTTTTAGTTTACAGCATAAACAAAATACGCTGCATCTTGTAGGACCGCACAGTCTCCCAGAGGTCAGCTGTTTCAGGGTGACAATTGAAATTAAACCCTGTGAATCCCCTGGGTAACACTGTGGTACTTCTCACTGTAAGATGAGTGACATAATCAAGTCGTGTCACATGAGTGACAGTGAAAGCATTAGTCTTTGAAAGCTGGTGTTGGCAGATGTTTGGAGTACAGACAAAAATTGAGTTCCAGAGATGACAAATCGATGCCACCTGTGTGGCAGATGGGGCTGCAGAAGTCCTCTGGGCTCAGGCTGGATTCCTGTGTGTCGATTGGGAATGCTCACTGCTACTGACCGGAAGATGCCCAGGGAGACAGACAGCTCGCATATGGAGAGCGTGCAGTCACTCCCCGTTCTTGCCCCCTGGACCACTTACACATGGGTCTGTCAAGTGCTGCAAAGCCTGGAGAAGAAAGTAAACACCCCTAGACATTCTGACTGCATGACCATTAAGAGCACTGATGGCAGTCTTCAAAAGCCTGACAACCTAAGTGGTGTCCTGGAACCCACGTAAAGGTGGAAAGAGAATTGACTCTGCATAGTTTTCTTCTGACCTCCATACACACTCTGATACATGCATCTGTGCACACAGCAAACACATGCAATAAAAATGAATGGAATAAAAAATGCATTAAAAGCAAAAGAGCCCGGAAGGCTTTTAGCTGAGCATTCATTCACATAGGACACAAATATTCCTGGCTCGCTGCAAGAACTCTGGCCTTTCCCTCAAGCCTCATAGCTGATTATACTCTTTAATTAACAACCTGGCTATCTGGTTACTGGTTACCATCTATAAGTTAGCATAGCTTTTGATAGCAGATGTCTCTCCTAACAAAATTAAGGAGATGGATTGCTCAAAAATTCTTCCATAAGAGCAGTAGTAACTGTAGGTAACAATACAATGTAATATAAATATTATTTCAGAGATCCAGGAGAAACAATTTTGAACATTTGGACTGTAAAAAGCGAAGGGATAGATATGTTTGACCTGACTAAACAACACATGGTATTAGTAGATGTGTATCAAAATATGTTGGCCCTACTAATATAACTTTTATATTTCTTTTTTTTTTAAATCAAAAAATTCTGGATGGGTTTATGACATAAACTTATAATCCTGTCCCTTGGGAGGCTGAGGCAGAAGAACCTCTTGTTCAAAACCAACCTAAGCTATCGAGTGAGCTAAATAAAAGAAAAAGAAAAGCTGCTCCTTTGGGGGATCTTTCCACTGTTGTCAGAGCTCTTCCTTAACCTAGGAATATGTTCACATACGACTAGGTGGGCCACAGTGGTGTTCCAGTTTCTAGGAATCCATGCCGGTGCAAACCCCATGTCTTCAGTCATCTGGCGAACATCTGATTACTTCCCAGTACACCTGGGATAAGGTCTGGTGAATGGCCTTGGATCTGGGGGAAGGCACCGAGGTGAGAAGATTCACAGCAGGTCCTGCTGATACTATAGAGCCCTTCCCTGGTGTAGAGAGATGCCTTCCCGCCAGCCTGGTTCCAGAGCCACATCAGTCCCATATGAACACACAGGAGGCTATATTAATTATGAAGCTGTTGGCCTTGCTTGTTTCTTACTGGCTAGCTCTGACTTAAGTATTTATCCCATAATAGTTAATCTAAGCATTTCTCTTATCCCTATGGCGGCTACATCGTGGCTCTCTGTGTTTCTCCTTCCCAGAGTCCTCCTCGACTCCTAGTCCCACCTATCTTGCTTCCCTATTGGCCAACAGTGCTTTATTCAACAACCAATAAGAGACAGATTTCAGAATGACATCTCCCATCACTTCATTCTTGGTCTGACCAAGGCCCGAGAACTGGGTCAGAGGCCATCACTGCAAAGTAATAGGCCTTCATTAACTAATAGGCTTTTAAGATTTTTATATGGATCTGTGCCATTGCATCTTGCTCTTAAAGACACGGCTTAGCACCAACACTCCCTGTAGGTCAGAGCTGTCATGAACACATGACTTTTCCTCCAGTCGTGACTGTCTCATCCACCTGGTCTTTTTCAGTGCGTTACCTAACGTGCTCTCATCCCCTCTAAAGGACCCCATGTCTCTCCTGCAACACAACACGTCAGTTACTCAGCAGGCTAACCCAACATCCACTCCTAGACCTCTCCCCTCCCTGCACTCTCTGGAAAGCGAGTTAGTGAGTCACTTGCTCTCCATTGCAGCCATGTGTGACCATGTGATAGTTTTAGGCACAAGTTCAGTTAAGAGTACAGGCTTACTTTCTAGCATAAAGGTACAATGCTTGGAGCTCATCTTGGAACCAAGAAGGTAAAACAAATCTCAGACCAATGATGGTAAAGGGAGAAAACAAAACATCTTGGTTTCCTGAGGGTAATCATGGCCACTAAGCTGATATAGCGGCTCTGGGTGTTCAACTCCTTAAAGCTGGGAACAGTAACCCCTTGTCTGTGTCTCTTAAGGGTTCCTACACAGCCAGCACTTCCTACCTACAGTGACACAGCTCTCAGAGTTGCTAATCCTCCAACCTGCCCAAATCCCATGTCAAAAAAGCAGTCCTCTGCCTCGGCTGCCACAGCTTGCCCTTCCCTCAGTCAGTAGTCAACCAGGTTTATGGTGTTTCTGCGGGATCTCCTTTGGCTCTTCTCAGGTCAGAGTTAGCAGCGTCTAACCTGACATCAGCCTTGGTGAACAGCTTGATGGGAAGACATCCAGTGGGAACCCAGGCTCATGATTTGCTGCTTTTAACTTTTTTCTCTCCTTTTTGTGCCGCATCAGTTGTTTCTGTGCTACACGGCAACTCTACAGGGTCAAGGTTCTTCTTTTCCTTGCTCACTGTACAGTAAGTAGCCTTAACTACTACCTGACAGTGGGAATAAGCACCTACATACCCAAGTAAGTAACAGGATTTAAGTCAATAGAGAAAGGTTCAAGTGTCTCTCCCTCCCCAAGCTTGGACTTGGGTTCCAGCAGCATGGCTAAACACAGCAAGGTCGGGATTGTGGGGAAATACGGGACCTGCTATGGTGCCTCCCTCTGGAAAATGGTGAAGAAACTGAAACCAGCCCTGACGCCTAGTCCACTTGCTCCTTCTGTGGCAAGACCAAGATGAAGAGACAAGCTGTTAGCATCTGGCACTGTGGTTCCTGCATGAAAACAGGGGCAGGTGGGCGAGGTCCTGGACCTACACCACCACTTGCGGTCTCACAGCCAAGCCTGTCATCACAAGACTGAAGGACCAGAAAGACCAGGAAAAGTGCTACCATTTTGAGACGGTCCTAGCCTGCAATGAATGGGTTAATTTAAGGGGCAAACCCCCAAATCCTCTATGCTTTACAAACCAACCTGGTATTATACAGGGTTCTTACTGCATGGTTGTGGGGGAGTCCTAATTCTCAAACTGTTCTTTCATAAGTACAACAAATTTTGACAGAGAGAAAATAAAACCTAATATTTAATTCTTAACCTTTTTCCAGATTAAAGCAGATACAAATGATTCTAAATCAGTTTTACTAGTGCACTCAATGTTAGAAGCATGAATTCTGTAGAATTGGATATTTATACTGTATCAAATGCTCATAAAGAAGATAAAATGACCTGCAAATTCAAAGCACTAACAGTGCTATTATGACTGACTTGGATTTTTTTTTTCACTTGGATACTTTTAATTGGTCTAGGACTCTGTCTCCCAGGAAGTTTGCATAGGTCAAAACAACAACAATAACTAAGAACAAAGGGATATAGCGGAATAAAAAATATTCACCATAAATTCACAGAAATTTTACCCAGTATTCTCTAGCAAGTTGAGATGAAGGAATTTCACCTTCCTCAGATATTACTGCATTCTCATGTATTGTTCACATGTGTAGGCGTAGCAGGAGCATCAGTAATGCAAAATCGTACACAATTACATAGCAAGTTTGAGGCCAGCCTGGGCTACCTAAGACCAACCAACCAAACAAACAAGTACACAAACAAAAACTATTATTAAGACTTTGAAAAAAACAAAACAAACATGCCCAGGAAAGCTACCATAAAGCCACTCTCCCTCCTGGTCCATGATAGAACTTAATTCTGAAAGCGTGCAATGTATCCACGTTTGCACAGGAAACACATACTCTTTAACTAAACAACTTTCTCTCCATTATGATGACTTTACCTGCTTATTGACAAAATGGAATTATGACCATCTTAGACACTCTTCTTTAAGAGACACCATGACCAAGGCAACTCTTACAAGAAAGTAAAATTTAATTCAGGGCTTACACACAGTTTCAGAGGCTTAGTCTATTATCAACAGGGCAGGGAGCATGGCACTGAAGCAGTATCTGAGAGCTACATCCCAATCTGTAAGCAGAGGAAGATACTGGGCCTAGAGTGGGCTTCTGAAACCTATCACACTTCTCCAACAAGTCCACACCTACTCCAACAAAGCCACACCTCCTAATCCTTCCCAAATAATATCATTTCCTGACGACTAAGCATTCAAATCTATGTGCTTATGGAGGCCTTCTTATTCAAACCACCGCAGTGACTTAAGCCCTTTCTCTTAAAACTTTATTATTATTGTGCACACATGATGCCTGTGTCGAAGTATGTGGTGATATTTATCATCTAACAAACAGAGCTTATCTGAAGATCAGAGTGCAAAGCAAGTCACCCTAGTTAGCGATACAGGCCAGGCAGTAGTGGTATACATCTTTAATCCCAGCACTTGGGAGACAGAGGCAGACAGATCTGTTAGTTTAAGGCCATCCTGGGCTACACAAAATTGATCTAAAAGAGAAACAGAGCTCACACAAAGGTGATCCCAGCACTTGGAGTGGCATGCCTTTGATACCAGTACTAAGGAGGTAGAGACAGGAGTGATGTGCCTGGGAGGAGGAAGGAATAATGAGGGAGGAGACGAGACAGATGCAATTTAGGAAGGCAGTCTGAGGAGCGGTGTGGTCTGAGGAAGAGTGCAGTCTAAGCAGTGGGAGGCCAGGATGGCCCCTTCTGTCTGAGCACTGGTAGAACTCTCTGGTGGCTGGCCACTTTGTTTCTTCACATTAACCCCAGTATCCAACTCTGAGATTTTATTATTAAGAACAGTAAGAATTCATGCTACAGAAGTAGAGGGAATGCATGCCACAGGGAGTATGTCAAGGTCAATGGTCAGTTCTGTGTGCCTGGTTCTTTCCACCTTTTCTTCCCATGGGTAGAACTCATGTTGCAGGCTCACACTGCAAATACCTTTAACAGCTGGATCCACCTTGCTGCCACCCCTTTTTCTTTAATGAGATGGTGTCTTGCTTTGTAGCCAAGACCCTTGATCTTGACCCTCCTGCCTTGGCCTCCCAACTAGGATTACAGATACATGCATCACACTCCGCTTGATTCAAATTTGTGTATTCATGTGTATGCTATGTCTATGCGCATGCACGAATGTGCACTATGTGTATAGAGGTCAAAGGACAACCTCAAGTGTCATTCCTTAGGACCTGCTCATTGTACTTTTAAGTCAGGCTCTCTTGCTGGCCTGGAGCCTGCATGGTAAGCTAAGCTGGAAGCCAGTGAAGCCGAGGGCTCTACCTGCCCCCAACACTGTGAATACAAGCATGTGCCACTATGCCCAGTTTTGGTACACGGGTTGTGGGGATCAAACTCAGGTCCTTGTTTGCTTTGCAAGGACTTTACCAACTGAGCTACCCCAATTCAGACTGCCTGATGGAGAATTTATGTAAATTCTAGAAAATGTCACAAAATTCACACCCAAGTTAAGTCCGTTGCCATGGCCTAGCATCAACTAAGGTATCTACAGTCATTTTATTTGACAGGATGGAATTTAAACTTTACACTAAACAACTCCCATTACTGAGGACCTAATTTGGGTATCATGGATGAATAAATAAAACACACATCCTTTGCACACAGAGAAACATTCCTCCAGAGTAGGTATGGGAGCACAGATATCCAAAGTGAAACGCAATCACAGAAAGGGTAGATTGATTTCTAGAGGCCATGAGGGTCTGAAAAGGTTTCATGAGGAGACAGAATTTAAGGACTTTAGGGTGGGGATTCAGCTCAATAGCTGAGCACCTGTCTAGACTGTATGAAGCCCAAAGTTTGACCTTCTGAGTCACAAAGAACCTTGTGGAAGCCTATGGTAGAGTGAAACCAAACAGTATGAACAAAGGCACCAGGAAAACAAGAAAGGCAGACACTAGGCAGTTCAATGGTAACTGGGAGGAAGGCAGAATGAGCTGGGCAACTGGCAAAGCCTCCCAGGGCAAGCTTTAGACAGTAGATCAATACTAAACAATGGCAGCCATTGGAGTTGGATGGCAGGAAAATTAAAATTCAATCTATTATAAAAGACACAAGTATCTACCAATTTACAAAGAAATGGTTAGAATAAAAATGGTCTCGGGTTTTATTTCTTAGAGTCTCTACATAGTACTGGTTAGGTCTGGAACTTGCTATATAGACCAGGCTGGCCTTGAACTGACTGAAATCCTCTTGCTTCTGCCACTAGAGTGCTGAGATTAAATATATACCTGCTCAGTCTAATAATTTCGATTTTTTTTTTTTTTTTAGTTTGTAGACAGGGTATCTGTGTAGACCAGGCTGACCTTGAACTCACAGAGATCTGACTATCTCTGCCTACTGAGTATCAGGATTAAAGGTGTGTGCTACTACTGCCCAGCCTAACAATTTGGATTTTAAATGCTTTTATTTTAATAAATGCTAAATGTTCATTTTATCAATAAGTCAATCTTTGATTTTTCCTTAATTGTGTTACTATGGATGAGTAATCTTACCTACTTTAAATCTAGAGTGATATTTCTATTTAATACCATCCTGAGGGGGAGGCATCCTATTTCCTATTACATAGTTAAAAAGAAATTAATAAACAAATCCAAAACAAACCCTTTGTAAAAATATATTTTAATCCCACACTGGAATATTGGCATTTAGAAGGTCATTTCCAACAATATTTACAATGAATTTCATTGTAGTTTTTTTTTTTTTATTCCCAAGGAGGAAGATGCTTCTTCCCAACTTTGGGATGAGAGAAGAAGGTAAAAGAGTTCTGATGAAAATCATTAGGATCATGTCAAATTTTCATACATTCCCGGGGTTAAAACTTCTGTCTACATAGATCAGGACAGAGGCAGCATGTGGGTGCCTGCCCACTCCTCCTCTGCATGTGACAAAGTTGCATTTGAAACAGACAACAGACATTCCCAGGCATAGCACACCACGAATCCTCAGCAAATGGTTTAACTTGGGGTCTTTTGACTACCAAAACTAATGACCTACTAGTCACTTCCAAGATAGCCAGTCACTATCCTAATAACAGGAAATTGTTACGTGGTCTGCTGCCTGAGTGGAAAGAGGGGACGTCTATACTGCAGATCAGAGGCATGACAGAAGAACCGCTCACAGGAGCAGCAGATGCTGACAGTAAAGGCAGTTGGACTGAGAGCAGATGAGATCAAGTCTTAAAGAGCCAGGGCTAATAAAATCACCTACCAATTGCTTTCTGTAGGACCAAAGCAGCTGAGGACTGCTTCTAGAGAAGGAAAAAATGAAACACACTGGTCACATTTTGATTTAGTCCTTGATCAGAAATCTAAGTAAGCCAGATGCACCTTTAATCCCAGCACTCGGGAAGCAGCAGCAGGCGGATCTCTGTGAGTTCGAGGCCAGCCTGGTCTATGGAGTGAGTTACAGGACAGCCAAGACTACACAGAAAAAACCCTGTCTTGAGGAGAAAACAAAATAAATCTAAAACTCAATGTTCTGTACCTATATAAAAATACAATTCATTTTATGTGTTTGTAGAAATAAATTTGAAGAAAAATAGACACTCCATGTTTCTAATGGTTTCCCTGGAATCTGCCACTTTTGCCTAGGAAAATATGCATGGAATTTAATATTAAACTTCAAATTCATCCTTTTCCCACCCTGTGATTTTTCTAAGCAACAGATACTAAGGAAGCTAATAATTAGGGATAGTAGGATAAAAGCTTTCTCAAGTCACGTTTCCACATGGGAGCTTCATGAAAGAAGGATCGGGCATTAACTAGCCCTGGTGTAACACATCTGTAATCCCAGCACTCAAGGAGGATGAAGCAGAGGGATCTCAAGGTCAGCCTGGGCTATACAGTGAGATCCTATCTCAAAAATCTAAGGAAAAAAGCTTCAAGAGAAAAATGTGTGGCATATCTTAATATATTAAAATATAAGAAACTGGAAAGTTGGTTTTATCTTGGGGTGTGTGTGTATGTTCTGGAGATTAAAATCAGTTTCATACATGCTAACTAAACATGCCCCAGGTTTGGTTCTGTAACTATACGTGGTTGGTAACTGTCTCCTTAATAGTTATTGCAGGAGTAGGTCCAACATGAGTCCATATGTAGCCCTTCTCTGGTCTGCTGGGAACTGTAGGAAATGGTGATGACCTTGACTTGAAATACTCAGAAGGTGCATGGCAGACAAATTCCAGGTATTCCATCTTCCTTGGAAGATCTTCCTCTGGCCCTAAGAAGCAGCAAATGGAAAAGCTAAACACAGTTTTGAACACGGATATCATTTTTATGAAACGTTGGCATTCTTGTAAGAGGAAGCACTCGGGGACCACCTACCTGACATTAGCCCTTGAAAAGCATTGCTTTGAAGTCACACTCCACTGTTTACTTCACTGCTTAAGGAATGCAGCATCCTAGAACACTGACTACAGTTTATGAAGCCTATTCTCGTCTAAGAACTTTACATCTGTCCATACCTGGAGTCCTCACGACTTCCTCCCCGGCACTACTCTTTCGCATTTTACATGTAAGAACCGTGAGCAAAGACGGGTTAAGGACTGGCAAGCAGAGGGGCTAGGAAAGCCAGTAGTCTGTCTCCAGGGCTTGTGTCTGACCTTCCACCATGACTTCATGTAAGGCAGGGAAGAATCTCCAACTTTGAGTCACAAAAAGGAGGAGAGAGCAGCCTAGAGGGATGCAGGCCAGAATGGCCTCTGCTAGCTCCACATCCTAGGTACAAGGTACGTTTGGTCATATAACGAGCTTGACAAGTGAGTGCAAGTGACGGTGGGGTGCTAGCTGTCCTTGGCGTTCTCACTAAGAGAAATGTAAAGTTTCCCTTTGGGATGTAAAAATGAATGCACGCCCGATACAGAAAGAATGAAAAGTACAGAATAACTAAAGAAAACTGAACACTCAAAATTACATTAGCTAGTCATTTTTGAGTCTGTCAAGAATTATTCCTGCTGTATCTTTTGAATGCCTTGAAATGATCAACCTAGTACAGTGTGCCATTTTAACCATTAACAATGATTGTTTGTTTTTTGAGAATAGGATGTCATGTATGCTGTGTAGAGGGACATATCTGAGAATTTAGTTTTAGAAATAATTAGGAAAGTTCTTTTAGAAATTGTTGTTAAGGAATTTTATAAGTAACATATATAACCAGGCCTGGGTCACACAAACAAACCTTGTCCACATCATATTTTAGTGAGTACACATTGCTCTAACCCACAGAAAGAGAAGACACTCAGATGGGACCATTAGACAGGTAGCCAAGGTCAAGTACAACTAAAAGAGTGGACCCCCCAACTCTAGACAAAGAACTACAGGCAATTAAGGAGAACTCAGAGTGAGAGGATTGATCATGGTGTTTCCTTACAGCAACTCAACAGTAACTAAGACATGCCCTCCCACTCCTTGCTTATCTTCTACCAAGTGATCAGCCCTGAAATCACAGGAATAAAGTAATGTCACATGGACTCAGCAGGTTGAATTTATGTATCTAGGAATATACACAACAATCAAATAATTAACAATAAAAGAAGTGGGGTACATGGGAAGGCTAGAGGGAGGAAAGGAGAAAATAATAATTGTATTTTAATAATAAAAAAGGACTATGGGAGCTAGAGAGGTCAAGGACACCACAGAAGAAAACCCACAGAATCAACTAGCCTGGGCTCATAGGGGCTCACAACTGACAACCAGGGAGCTTGCCTGGGACGGACCTAGACCCCTTTCTTATTTTTAGTTGTGTAGCTTAGTCTTCTTGTGGGACTCCAAATAGTAGGAGCAGGGGCTGTCCCCGACTCTGTTGTCTGCTTTTGGGACCCTTTCCTCCTACTGTGTTGCCTCGTCCAGCCTTAATGAGAGAGGAGGTGCCTAGTCTCACTGCAACTTGATACATCATGGCTGGTAGATATCCATGGGAGGTCTGCCTGTATCTGGAGAAAGGAGGAGTGGATGGAGCTAGAAAAAATGAATTAATAAATAATAAAAAAGGGGATCCCTATTTATTATTAGACTGATATCCTTCAACCAGGGAGTCTGCATAGGACTGTCCCTAGGCTTTCTACATACATGATAGTTGCATAGCTTAGTCTTCCTGCAGGACTCCTAACAGTGGGAGCAGGGGCTGTCTCTGACTCTTTTGCTGGCCTTTGGGACCCTACTCCTCACACTGGGTTGCCTTGCTCAGCCTTCATATATGGGGAGGTGCTTAGTCCTAGCACAACTTGATAGGCCATGCTTTGTTGATATCCATAGGAAGCCTGCCTTTTCTGAATAGAAACAGAGGAAGAATGGATTGGTGGGGCAGAGGAGAGGTGGGGGTGGGGACAGGGAGGACAGGAGGGAGGGGAAACTGTGGTCAGGATGTAAATGAAATACCTTAATAAATTAATGAAAGCAAAAACAAATGAGAGAGTGACAGGCAGCAAACAACCAAGCTTGTATATAAAGAAGTCAAGAACCTGGCAAGATCAAAGGACAGAGCTGTGCCTCAGTGACTGAGGTAGGAGAACCCTATTTTACAATGAAAACAAGATGTTTCATAAAACCATGATTATGTTTAAAAGTATTCTTTTTGGGTACCCAGAGGGGGAAAAAGGCTGGTGTCCTTATAAGAGGTACTGGAGAGTTCTCTTTCAATGTGCACACACAGAGCACATTGGTGGGGGAAGGGGGGAACTCAGCAAAAAGCAGCCGCCTGCAAGCCAGGAAGCAAGGCCTTACCCACCACACAGCCCTCTTCACAACACCTTGGTCTGACTTCCACCCTTCAGAGCAGCCTCAAAGGCAACACTCTTTTATAAAGCATGAAGAAGTAACTCAACTTGAGAAGTGTGCGGTTAAGCGACCTTACCTATTATGTAGGATGCAGGGTCGAACTGGTCTCTGGGGCTAGCCAGGGTAGGAATGAGCCATGTCAGGGCTGCGCTCTTCTCACAGTACTGGTCCTGGATAAAGCCTCTGATCTGAGCGTAGTACGGCTTCCCGTCTTGCTCGTCAATCACAGAAACAACATCACCAATTTGGTAATATACTCCCTGGGGGAAATGAAACATCCTCTTGTATTTAAAACAGTAACAGATCACCGCCATGAGCAAAACATTAATCAGTCAGCAAATTTCAAAACAGGAAAAAAAAGGTCTGAGTACCACTAATGTTTTACATGGTTGACATTTGTTTCACTTATAAATGAAAAATACTTGCATTCATACATATATATGACAATTTTGTCATGAAGATACTATCTCTACTTTTAAGAGAATGGCCACTTTTTTTTTTTTTTTGGTTTTTCAAGACAGGGTTTCTCGGTATTGCTTTGGAGCCTGTCCTGGAACTCGCTTTGTAGACCAGGCTGGCTTCGAACTCACAGAGATCTGCCTGCCTCTGACTCCCGAGTGCTGGAATTAAAGACATGCACCACCAATGCCCGGAAAGAAAGACCATTTTTAAGAATGGTTTTGAATTCACAACCAATCAGGGAAGGAAGAGCTAGGGACTTTCTCCTAGTCTCCTTTGTTGGTACATATACGGCATTCTCCTTTACCCATGTCCTCATTATCAGAGTGAGACACTTACGGCAACTGATGTGCCTATACATTACATCATGACTCAAGCATCATAAATTAACCTTAATCTTGGTGCTATATAACCTGTATAACAATGGATCTACTATGATCATACCATTGAGTAGTTTCACTGGCCTAACAATCCTCTATACTATCCCTACTTTTTTTTAACCCAGTCATTAGTAGAAAAGTTATACGAAGTCCACACAAGGCAGAATGTGTGCCTACACTGCAAACTGTGTGCCTACATTAACTAGTAAGTAACTGTACTCTCCTAAAGATCAGCATTTGCTTGGTGACACTAGATTCTACACATTGCCCTCTCCAGTTGTCTATTCAAAAGAAAATAAGTATGGTAAATTCAATCCAAAAGAAACAATGAGAACCTCTCAGATCATAACCAGCATTCAGAATATGTTTACCCTCAAGTTATCACACATTTCCCAGACTCCTTGACAACTGTCTACTCCATGCCCTTTCTGTTTACATCTTCCCAACAATATGACGATGATATATTCATTTCCTGTTCTACTTTATATCTAACCAACTCATCTGTACAATTCCAGTATTGAATTCTTTCCCATGACTCCATTATCTATCCCAGGTCCTCTTCACTGGATCCTGAGTTGGAGAAATTTTACCTTTGAATATCCATAATGATTGATCTTTATGATATGCAGAACTTTCCTTAAGTGTGTGTAGTCCTCAACAGGTCATACTTTCCTCAACTGAAGGAATGATTTGTGTTTTTTTCTTGAAACAAGGCTTCTGTAGCAGTCAAAGCTGCTAAGATATGTGGAATTTAACCACACAAAGATTCTGAATGAATACTTCCAGTAATTCAGTTGCAACACAGGACATCCGACAGACCAGGGGTTTCTCCTAGTGGATGCTTGTTCATATCTGGGGTAACACACACCAGGGTCTCAAAGAATGTGCAGTTATTGAAGGCTACAGTCTATGATTTATTGCTCCACAGCTATTGTCAGCTGGTCCTCCCCATCCCTACGACTCCAAGGTTCTAAGCTACTTATCAGATAAAGTTTAGTTTGTTATCTGCTATGTTCACACATAATTTCTCCCAAATTATAAAACGCTGTATTTGTTTATCACAGGTACTCAGATATATGTTGAATATGAATCACAAATATGCAATGGTGTGACAATAACTCTGCAATGCAAAGATAAGGTCTTAGTGAGAAGCTTCAATGGCAGGCACTGCCTAACCCATGAGGTGTGTGCAGCAGTCTCCCTATTCTGCGGGACGGTGGGGGTATGGGGGTGGATACCCTAGGAGATACCTGAACCTTGGATAATGCTACTCTAGGCACTCCAAATTTTCCTCCTATATATCCACACTTATGATACAGTTTAATTTATAGTTTGGGTAAGAGATTAACAGCAATAACTAGTAATGAATAGAACTAATAATAACTAGCAATAAAACAGAACTGAAACTGCAGATAAGGGAGACTACCATACAATACCTAACAAACATCGCTAAGACACTTTATCTAAATACTCTCCATTTTCAGGCAGAGAGAAAGGAGATGAACATATTGAAGAGCACTGGATTTATTGGGAATGACACACTGAGTTCATGCAGCCCTGACACTGCAGTACTCCAGAAAGGTCACGTACCCGTTCTACTTTCTATATGTCTGCATTCTTGTCTGTCAATCCTAGTGACTCCCATTCATTTCTCTCTCATGTTTTTATTATTTTAAATTGTGTGTGTGTGTGTGTGTGTGTGTGTGTGTGTGTGTGTGTGTACACATGTATGTGGGAATACAGGAGCCACAGAGGACAAAGGAATCTTTCCTGCTGAGTTGGGAGTATAGTTAGTTGTGATTGGCTGGATGTAGGTGCTGGAACTGAACTCGGGTGCTGTTAACTACTCTTCTACCTCTCCAGTCCCTCTCTCACACGTTTGCTATGGGTTCCAGTTCAGCTTAGACGCTCACTCTGATCTCTTCAACTTGCCACCATGAGGCCAGCTCTGCTCTAAGAGTGTCCACAATGCTGGCTATCGGAAACATTACTTGAATATTTTGCTGTATTTTGATCCTACTATTTAATAAACATAGCAGTAGATAGCAATAAGACTGATCCTTGCAATAAAGAGTCCCATGTGCCTTTACATTAAACCACACAGAGAAATCACTAGTACACTAAACTTTTATTGTCTAGACTTAACCTATACACTGTATGAGTCACCGGAGAAGTTTTACACAAACTTGTGGATGTGGTGATGACCATTTGTACCATTCATTGACCTTGCTAAATGTTTAACATGCATAACCTCAGGAAGCAATTACTATTTACAATCTTTATTTTTCAGATAACCACCTGCCAAGGCAATGGAGCCAAGATCCAATTCCTGGGCTCAGGCTCTAGCATCAGACTGCCTCGCCCCATGATTTACCAGCTACACTATCTTGGATAAACTAATTAATCTCTCTTTGAGTCAATGTCCTTATAAAATGAGGAAAACAGTACTCACCCCAGAGGAAACTGAATAAAACAAAACACTTGAAATGCTCAGCTCACTGCCTTATCAGTAAGATGCATGCTCGTGTGTGCAAGCCTTCGAGCATGTGTGCACCCATATTCAACACACATCTAATGATTAACAATTAACAATGTACTAAATTCTATATAGGAGAAATTCTGGCCTATGACATACTTTTTTTTTTTTTACTAAAATACCTGTGAACTAACAAAAACAAATGCACTCAAAGGTCAAACCATTTAAGTACCACAAGGGATTTGACCCAGTGGGTCAGGTAGAAAGCACTGACTCACCACTGCCTCCTGCAGGACAGTTCAGATCCCAAACACCAAAGAAAATTAATGATTGCTGCCTATGCCAGGCCTGACAGCCTTAAGGGCATTTTCTATATTCTAACTCCTTTTGTGTCTTCCACTTTAAAAGTAATAAGATATCACATGCCTCACCAAAGTCATGGCTATCTGCTTTGGCCCAAGGGAAGACCTCATTTTATCAACAGAATCTTGGACAGTGAACTAAGAATACCCTTGTTCAAATTTTTGGTTTTTGTGTATGGGTGTTATTACTGCATGGAAGTTTGTATACCATGTGTGTACCGGGTGCCCAAGGAGGCCAGAAGATGTCAGGTCCCCTGGAAGTGGAATACTGAAATTAAACCTGGGTCTTCTGGAAGAGCAGCCAGTGTTCTTTACTGCTGAGCATCTCTCCAGCCCAACTTTAAAACCTTTTCTTCTTTTTATTACAACTGATTCATCCCATACATTCCAACCACAGTTCCCCCCTCTGCACAACAATCAGTTCCCCCTGCACCTCATCTCTCCCCAGATCCACTCCCCTCCATTTACTTCAGAAAAGAGCAGACCTCCAAGAGACAACCAAACACCAAGTTAACAGCCACACACATACACGGAGGACCTGATACCTCTACCTTATTGCTCTTGCTTCTGCTTAAGGCAGTTCACAACCCCTAACTTGTTCTACCCACAGCATGGTCAACATCTCTAGCCATTCCTTCCAACCTTCGTCCTTCTCACCATCGATGCCTTCGTTTTGAATTGGGTGACTCACTCTCCACAACTCCGCACTATACACTAGCACTGTAAGAACAATTCTTTAGCACCTCAGAGGCAACCTCCCCTTCCACCTGAGCTCTGGATGAGACATTTTACAACAGCCTGGAGGGAACAGCTTACAAGGGCCCTGAAAAGGTCACACCTTCTTCACAATAGCAGTATTGTGAAGACTAAGCCAGTATTTTAGTAGCACACTGTACAACAAGCCAACTGCTCTTTCAGTAACTCCACAGCAGCTTACCTTGTAGAAGATGGATTCTGCAGTAATTATAGTAGAAACAGATTCAGGAGCTTTGATAGGCTATAAGAAAACAAAAAATGAAACTATTTGTGTATCTATATAGTATGCATGGGCATTTTCCTAACCATATGAGAACTGGGTTACTTGAGAAAAACAACATTGTTATTTGGTGACAAAAACTGCAAGAAAAATTTCTGACAGGTGTGATGGTACATACATGTAATCTCAACACTTGGAAACCTGAGGGAGGAGGATGGCAAGCTCCAAACCAGTCTGGGTTATACCGTAAAGACTACACACACACACACACACACACACACACACACACACACACACACACACACACGCACACACACGCACACACGCACACACTGAAAAAGATTTCTTGAATGTTGATATGAAGCAGCTGAATATTTCCAACTATATTTGCTACCAATAATTTAAAAGGTGCTAAAAAACTAGATAAAGCTTCTGATTATGCTGCTAACAGCTAACACAGAGCTTTCTCAGATCTCTATTAGACATTAACATTCAATTATATAAATACACTGGCTCTAAAAGACTGAGCATGACACGATGGAAATTATAAAAAATTTACAGATGAATATAAAATGAAAAATTTTAATTCTGTTGCAAGCCTGATCTCTTTGGTGTTCTTTGTAATTTGCCACATTGCACCATCACTAAAATTCCTTTTTAAAACTGCAATACAAACTTCATCACAACATAAAAAAAAAAATCACCTCTTCCATGATTTTGTGCCATTCTTGAAGAATGAAGATGCAGAGAAATTAATAATGAAATAACTCAAGAACACTGGTTGAGAAAATATACCTGTTATACAAATGTTAACATTTTGACTACTCAAGAAAATCTTAGTTTAAGAAAACTAAATTATAAAAGTCTTAAACTATAACAACCATTCTCTTGGTGAAGAGAAGAGTCACTGGTTGGGAGATGGCTGAGTGATAACAGCATTTGCCAAGCAAGCCTGAGAACCTAAGGTGGATGGATACTACTGGAATCCTAGGGGGAAGGAGGAAACCAGCTCCTGGAAACTGCCCTCTGATCTGCACATATCCACTCTGGCATACACCTGCATTCATATGCAAACAATAAAAGATAAACAAGAAAAGAAAAGAAGATCAGGCCTGGAGAGAAAGCGCAGTGGTTAAGAGCCCTTGTTGCTCCGGCAGAGGACCTAGATTCAGCCCCCAGAACTCCCATGGCCGCCCACATCACAACTGTCTAACTCTAGTACCAAGGCATCACATGCCTGGCCTCTGCCAGCCTCTGAGGGTACTTGGTGTATACATACAGACAAAACACTCATACACACAGAAGAAAACAAATATTTAAACAAGAGTCTACAATCTGGGCCCCTCTGTTCTATAAATGAGTATATCTAGTAATGTGTTTACTAGCAAGTGAAGCATTGTAGGGGAGAGCCCACAAAACTCTTCCCGCCTATGGGTGGAGATACGGAAATTTAGCACAGGTGAAGATAAAAAGACCTCCCTTGTCAAAGCATTTTTGTCCCCAAAGTAATATGAAACCTATAATATCGCTATCTCATATGTACAAAAATAAAACGTCACAACAAATATCTCTCTAGCATGTGATGTAAAACAATCTTCATACATCAGGTTTAGAAAAAATTGTGGATTTACAATCACAAGTTCATCATGAACCAATGGATACTTTTTTTCTGGGGCTATCATAACAAATATGGTATTGATAAATTTTTTTATGTGCTTAGCTTGTTAAAAGATAGAAAAAAGTTTTCCTATTTAACCATGCATCAAGAGCCATAACTTCATGAAACTGTCAATGAACTAATTTAACCAATTTTAAAGAACCATAATCTTTCTTTGCATAGAGAATATGACAAACTGAGATAAATTACACAGTATTTCTTAGGCTCCTTTTATATTTTCCAGATGAAAAAGTAAAAGCTAGGATAAAGAGAGAGAGAGAAAGAAAGTGCTTTTCTAACGATATAAATTGCAAGCTTCTTAAACGGAGCTCATCTTTTGGTGAACCTTGCCTTCCGGCCAGAACACTGCAGAAGGGCTCCCAAGAGGCACACCTTCAAGAGGCACACCTTCAAGAGGCACACCTTCAAGGATGACTAGGGAAAGCAGCCGCAAGGCACACCACACACACACAATGCCCTACAGTAAACGCACGATCATCTTACGTTTTTTAATTTAAAAATGTGCCTTCTCCCTTTTCCTTTGGTGGAGACTTTCTTTTCGGCAGCTGGAGCGGATTTGTATTTGGTGTTTCTGAGCCGGGCTGACCTTCTGTGGATTTCTTGCTTACTCTGTTAACGTAATTTTGAGAAAAAGAAATGAAAACTGTAGAAGAAAAGCCAACATGATAATCTCACAGAGGTCAGGGGATGTACTTTGTTAAAATACTTCAAACAACAACAAAAACCCAACCGAGGGCTAAGATGAGTGAACCTCTGCAGGGCGTCCCGAGAGGTGGCGCTGCTTGCTAGAGGGAGGCGGACGGGAGTGGGCGGAGGCCAAGGCGGGAACTACTCGTTTGTGGAAGCTCTCACACAGGGGAAAAATACCTCTAATTTACACCTCGCCCCACCCACAAGCTGTCCACACGTCTCACGGCAGAATCCCAACGCTGTCATTTTAAACGGCCTGATCGTGGGTCGGTAACATACCGACAAGGCTCTACCAGGCAAGAGACCCTCGGCCACATCCCTGGGGCGTGCGGCGCAGCTCTGCTGACACCGAGTTCGGGGCTCTGCCTGGGGCGGGCGGCGCGGCTCTGCTGACACCGAGTTCGGGGCTCTGCCTGGGGCGGGCGGCGCAGCTCAGCTGACACCGAGTTCGGGGCCCTGCCTGGGGCGGGCGGCGCAGCTCAGCTGACACCGAGTTCGGGACCCTGCCTGGGGCGGGCGGCGCAGCTCTGCTGACACCGAGTTCAGGGCCATCTCCGCCGCGGCTCTGTCGAGCACCGCCCTGCCTCTTCCCGTGTCACCCGGGAGCTCACCTGCTTGCCGCCCCCGCCCCCGTTGCTCTGCGGGGGGCCGGCCGAGGTGCTGGCGAAGGTGGCCGTGCCGAAGGCGCCGGCGACCCCGGTCCCGCCCGCCGCCCCCGCGCCGCCGCCGCCGCCCCCGCCGCCGCCCCGGCCCGTGCAGTGGTGACAGAGGATCTCTCCCTGCGGGCTCTTCTTCCACATGGAGGAGGACGTGGTCTTGCACGCGCTGCAGGTGGGCTTCAGGCCCAGCGGCATGGTGGCCGGCTCGGGCGGCCCCCGCGGGCGGAGCGACACGGGAATGGCGGTCGTCTGCGCCGGCCGCCCGGGGGTCGGCCCGCCACCCCGGCGACTGGAAGAGCGGGAGAGGCAAGGTCTCCGGTGCTGCGCCGCCCGCGCCGGTACCCAGCGGCCGCCGCCGCCCCCGCCGCCCCCGGGAAGCGGGAAGCGGGCAGCCCGGGACCCAGCCCTGCCGCTGGGCCGCCCGCGGGGGACGCAGGCCCGATACTCCGCCTGACCTCCCGGGAAAGCCAGCTCTGGTCAGAGGACGGACCCCGGGGTGGACGGGGCAGCGGCGACACCAAAGCCTGACCTCCGCCCACCGGGGCTTCCGGCGATGGGCGGGGCTTCCGGGGCTCCTGGGGCGGGGCGGGGCCTGCTAAGCCAGTGCGGCGGGCGGGGCTCCCGGGGCGGGGCGGGGCCTAGTAAGCCAGTGGGGCGGACCTAGGCCAGCAGGCAGTACCAGAGTTAACCATTGCCTGTCCCGGTGGGGAAGATGTAGGATTTCCCGCTAAAGGTGAATTTCAAGTGAACAACCACTAACTTTTTTACTGGGAATAGCCCATGTGATACTTGTTACCTGAGATTCGCATTTACCCGAGTACCCTTTGCTTTCATTTATTCGATAAATTCAGGCGTCTTGATCACGACCCATTAACGCTCTTAAAAAAATGTTTTATTGACTTGCAGGCTGAGGTGGTGACCGGGTTAGTAAACTTCTTCTGAAGGAAGCTTATGGGCCTGAGCTTGATCCCCGGTACCCACATAAAAAGACAGGTGGGTTAGGGCTGGAGAGAAGACTAGAGTCGGTATTAGCACCTACTCAGTCTATGAAACGTTCTCTGAACGTTATCACTTGACATGCTTCCTAACTTTCGAATACAGTGCTCCTGAGCCCCCAAAAGAATTGGATCTAAGAAATTCCTGTACTAAGAGCATTCAGACAGGAAAAAAGCTGAAATAGCAACTTGGATGCGAGAGATTAACTTGTCAGTGATTTATTTTACTTACTTGGGCCAATGTAGTAGGGCTGTGCGGGGGTCTGTGTGAGGGGTCTATGAGTTAGTAGGCCAGTTGGGTTAGAGATTAGCAATATACAGAAGTATTCCCATCAATTTTTGCTCAGAAGGTACAACACTATAATTAAAAATTATTACACTTTTGTATGACACAGTCGGGTCATACCAAAGACATTTATGTCTTTTCTGGATTAGCATAGATTTTACTTACTTATTTGCATAATGAACAAGCAACTCAACACACCTTCCTGACATTTAAAATAGTGTATACTAGCACAGGTGTTTCCAAAGACTGTTACTGGGGGTGGCATTGAATACCACTTTCATTAGGAACAATTACTAAAATAATCTATATCTTTTCCTCTGTGAACTTTGGCTGGAGGAACTGAACACACATAAATCTAGATTTGAAACACTACAAACTAGTAATTCTCTGGGAGAGTCATTAGCAAAAGCAGACATAATATTTACATGGAAAAGAGACTTTGATTACTTTGAAAGGATAAGCCTGAATATTGGCTGTGACTGCTGAAGTTCCCTGGGACACAAACCCAAGGAATGAGGGAAATAATTGGTCCTGAAACAATTGGTACTGGTTACAGGTAAATAAAGGTTTTATTGAGTTGACAGACTGCATCTTTGGTAGTGTTTTGTTTTGTGTGTCATATTTGCATACATGTTCATGTGTGTATGAACACACATGTGTGTGCGTATATGAACATGTGTGTGGAGGCTAGAGGTTGGCATTGGGGGGTGGGTCTTCCTCAATCTCTGTCCACCTTTTTTGCTTTGACGGTCTTTCCCTGAACTTGGGCTTACCAATTAGTCTAGACTGGCTTCACCCTCCTGTCCAAGTTGCTCCAGGTCCTAATCAACACGTCTGGATTTTTACATGGATGCTGGGAATTCAGTTTCAGGCCCTCAAGCTTTCATGGCACGCACTTCACTGACTGAGCTATCTCTCTAGCCCATTTTTGGGGGGTGGAGGTGGGGGTGTTCTTCCACATGCTATGTAGTCCAGACTGACCTCAAGCCTAAGGCGCTTCCACCCACAGCCTCCTAAATACTGAGATTACAGGTGTGAGCCACCTCACCTAACACAACATATCATTTCGGCTTGGACTTTAAAAGTGATGCACTTTCTTGTGTTTTCTCAGAAACTAGTGATTAAGATTGCAGATACCTACGTGATTTGGAGACACTTGGTCTATGCTGAGCATTGAGAGATCACCCCAGTGTGGCATTCTAGAAAGTCCTCGGAGTAAATGGTACAGTGGTTCTAATAGTAGATAAAAGAATTATGCTCTATGGAGGAGGTAGAGGTTCTGTGACCTGCCCATCACAGGGTTTCAGGGGCTCAGCAGGAGGTTGGAGTTTTAATTCTATGGTTTATTTCCCACTACTCACACCTGACTACATAGGCAGTAAATTCTTTTTCTTTCCTTTCTATTTATTCTTCTCTTACGAAATACATCCTGATCAGCCTCTCCTTCCTCTCCTTCTCCCAATTCCTGTCCCACCTGTCCTTTCCCCCAGATCCACTAATCATCCATTCCCCTTCAGAAAAAAAACAGGCCTCCCAGAGATATCAACTAAAGAAAACATAGCAAATTACAGTAAGACTAGGCCTGAACCCTCATATCAAGGCTGAACTAGGCAATCCAGCAGGAGGAAAAGGGTCCCAAGAGCAGGCAAAAAGAGTCAGAGATACCCCCACTCTCACTGTTAAGAGTCCTACAGTTCACAAGTTAAATAACTGCAGCATATATGCAAAACCTATAGAGGATCCATGAGTGTAAGAAGGAAATATAGTTAACATGACTTAGTTAGCTGGTGTTGGTTCAAGTTTCTATGTTTAAGCACAGCACAATTTTAGGAAAATGTTTCATGATACTAATTAAGTCTATTCCACATGTACAACAAAGGTTAAGATGTGTCTACACTGACACTCTTTACAAAGTATACATGGCCTTGTCCATAAAGATGGGTTCTGTTGATTCGGAAACAATGCTTAAGATAAGCATCTAGGGAGAATGGCTGGGGCAAATGTAGTAGCCTATGGGAGTCAAGATCAGCCTGGCCCTACAGATAACAGAAGTTACCTAGGCTGTTGTAGAGCACAAAGTGATATCTCCCATAAGGATGAGTTGTACGGACTGAGAAGCAATGCTTAAGATCAAGGAAGGGTTTGGGATAAACAGGCATAATAGTCTGGGGAATTCGAGCAAGGGCTGGCCCTATGGATAGCAAAGATCACCAGGTTGCTAGCTGCAGAGGAGATAATTCTGTGTGTTAAACGTTCCTGGTTTCTCTAGTGCTAATGTGTGACACAAGGACCTTGTACCCTCTACAGGCTTCATGTAGTGGCATGTGCTTATTTCTATTCCCCACAGAGTGCAGAAGCAACTCCTCTGCAGGTACCTTGGAGCAGTGGTTCTCAACCCGTGGCTTGGGGGTCACCACAACATGAGGAGCTGTATTAGAGGGTCACTGCCTTGGAGTATAGCAGCATTTGCTGCAGCACCGATAGGAATTACTACTCAAAGAAGATGTCGGGCATCAACTCACGAGGTGAGAGAGATGAGTAACACCAGAGTTCCCATTGCTGAGTCCCATTCGCCAGGATCTCACCTCCTTCACTCTTCTCTCCTATGGTCCCACCTTTTAAAAATACTACTTTTTCCTTGTAATAAATTTTAAATTTAAATGCAGTTATGTCACTTCTCCCTTACATTTTTCCCTCTAACTCCTCCCAAGTACCCCCTCACTCTGTCCCAGATTGATGGTATCTTTTTCTCTGATTATTATTGTTACATATAAATTACATATATATTACATATATAACAGTGTATTATGCACACATATATGCACAAACATTTAAATTCAACAGCTGTTTCTGTTGTTTATGTCTATATAATTTCAGGACTGACCAGTTTGGGGGCTCATCCTTGGAAAGGCTAATTCTCTCTCTCTCTCTCTCTCTCTCTCTCTCTCTCTCTCTCTCTCTCTCTCTCTCTCTCTCTGTGTGTGTGTGTGTGTGTGTGTGTGTGTCTATCTCTCGGTCTCTGTGTGTGTGTCTATCTCTTGGTCTCTGTGTGTGTGTCTATCTCTCGGTCTCTGTGTGTGTGTCTGTCTCTGTGTCTCTGTGTCTCTGTCTCTGTGTCTCTTTCTCCCTCTGTCTTTTTTTCTCTGTCTCTCTCTCTCTCTCTGTAGTCATTATTTACCTATGAGATTGGGTCCCATGAGATTTTCCCCTTCCCACACTAACACAGCTATTGATATTGGTATTGATATTAATATTGTTTAGGTCTTGTTTATGCACCCATTGCCGGGAGACACAACCTCACATCAGACTTCCTGGACCTCTGGCTCTCACACTCTTTCTCCTCTTCCATGATGTCTCATGAACCTTTGGTGCAGCATTTTTGTGTTGTAGATGTTTCCAATGGGATTGAGCTCCCCACGATCGTTGGTCTCTGTAATACGTCTAGTTGTGGTTTTCTATAATGTCTCTTTTTCCTGTAAAGAGAGGCTTCTTTGATGAGTGGTGATTGCACTTACTTGTGGAATAAACATGATCTATAATGTAGTTAGGAATTACGTTGATCTAGTAAAGTGCCAGAGTAGTAGGATCTCTTTGAAGATACATGACCCCCGTTGTTCTGGGTGGTTGACTAGATTTCCAATACCAAGCATGATCTCCCTTCTATTGAATGCCTTCAGTCCGGTCTGACAGCTGCTGGCTCCACCAAAATGTGAGTGCCACTATTGCACCTTTAGGGATACCTTGGCGTGATGGTCATTGCTGTGGTTCACAGCCATCACAACTTGATACAATTACTGACTGCATCATTCCCTTGGTAGCTTGCATAATGCTTTCTATTATACTGGCAATTAAGTTTCAGCATATGAATTGGGGAAATATATTCAAACCATAGCACACAATGGAAGAGATTCAATCTGGAGTTAGGGGAAGGGTTCAACTGCATCATACAGACAACTTAGTACATATGAAATGTGAGAGAAAATTGTCATGATGCTGTGTGTACATAAACTGTTAAAACAGAAATAAATGTCTCTGAAGGCCTTAAAATTTCACACTAATGGGAAAAACTAAGCCAACTTCCTTGGGTGGGTATTAGTTTCATTGTGTGGTATAATTTGCAGGATTTTACATTTTGCATGATTTATGTGTTACATAGTTCACTAATTAAAACTCTCAAGATAAAAACAGGTGTATAAAACGTATCACAGGCTGGTTTCAAAGGAGATGATGACATTTTGTTGCCTGGTGATTACAGGCTGCAGAGGATCCACAGGCCATGTGTATCCTCATCCTGTATGTTAGAGGGGTGGGACTCTGCAATTAAATTTCTACTTGGTTTACTCACCTGCAGAATGAAAGGTAACAGAGTCCATAAATCACACAGTTGATGGTCTTAAGTGAATAATACATGTAAGAATGTAAATTACTGCTACATCTAAGAAATGTCTGTGTAATGTAGACTATGAGGTTGGTGATAATTTCTTTTGACCAAACTGCTAACAATTATAATAACTCATTAGTTATAATCTTGACATGTAAACAAACAAATCACATTAACTGCATTTGGGAGGGGGAAACATGTAATTAACTCAGGTTGACTGTTTACCCCAACAAATCAGAATCACTGGGGACTGGACGGAGGTAATGAGTGGAACCTAGGAGACTGAGCTTCAGAGGAAGATAGCTGAGGCAGAGATTCCTACTGACTTTTCTCCCTTTGGCCAGGGTGGGTGAGGGTTGGTCAGTGTATGCCCTCCACTGTAGGTAGGCCTTCTGGACTTTCTATGCTGTAACTATCTTCTGGTAAGATATTCTTGCTTCCCACTCTCATTCTTTGCCTCAGAGTAGTGTCCTCTTTGCCTGCATTGTACTTTTTCACAACCTCGATATCTGTCATCTTTCTAAGAACCAGCCAACATGTCATCTCCTCCTCCGCAACTGTAAATGGCTATTCTTTCTTACAACTTTTCCTTCTTTCTCCCTTACAAATACACTGTGCACATTGTCTCCTCCAACTATACAGGAAAGGAATATATCTTTTCTGTATTTCTTTTGCCTCCTCACTCTCTGTACATGGTAAACAGGCACTAAGTCTAACGAATGGGTTAGTAAAAAGTTCCAGAGAGGACAAGTTTCCCTCCTTCTCTACAAATCCCAGAGAAGAAGGTCTCATGGTAGCTACTCATCTGGTCATGTATCTTCTCTCGCCAAACAGCCTGATTTAGGTCTTCCCGGGCTTCCCACTGATCTGTGACCATGGGGGAGGGAGCACAAAAGTCATCATGGTCTAGACTTTGCTAAAAATGAGCCTTACTCATCTGAAATAATGTTGCAGGACCTCTGGAGTTTTATGAGCATCTTCCTCTTGCTGAGAAGAAAGTGATGGACAGCTTCCTCATGGACAGAGCCTCTTGCTCCACCACATGGAGTTGATTTGAAGACCCGACTGTAGGTCGCCTTGAGACTGGCCAGCCTGAGGATTGACAGAGTGGGCTTGACTTACCAGCCCTCTTCCTGATAGGAAGGTTCCACCCACTCCATGCTCCAACTGTCACTCTCTTAACTGTCACCCAGAAGCTTGCTTCTTAATCCTACCACCTGCCTGACTGTTCTTTGGATGGCTGCTGGCTCAGGAGTTAGGAGAGATTTCTGAGGACCAGGTGATAACCTCATTTGTGTTTCAGGGGCCAACCAAACACGCTTCCTTGAGGAAAACTCAATGCTTCAGATTTTAGTTGCTTTTGTCTTTGAGTGCTTTGAAAAAATCTTGTTGTCTCTCCTGATTTTTAGGACACTGTAGACACTAACTTGGTTGTTTGAGCATCTTTCAAGGACCTCTGCTTTACATGGAGAGTGCTTTCTCAGAGGAGCTCCAGGCTTTAACATAGAGGGAAATATTTCTTTTTGTCTTCAAAATGTAAATATACTATTACTGTTATTATTTGGAATGAATGGCCACTGTAAAAATTCATTCAAGTCAAGTATATTCCCAACTCAGTTGTATCAGAATAATAGTCAGTCCTGTTTGTAGTATTTCTTTCCAGAGAAGGGGGTGAAATAGTAATTCAGTCTTCTTAAACATTATTCTCAAATTTTGCTTTGTAAATTCAAAACTGTATCATAGTGAACTTCACATTGGTTCATGTATATGTGTATGTTTTTGTGTCTGAACCAAAATTAATTGAACTACTTCCCTGTGTGTGAATAATGGGCTGTGGGAAAATTTTTGCCAGTTATAAGTAATGAATGATGTACTGAATCCTGCTTTACCTTTGCCTTAATGTGTTTATGGAATAAATTACCCCAGCTATAACTGTTGGGTCTAAAGTGCTACACATTTGGAATTCTGGTAGATATCACTAAATTATCTCTCCACAGAAAGCTTTGTATTGCTGTGAGATGCTGTACATCAAGTGTGACAATCTACTATACTTAGCTGACTTAATGCTTAGGACCCATGATTGTTTTAGAGTAACAGAAATATTTTAATTTTGCTTAAAATTAAGAAAAGATTATGAACATAATAATGCATAACTTACAATGAACCCACTTTGGCTTATATCAATATTTCTACCTATAAGAAAATGTCATTTTAAATAAGAATATATTTAAGTTTATAATTATTTAAATTAAATATATTTACTCTTTTGTGGAAGAGGGAACTCAGTAGAAGAAACAGTTCATGATAGTCATAATGTGCCTCCAGGTTATCTATTTCTTTGTAGCCTTATGATCGTGAAAATCATCTTTTTCATGCAAAAAAAGACACTTAACTACTATTTTATTTGCAGTTTTTTTGATTGTTTTGTGAGGTGTTATCTCCTGAGGCTCACTGGCTACTTAGATTTTTTTTTATGAATTGGTTGTTTGTGTTCATTTCTCACCATTGGGTTGCCAATATTTACCTTTCTGCAGTATAATAAACATTGCAAATATTTTACCATTTTATATCATACTTATGGAATTTTCTACAATCTGAAGTGTTCTGTAACTCTTTTTATGGTATCATTCTTATAAAAAGGTTATCCAAACATCCCTTGTATTTGCTAATAAAGTATCTATGAGTATCATTATATATGACAATATTTTCAGTTCACGTGTGTATTAGTTACTTTTCCTGTGGTAAAACACCACAACCAAGGCAACCTATAAAAGAAAGTGTTCAACTGGTATTATGGTTTCCAAAGGTCAGAGTCCTTGATGGCAGAACAAAGGCATGGCGGGCTGGAGCAGCCGGCCGCCCGCCCGAGAGCTCACACCCTGATCCACAGCAGGAGTCAGAGAGCAAACACAGGGAATTGGAATGGAAAGAGTCCTTTGAAGCTTCAATGTCCATTCAGAGTGGCCCTTCCCTTACAGTCCATGACTCCTAATCCTTCCCAAACAGTTCCACCCATTTTGGACCAAGTATTCAAACATCTAAGTCAGTGCGGGGGGGCAGCCTCACTCAGACCACCACAACCTGTAACACATCTTTGAATGACACAGAAAATAGTCTCACCTTTATCAAGTATTACAATCTCATATATACATCAATCTGTTCCTTGAATCTCTTCCATCCATCCCATTGACCCATTTATTTACTGCTACACTGGCACTATAGTTTTAATCATATAGCTTTATATTCTATGTATCTGATATGCATATATGTATATACATTTTGATTTCTGCTAAAGTAAATCACTGCTACATTTCCTAAAGTCCTCTTTCAAATTTGTTTTTTATTTATGCCAATGAACTTTAGCGTTACTAGGAAACTCTACTGAATTTCGTAAACTTCAGAGATTAATTGGAGGAAAAAGGACATCTTTATTAAATGTCATCTGCTTCTCCAGGAACCTGGCAATTTTTGGAACTTCCTGTTTACACCATTCTGGATTAACCATCTGTCTACCCTGGCTTTGCCATCTTAGTTTCCTTTTCTTGCTCCATCATATCCCTTGTGAGACAAGAAGCAGGCGGCAGTAGAGGGCACATGCTTGAAATCTTCCAACTTAGCTGGGTGTGGTAGCACACGCCATTAATCCCAGCACTTGGGAGGCAGAGGCAGGTGGATCTTTGAGTTCAATGCTAGCCTGGTCTGCAGAGTGAGTTCCAGGATGACCAGGGCTATACAGAGAAACCCTGCGTTGAAAAACAGCAGCAACAGTCAACAGCAACACCAAAAACAAACAAAAAACAAAAGAAAGAAAAAAGGAATCCTCACCTGTGCCATGAGAGGAGTGGGAGAGCCTACCTTTGCCTTGGTTCACCATCTCGTGTGTTCCCGAGACTGGCCTCTTGGTTGCCAAGCACAACAAGCCATTCCCAACTTCCTCAGCCACCATTTCTGGTGCCTGCTTTCTTACTGGCTTCCTCTGCTCCTTTTTTACACTGTAGATAGAGGGGTCTTTCTAGTCAGATCCCCAACCCCCTGGCTTGTAGACCTCCATGCTTGCCCACCGCATTATTTTTCTGTTGCTGCTGATACAGCTTTGGGCAAACTTAGTGTCACAAAACATAGCAAACATGCGACCTCACAATTCTGTGGTCAGAAGTCCCATATCAGAGTCACAGGGCTAAAACCAAGGTGCCAACACGGCTGAGTTTTTTTCTGGAGACTCGGTGAGGAAATCTGTACTTTTCCAAGTACTCCAGGCCACCTATACTCTGCTCCAAGCTGCTTCTGGGATGTCTTCACAGCATTTGTCACAGTTTGATTTCCTTATTCTGTCCGTCGTGTTTTCCTCTCTTCAAAGTATGATCCCGAAACAAACAACTAAAATAAACTTCAAGATTTTTATTGAATCTGGAACCATCTTATCTCAATGTCCTTGTTTGCATCTGTAGTGTTTCTTTTAACAAGCATAGTAATGTTTCCAGAGTTCCTGGAGAGGGAGGTAGAGTCATTGGGGGACTATAATTCTTCCAGACTTACTGATGCTATTGAGAAACTCATGCCAGTTTCTTTAAATTGTTCCAGCCTCCCTCCTCCAAGGGACAAAATCCCACAACTCCAGTGTTTAATCTCAGCACACTATAAACTCCCCTATTCAGGAATACGAGCATCTTCGATTTCTGGAACCTATCTTCTATGCTTCCTCTGGTCCTGGTCCAGGCTGACTGCTCTATCTGAGTAAACCTTTCTCCATCTCTTCATCTGACCAAGTCGTATGACACTTTCAGCCTTGCCATATATGTCACATTCCCTGGGAATGTCTGAAGGCCTCTTCTACTCCCAGTCTTTTCCTCTGGGTATCATGTAGTATCTCACATCCTCCCATGTTCCCAGATTCCTTATATTGTTTTCGATATTGGCGTTCATCTGAATATTTTCCTTGAACTCCTTACTAAATGAATTAAAAGATTATTAATTCCATAATAGAAGGCAAATTATCTTTTCTCTACAACAGCGCTTCTTAACCTTCCTAATGCTGTAACCTTTTAATACAGGTCCTTGTGTTATGATGACCCCTGACCATAAAATAATTTTCATTGCTATTTCATAACTGTAATTTTGCTACTGTTACGAGTCCCAATGTAAATACTTTTTGGAGATAGAGGTTTGTTGAGGGGGTTGAGTCCCACAGGCTGAGAACCAGCCCTCTGCAGGATCCATCTTACAAGTAGTATCTGCTCATTCATCTAACAAGTATTTATTATGTGTTGATGTGAAATCCATGGACCCACAGTCATTAAAAAGAGGAAATAACCAGTTGAAAGTTATAAAGCTAGTTAGGTAATTGGGGCGTGGTCCTAAAGACATGAATGACAGGTCTTCTTTTTTCCAGGAAAATAGATTTTGAGATCAGTGAGCCAGTCAACTTTGGCTCTGGAGATCATCAATACCTCGTTCAGAAAGCAGCAATTAAAGGTGCCCCTTCTAAAGCGGGTCAGCCCTTCACATATTCATCCAGAGACATGCCCCAAGAAGCCATAAAACACCCACATTCCAGGAATAGAGATGGAGCGAATACCTACGCAGTACAAATTTCAGAGGACATTGTCACAAGTGATAGTGCTACAGCTTTACCCAGTCCCTTCGAAGACATGTCTGTCCGTAGAGGTAAGAGGATTGTACCGGGGCTTGGAAAGAAGCAACGCTTTCTTAAAATGTCTCCATGCGTGTGTGTGTGTGTGTGTGTGTGTGTGTGTGTGTGTGTGTGGTATGTGTGTGTGTGTGGTGTGTGTGTGTGTGGTGTGGTGTGTGGTGTGTGTGGTGTGTGTGTGTGTGTGGTGTGGTGTGTGTGTGTGTGTGGTGTGTGTGGTGTGTGGTGTGTGTGTGTGTGTGTGTGTGTGGTGTGTGGTATGTGGTATGTATGTGCGCACGAGTGTGGTAATTTAAAAGCTCAGTGCTGGAGAGAAAGACACCATGCAACAGAACTTGGGTGGAGGTTTTTTTTTTAATTGGAAGGGCAGAAGGGAGGAGGGCAAGTGATGCTCTTAGTGGCTGCAGGTCTTTAAACATTAATTAATGTTTAATGTCTAATTAATGTTTAATTAATTCAATGTCCCAGATGTTTATTCTGGGCTAAGACAGGAGTGCATTCATCAGGGAATGACAGAAATCTCAAAAAATGTGACATAAATAAATGAGAAGCTTTTCTCATGAAATATGGTGTTGGAGGGTAGGTAGCTAAGGCCAACGCCATGAATTAATGTTTAAAGACCGAGGCCAATATTATGTGATTATATTGTATGTAGGCAAAACATTTCCTAATCAACAGTTAACTCACACTTCCTAAAAAATATGAATGTTGTTTGCCGTATGTTTATTATGGATCTCCGAATCTCTCCAACAACATCATGGAGATCTCTTACAACAACCCATGATGCATTTCAGAGTAAGAAAGAGCAGAGGAGCTACATAAAGGAGAAAGGGGCTTTTGGGAGCTCTAGTCTTTCAGGTTGGAAAGGCAAAGGGCCATAGACCAAGGGCCAAGGGCCAAGGGCAGGCAAAGGTTCTCACAGCTCCAAGAAGTCCCATTCACGAGAGGAGTCCCAAGAGTTCTCCAAAATGGACCTCTTGAGAGGATTCCCCAGAACTAGGTTACTGCAAGAGCGTCATCCACCTGCCGTCGATCCCACCTGAAGCACATGGGGGCTCTGTCTGTACTTTCTCTGTTGCACTGATTATTATGTCTCACAATATCTGGGTCAGAGCATGATGTAGCCAGGGCTGATGTGTGTCTTACTGGTCAGCAACCTAGATGCAACGACCTTCACAGTGCACGCAAGGGCAGGGGTTCCGCAGTTAGTCTGTACAACAAACAACTCTGGGAATGAAGAAGTTAGTGTCATATGGGAGATGTGGAAGCCATATTCAAAGAGGAAGAACTGAAACATATGGAGAAGCCCCCTCGCCAAGGTTAATGCTTTACACGGAGTTTTCCGGAGACAGGCGAGCCTTTCTCTGCCTTCACAAGCTGCACTGTGTATGAACTCATTAAGTTCACCCATTTTAAGTGTACAATGTTTTCAATAAATGTATAGTTTTGCAGCCAGCACCATAATCAATTTGGGATCACATTGTACTCGAAAATGCCATCCATCAGGAGTTACACCCATCTTCCTCTGCCTTGCCAGCTGCCAATCTACTGTAACCCTATGGACCTGCCTCTTAAGGCATTTCCTACAAGTGATGGCACAGAGCACATGCTCACTCGGAAATCTCCTTAAGGGTTTTAAGGTTCACCCACTCTGCAGTGCTAGTTCTAATTCATTGTTATGGCCATATACCATTCTGTTGCCTGGTAATAATACTACCTTCTATACGATGTATTTATTATGGTGTTTGAATCCACTGGGTAAAGACCACAGATCCAATCCAACTTATGGTGAAATGAATTTATTATTACTGCGTGCCACGCAGAATGGGCTAGAGGAGGGGTTTTAAAGGTATAGACCACAATTTTCTCATTTTTCCGGAAAGCGCAGCTGCTCTAAAAGCTGCCTCACTCCCCACCCCCAGCTAGCAAGGAGCTCTCTTTCTCCCATGCTCACAGGATAGAGAAGCTGGTACACAGCCATAAGCGGGTTTACAAAAGCCAGAGCAAGCAAGCAGCTAATTATCTATCTCACAGTCATTTTGCAATTCTGAGGAGGGTGCAAGGAGCTTATCTTTTAGGAATTTAGGATGGGTCCCCAGCACAAAATGGAGTTTTTCCTTACCTGTCACATGTTTGTCAATTGATGTTTGGCTGTTTCTCCTTTTGGTTATTGTGACTAAGGCTGCAACCAATATCCACCAAGAGCGCTAGCAGATCTGAGCATGGCAAACAAGGTGTTGGCAGGCCTTGCCCTTGCCGTTGTAAGCATAGATTACGTCCCTAAAGCTAGGTACCTACCAAGGTCTATCCCTTATTTCTATACTTTCTTATACCAGGCTCATTCCTAAGGCCAGCTATCAAAGCAATCAAAATCCCTTCTGGCTAGCCTAACTAACCTGCCTCTGCACCCTAGTCAGTTCTAACACATCCCTTCCCTCTTTCTTTCACACCTGCAGTGTCTTTTGTGGCTGTTTTCTGCCTGCATCAGAAAGCAGCCACTTTCCCTTTCCTTCCCACTTAGTAAAGGGTCTCTGTGGAGACAGGCGTTGGGTGTGGTTTGTGCCTGATCCCAGGTCTGGGAGGGAGGGAGCACCTGCTGTGTGCAGGGCCTTTCAATTCATGTGCCAGTTTTATGTACTTCTCTTTGGGTTTGCACTTCTCTTGGATGGGATGAAGGATTGTTGATCAGCATCCCAAGCATGCTCACCTTTTGAGGCATGGCAAAACTGTTCCAAAACAGCTGCACCAGTTTTCATTCCCACCAATAATGTATGAGGTTTCTGGTTTTCCAACATCCTGGCCAACGCTGTTTATTGTATTTTTTTCTGACTTCAGACATCCTCATGAGTGTGAAGTAGTATTGCACAATACTTTTTTACTTAATTTGCTTTTTACTCTCCATTTATTGAAAATAGATTTTTCAATAAATATCATATTTCAATAAAATATCAAAATTACAGTTTCCCCTCTTTCTACTCCTCCCAGGTCCTCACCTCCCCTCACATCCGGATTCGCCCTCTGTCTCTCATTAGAAAACAAACAGGTTTCTAAGGGATAATAATAAAAATTCAACAAAATAAAAACATAATAATATAAAACTAAAACTATCACATTGGAGTTGGACAAGATAAACAGAAGGAAAAGAGAAGGCCCAAAAAATAGAGACCCACTTGCTCACAAAGGAATCCATAAAAACCATAAACTGGAAGCCGTAATATATATGCAGAGGGGCCTGGTGTAGAAAGGGCCATGTTCATTCTTCCTCAGTTTCTGTGAGTTCCTATCAGCTTTGATCATGTTAATTTAGACGGTCTTGTTTTGTGGGTGTCCTCCATCCCTTCTGGCTCTTACACTCTTTCCTTCCTCTCTTCCAAGGGGTTCCCTGAGCTCTGAGGGGAGGGATTTGATAGAGACATCCCATTTGGGGCTGCTTGTTCCAAGCTCACTCACCTTGCATAATGTCTGGTGGGGTTGGGGTGGGGTTGGGGGGATGGGGGTGGAGGGTGGAGTGGGGTCCATCTCTGTATTTGTTCTCATGTGCTGTAAGAGGAAGCTTCTCTGATGATGGCTGAGCAGGGACACTGACTTATGAGTGCAAAACAGGATGTGATTAGGAGGCATTTTTTAGAGCAGTAGTATTTGGTTTCTCTCCAGGTTCCTGGGCTATCTCCGGTTCTTGGTCTGCAAACAGTGTTGAGTAGGGGTTCCATCTCATGGAGTGAACCTTGGGTCAAATCAGCAAATTGGTTGGTTATTCCCACAAGCTTTGTGCCAACATTACACTAGCAAATCTTGCAGACAGAACAACATTGTAGATCAAAGGGATCGTGGCTCATTTTGTGTTTATGTGTCTCTTTTGGTAGTGTGCAGAATACCTTCCTGTACCAAAGATATTGGCAAATGGGGTGAAGGCTCTGTGTAGGCACCAGCTCAACTTCTCCATGTTCAGACTTGTGTAGGTGTTATCTTCAGCAATGAGACCTTGCTGTAAGTTTATGGAGAATAAACTATAATCTTAACATCAGCTTGGGGTGTTTGGGGGTTCCCATGAGACCCCTTTAACCAACAATTCAATTAGATGTAACCAAATCCTGGTACCGGAAGCTTCATTTGGTGACAAGATGGCCAACTGGGGCTCTGTCTCCACCATTATTTGGTGACTTCACTTAGATAGCCTTCTTATATCTTTATATTTTAGGAAGCTTCTACTGTATTAGGTTTTCATACTACCCCTCAAATGGCCCTTAATTTTACCTGGCTCTCCCTGTATTCCCTGCCTCACCCCTCTTTCATGTTCCAATTCGATCCTGCATTCCAGCTACACCCCCATCCATTCATATTCTTCCCTTCCCTAAGGATCTATTTGGATTCTTCTACATGCAACTATGCAATTTGACCAGAATCACTTGTTGAAAATACTGTCTAGTATGTATGTCTGGCTTCTTTATCAAAACTCAGGTGTCCATAGGTATGTGGATTTATGTCTGGATATTCAATTCGATTCCATTGATCAATGTTTCTGTATTTGTGCCAGTATCATATTGTTTTTATTACTATAACCATATAGTATAACTTGAAACCGGGAAGAGTGAGATCTCCTAATAAAAATAATTAAAAGTCCTCTTTTATTATTTGGGATTATTTTTGTGTTGGGTCCCAGTGCTGCACAAATAATGAGGAACAGACCACCTAAGTCTAGGAACTAGAAACAAACTTTATTCCAGTCACTATGGGGCACAAAAAAACTTCTAGTTTGTTGGGACCACAAACTATGTTAATCCTACTGATCCATGTGCATGGGAGATCTTTCTATCTTCTGATATCTTCTTCAATTTCTTTGTTCAATGTATTGAAGGTTTTTTTTACAAGTCTTTATTTCACTAGCTTATTTAGAGTTATCCCAAGATAATTTATATTATTTGAGGCTATTATGAATGGTGTTGTTTTTCTGATTTCTTTTTCAGTCTGTTTGGCATTTGTGTACAGGAGAACTTATTTTCATGAGTTAATTTCATATCCAGCTGCTTTGTTAAATTTGTGTATCAGTTGTAGAAGTTTCCCAGTGGAATTTTTAGGGTCACTTATTTATATTGCCATATCATTTTTTAATAAACATGCTTTGACTTCTCCCTTTCCAATTTGTATCCTCTTGATCTCCTTTAGCTGTCTTATTGTTCTAGCTAAGACCTCAAGCAATATATTGAATAGTTATGGAAAGAGTGGACAGCCTTATCTTGTTCCTGATTTCAGTGGAATTGCTTTGAGTTTCTCTCCATTTAAGTTGATGTTGGTTATAGGTTTGTCATAAATTGTCTTTATAATGTTGAGATGTGTCCCTGCATCCCTAATCTTTCCAGAATTTTGATCGCGAAGTAGTGTTGGATTTTGTCAAAGGCTTTTATGCATCTAATGAGATGATCATGTGTTTTTTGTCTTTTTGTTTGTTTATATGGTGGGTTACATGTATTTATTTATGAATGTTGAACCATCCCTACTCTCTGGGATGAAGGGATTGTGGTAGATGATCTTTTTGATGTGTTCTTGGATTTGGTTTGCAAGCATTTTACAGAGTTTTTTGTATCTATGGGCACTAGGGAAATTGGTCTGTAATTCTCTTTCTTTGTTGTTTTATGTGATTTTGGCATCAGGATAACTGTAGCATCATAAAATGAATTGGGCAGTGTTCTTTCTGTTTTCATTTTGTAGAATGATTTGAAGAGTATTGGCATCAACTGTTTTTTGAAAGTCTGATAGAATTTTGTGCTAGAATCATCTGGCCCTGGGCTTTTTTTTTGGTTGGGAGACTTTTAATGACTGCTTCTGTTTCCTTGGGGGTTATAGGCCTGTTTAAATTGCTTATCTGATCTTGATTTAACTTTTGTAAGTGGTGTCTATTGAGAAAGCTATCATTTGCTTTTAGATTTTTCTGTTGGGTGGAGCACAGGGTTTTAAAGCACCTCCTTCTGAGTCTCTGGACTTTCTTGGTGCCTGTTGTTCTATGCACCTGCTCATTAATGATCTTGTTAATTTCACAATTTTCTCACTCTGCCTTTAGTTAATTTGGATAAGGGTTTTTCTTAGGGTTTCTATTGCTGTGAAGAGACACCATGACCATGGAAACTCTTATAAAGGAAAACACTTAATTGGGGTAGATTATAGTATCAGAGGTTGAGTCTGCTATCATCATGGTGGGACATTGTGGCATGCAGGCAGACATGGTGCTGGAGAAGAAGTTGCGAGTTGTACATATTGATTAGCAGACAGCAGGAGTTTGTGTCTACACTGGGTGTAGCTTGAGCTTAGGAGACCTCAAAGCCCGCCCCTACCGTGACACACTTCCTCCAACAAGACCACACCTCCTAATAGTGCCACTCCCTTTGAGTTTATGGGAGCCAATTACATTCTAACTACCACAGGGCTTGTGGATCTTATTAATTTCCCCAAAAAACAAGCACTTTGTTTCATTGATTGTTTTTATTGTTTCTATTTTATCGATTTCAGTCCTGAGTTTGATTTTTTTTCTTGCCATCTACTCCTTTTGGGTGTGATTTCTTCTTTCCGTTCTAGAGTTTTCAGGTGTTCTGTTAAGTTACTAGTATGAGCTTTCTCCAGATTTTTTTTTTAATGTAGGCACTGAGTGTTGTGAATTTTCCCTTCACTGTGTTCCATAAGTTTGGGTACGTTGTGCATTGATTTTCATTCAACTTTAGAAAGACTTTAAATTTCTTTTTTAATTTATGTCTTGGAACCATTTTTCATTCAGTAGTGAGTTGTTTAGCTTCCACGGGTTTGTAAGCTTTCTGTTGTTTCTGTTAATGTTGAAATCCATCTTTAATCCACAGTGATCAGATAGGATGCAGGGTACTATTTAAATTTTCCTTTATCTTTTGAGACTGGTTTGTGTCTGAGTATGTGGCCCGTTTTGGGGAACAGTTCTTGAGATGCTGAGAAGAAGATATGTTCTTTTGTAGTTGTGTGAAATTTTATGGTTATCTTCAGGTCCTTTTATTGACCTTTATTATGTTGAAATACTCAGGATCTGCTCTGATAGGGTCCTGGGCTCTGGTGAAGACATACTATCTGCGATTCTATTGTGTTTTCACATTGGCATCTAAGCATCTGGGTTTGGGAAGATTGAAATTCTAGGTGCTGTTATCTTGTCTTTGTTGGGTGACTGTTTGGTTCCTTGGCTTCTGTTTCCTTTGCTAACTCTTGGAGAGTGTGGTGGCTCTGTGTTGCCTGGTAGGAAATTCTTCTAGGATCCTGATAGAAATTGACACTTAGGAACTGAGATGAGCTGGGGAGGTTCTGGGGGAATGCAGAGGAGAGAGGAAAGCAGGGTATTGCACCAGGATCTGCTTAATCCCTAAGAATGGGTGCAGAGTGAGGAGAGGCCACAGCCGAAGGTTTGCTACAGAGCTGGGGGTGAGAATGGGGATTGAACTTGGAGAAGAGGAGGGAGAGGTGAAGATCTGGAGTTAGCCTACCTGTTTCCGTGGTCAGAGTGGCCTGTGGGTTCCCAGGCAGACTTGCATTTTCATAATGATTTAGTGATCTTGGACATCTTTCTCATGCTTGTTAGGTGCCACTATGTCTTCTTTGGGGAATACCATTCACGTCCTTTGTTCATTTACGGCTTTATCATATCCCATGATTCTGTGCATTGATCAGTCTCAGGCTTGACAGCAGGTGCCTTTACCTGCTGATCTCTCTCACCAAACCCCCCAAGAAAAGATTTTCTAATAACTAGACTGTGTAGTCTTTTTGTTTGTTCCTCGGTTTGGTTTCAAAATCCTAAGCTGAAGCATTCTTCCGGCTCCAGCCTTCTGAGTAGCTGGGATTCCCAGAGTACATCACTGAGACTGCCTTTAATTAGACATTCTTTAAAAGTTCTACAGAGATCAAAACACATTGTGGAGATGTATGAGAGTCTCAAAGAATTAAAACACACACACACACACACACACACACACACACACACACACACACACAAAAGTTCTCCAGAGTCATTTTGTTTTTGTTGTTCCATTTGCTGACTTATTTTTTTTTTTACTTATTTTTATTTTTTATTTTTTGGTTTTTTGAGTCAGAGTTTCTCTGTGGCTTTGGAGGCTGTCCTGGAACTAGCTCTTGTAGACCAGGCTGGTCTCGAACTCACAGAGACAATTTGCTGACTAAGCCAACACCTCCCTTCCCAGCCTCAAATGACGATGGGGACATTCTTTTCGCTGGACTGGAAAGTGCATTTAATTTTACCTCTGGATAACGAGTCATAAAATAACCTCTTTCCCACAGGCTTCATCGTAAAGGTGTTCATTGTCCTGTCAGTTCAGCTGCTAATCACTATTGCAGTCATCAGCATATTTGTTTTCTGGTGAGTCTTTCTTACTGTCTAGAATCAGATGTGGGAATGCTCATGGGGTCAGCTGGCTTTAATTTGGAGCATTTCAAAAAGTATGTTTTTGTTTTTCAATGTTGTAGACGATAATCTACCTACAGACAGGTTTTTCTGAACCACCTCTTAGGCCAACATGGTAGATTCTAGGATTTAACTTCCTGGGCCAAGAATGTTTCTTGGGGCCTCGTTTTTCTTTTCAATTTTTCTCTGGGCTACTTTCTCAAGTATAACTGGATAAGAAGAAATAGGTGAGATTATAGAAGACTGGAGCACTGTTAAATTCTTTACATCCAGCCGGGTGGTGGTGGTGCTCGCCTTTAATCCCAGCACTCGGGAGGCAGAGGCAGGCGGATCTCTGTGAGTTCGAGGCTAGGCTGGACCGACAGCCTCCAAAATAATACAGAGAAACCCTGTCTCATAAAAAAAAACAAAAAAATTCTTAACATCCTTCTGAAAGTGTTATTTGTAACACAAACCATGAATTTATTTCTTTAGCGTACACATATATCAGTCTCAGTATTTTATTTTATTTTTGGTACAGGATCTATCCTCACTATGCAGATCAGGCTGTCTTCTCTATGTAGATCGGGCAGGCCTCAGTCTCATAGACATCCACCTGCCTCTGACTCCCAAGTGCTGGGACTAAGAGTATGAACCATCATACCTGGCTCTCAGTATTTTTAGAAACGAAGATCTTAACAATGGGCTTCTTCTTAAATTTCCTGTGTAATTTAAGAAAAATACCTTTTTGTATCGTGTCTTTTTTCTCAATGCTGGGCATTTGAATCAGGACCTCACACATGTGAAGCAAACATTCTAATGGGAACCATGCTAGCAACCCATTTCCCCATTAAAAAGAACGCTCCAGTGTTTTCTCACCACTTGGTCTTATGACCATTTAGAGTTTGCCCATCCTTCTCATGACACTGTTATACTTCTATTTTAGTTAGCAAAATCTACTGTTTGTGTAAAACTATATTCTTTTTTTTTAACCAGCAAACCTGTAAGACAGTGGATCATCCTCAACCGTTGGTTCATGTTCGCACTCTTGTAAGTATCATCCATGATTCTATGTACTATTGACCAAGATTTTTATCACCATTAATGATGTGGTAAAGAGTAACATTCTTGCTGGGTATGGTGATGCGTGCCTATCAGCCCATCATCCCTTAGGAGGTGGAGACAGGGGGATCAGGAATTCAAGGCTAGACTTGACTGCATAAGACCTTGATTCAAAGGAACACAAACCAGGAACAAAAAAGCATACAAAGACACCCAGGGTAAAGTATAATATTCTTCTATTTTGTTTTCCTTTATGTGTATTTGTGTGTGTAAATCTGTGTGTGTCTGTGCATGTGTGTGCACGCATGCATGCCTGTGCTTGTTAGTTTGTGCCCCATGTTACGCAGGTGTCCGCAGAGGGTGACAGAGAACGCTGGATCCCCTAGAACTGGAGGTGCTGGTGTTTGTGAGCTGCCCTGTGGGTGCTGGCAACCAAACCCAGGTCCCCCTGCAAGAGCAGCAAGTGCGCTAAGCCTCTGACCCATCTCTCCCGTCCCTGCATGAAATTCTTTACAAGACACAGATGGGAAGCAGGCTGGTGGGTGCCAGAAATCAGGGACAGTTGTGTGTAAGGTTCACACCAGGCAGATCTTTGTTGATATATTACTGGTAAGACAGGCCTGAGTGTTAATTGAAGTGGTGGCTACATGTATTGACGTCATAGTCAACACATGTAGATTATTGATTCACATCATAGTCCCATGTTAGACAACTATTATACCAGTGTCCCATAAGTGGTTTTGAAATTGTGCAATAAATATATAAATCAAAATCATTGGTGAAAATTTCACAGTTTTAATAGAACTTCTGTCCTTTAATAAGTTCCCATAAATCTATATTTTTAACAAAAAATTTAAAGGATGAGGAATCTGTGTATGGAAAGTTAAAAAAAAACACCTCATTTTGAAGACTTAAAATAGAGGTAAGTAGGAAATAGCTAATTAGTTTGCTCTCTGTATCAGGTGACAATACACTTGCATCTGTGTCTCTCTGCCTGTCTCTGTACACACACACACACACACACACGTGATGTCACACTGTCGTCTGTGTCCCTCTGTCTGTCTGTACACACACGTGATATCACACTGTCTGTCTGCACACACGTGATGACACATTGTGTCTGTGTCCCTCTGTCTGTCTGCACACACGTGATGACATACTTGCATCTATGTCCCTCTGTCTGTCTGCACACACGTGATGTCACACTGTCATCTGTGTCCCTCTGTCTGTCTGCACACACATGATGACATACTTGCATCTGTGTCCCTCTGTCTGTCTGCACACACGTGTTGACACACTTGTGTCTGTGTCCCTCTGTCTGTCTGCACACACGTGATGACACACTGTCATCTGCACCCACTGCTCTCGTGTCTGAGAACTGAAGCAGTAACTGGTGGTTTCGCATCCCCAGCCCAGCGGTCATGGTTGTTATCATCGTGCTTGCTTGCTGCAGGGATATCCGACGCCAAGTGCCCGCAAACTACATCCTCCTGATGTTATTTGTAAGTAGCTCTCCTTGGCGGGTGTGGTAGCCTCCCTCTGCAGCCTTATTAACTTCATTGCTTTTACTGTGGAAACTCCCGGTGCAGGGAGACAGGCAGGGAGCATCTGCACAGACGCACTGACTTCTTGGGAGACAGTGTCCTCACCCTTATGGAGTTGGATTCTAACCCACCCTTTGGTCTGCCAAACTTGCCTCTCTTGAAGCTATAGGAGAACCCACACCCAAGTCAGGCTTGTGTCTGCAGCTAACCCTGGCACTACTAACAAGATGTATTTACTGAACATCCCTCATGGGAGTAAAAGTCATTTCTGAGCTTAGGGTCTTCCCGAGTGCTACAACGTTTCTCTCGGTGCAGGGTCTCCCACCGACAAAGCAGGTGTGGTGTGGACCTTTAACTACTCTCATTTCCCCTCAAGCTGGTCCCACCATCAGGCCTCAACACATCTACACTGCTGTCATGGGTGCTGTTCTGGTCGTCCCGAATCACGTGATTGCCTTTCTTACAGCCAATTCTGTGGGTTGTTTTTTTTTTTTTTCTGCTCATGGGGTTCCCGGGAACAAATAGCTGAACTCCTAGGCTCCTTAAAGCCTAACACAATCAGAATCTCTGCAATTTCACTCCTATCATCCAGGCTCAACTCCCCAGAGAGTTCCAGGGTTTATCACGAGACTGAGCCGCACCCCAGTGTCGTCCCCTCTAATCCCGATTCTCACCGGAGTCAGGCCAAACCTCGTGCCGCCCAGAGGCTTGGATTTTCAGCAGCTGGCTGGTAGAAATTGCCTGGACTGTGCTGATGCTCTTGGGACAGACAGTCCAGCACCTGCGCAGTGTGACCAAGGGTGGTGTCAGCCTTGTGTTTGTGTTACCGCCGTGCGGTGTGGACCATTCCTTCCTATGAAGGTTGACTCGGTAGAGCTGGTCCCGAATCAGATTGACGTGGCTCACGCCAGTCATCGGCCATATGAGGAGATGAGCACATCGACTGGGAGATCAAATAGAAGGCCAGAGAGCAGGGTGGCAAACACAGTCGCTGGATTAGTGTGCAAAATGCACTGAGGGTACACTTGAGTGTTCGTTCCAGTGTTGCATTTAATTCTGTGTCTGTTGTGCTCGAAGCAAGTAACTGCGCAGGGCCGGCGATGCGAGTGCATGGGTGCTGCCCATGCTTATCATAATTTACCTGTCGGTCCGGACAGGCTGGGGAATACGGCGGTCTGCCACCCACAGTGATATGTTCTTCCAAGTGTTGAGGAGCCCTTATTGGCTGTAGTGGCCCCAGCTCATTGCCGGAGCAATGAAGAAAGACGTCCCGGCTCCTGTGGACTGTGTGGTAGCTTGCCTCCCCCCCGCTATCTTTTAAGACGTTTTCTTTATCTTTTCCTGGCTCAATTATTTCCTGCTTCTCCATCTCCAGGAGAAACCCTGAAGCAGAAGGCGATGGAGAAGAGGCAGGAACGATTTTCCCACTGTGTAGCCCTGACTGGTCTGGACTGGCTCTAGAGACTAAGATGGTCTCAGTCTCACAGAGACCCACCTGTCTCTGCCTCTCGAGTGCTGGGGTTAAAGGTGTGCACCACCACCCCCGGGCTACGTTTGAACTTTGCATTTTAAGCGTTTAACTAATTGCTGGGGATGCAGCTCCGAGGTAGGATGCTTGCGTAGCATGGGGGAGGCCCTGAGCTTGAGTCTCCAGTCAAAGGGCTGAGTTGGTAGAGTGCCGTTCAAGCGTGAGGACTGGAGTTCAGACCACGTGAGATCCAGGAGCACATCTGCGAGGACCCTGAAGAGGGTTGACAGGCGGACCAGAAGTTTATAGACCAGTCTGCCCCACCAGATCAGTGAGGTCTAACTTCACCTCTAAGCTCCCCTTAAAATAAGGTGGGAAGCAGCTGGAAGGACAGCACACGTGGAGCCCCGCCCCAGTCTGCGTACATATGAACGAACCCACGCACACGCACACACGCACATACTCTCGCATAAAATTCTCTCTCACACACATATCACATACAGACATGTACATCAAAATGCATACAGAAATTTACGTGAAGGCTGGGTGTGATGGTGACCACTTGCAATTCCATCCCCCAGGAGGCAGAGTCAGGAAGATCACTGAGTCTGAGGCCAGCCTACTTTACAAAGTGACTTTCAGGGAGTCTGGGTGACACAACAGAACCAAAACTCAAACATGAGATCTGGTGCCCCTTTCTGGCATGCAGGCATATATGTAGGCAAAACACTATACATGATAAATCAATGTTTTTTTTTTTAATTTAAGATGTTAGGTTTTCTTTTTAAAGAAAAGGTGTGCCCACCAGGTGTGGTGGTGGTCAGCCTGGGCTACACAGTGAGGCCCTGTGTCAGCACCAACAAATAACCAAGCACAAAGGGTTAAAGTCACTGTCCCTACAGAAGCTTTCCTCATGGAGGCTCTGCAAGTATCCACTAAAAGAAGATATACTGTTCAGGGTCAATAATGGTTTCATTCTCTATATTCAGCCTCTAGGCCAAGTGTTAGGAAATGGCATTTCAGAAAAAGTTGAGAGAAAACAAGAAAATATTCACTCTTGCCACACAGACAGCTTTTGTCCCCTAGAATCTGTGATTCCCGAGTCCCTTGTCCTGAGTGAGCATGCTTGGTTTCTACAGTGATTCCCCGCCTGGAGGCACTCCCCTTGCTTGTCCTTCCCAGTCTCTCTCTCTCTCTCTCTCTCTCTCTCTCTCTCTCTCTCTCTCTCTCTCTCTCTCTCTCTCTCTCTCTCTCTCTCTCTCCTCTCCCTCCTTCTCTCTGTCTCCATCTCTCTGTCTCTCTGTCTTTCTCTCTGTCTCTGTCTCTCTCTGTTCCTCTCCCTCCTTCTCTCTGTCTCTGTTTCTCTTGTCTCTCTCTGTCTCTATCTCTCTGTCTCTGTCTCTGTCTCTCTCTCTCTGACGAATGCTGGAGTAATAGGAATGAATGGCACCAGGAGAAAATGTTTAGAAAACCATGTCTTAGGAGGAAGGTTGGAATCAAGTACATTACTCAGCCATCATTTGTACATAGATCTTTTCCCCTGGTGGAAATAAGGACTGCCTTCTTAGACACATTGACAAAGTACATCGGGAGGCCATCGCCCATTGGATCTGGGAAGTCCAGAAAAGTGACTGAGGACTTTTGGGCCCAGTTCTTTTCCAGCCTCTTGTAGATTGGGGAACTCCAAAGCTAGTCTGGAACCAGAAGACTTCCCTGGTTCTTCCCAAGTTCCTGAGTGTCCTGTGGGCTGGGAAACCTCATGAGTCCCACAGCTGCTCGATGTCTGGGGCCCTGAACCTGACTGTGGATCTGCCAAGTACCATCTTAGTTTCACCCTCAGGCTGCCCTGACCACACGGGTCACAGCCTGGGCATCTGGGTGGAGGGAATCCCTCAGGGCGCCAGCCCTGTGCTCCACCTCTGCTGGGAGCTTCCTCGTAGCACCTTATCCCAAGTCTGAGGAGCTATTTTCTGTTAGCAGGGAGCACGGATAGTGGCATTATCCAACTGTGGGCGAAGCGTTAATGGGAACAGCATATGCTTCTCTGGTGAAGCGTGTAGATACTGTGTGGAAGACCCCATTTGACTAATGGAGGTTGTGATCCACAAATGGTCCTTTTACCTTGGTTTCTTCACTCACAATTAGTACATAGTTCATGCACTGAATATGTGGAAGTTATTGCACCACTCTAGAAAGTTCTTACTAATGAGAGAATTTTCTTCCATCAGTCCTAGGGAGAGTGTGATAGAAATAGTTAGTTGTACCATTTGTTTCCCATAACCACCTTATAGCTGTCCCCCCTCCCTCCAACCCCCCACCCCAGTGCTCACATCCTTACTTGCTCCCTAGACCCTGCCCAAATGCCCACAAGACTGGTCACCTCTTCTGCAGTCTAGGTCTTGTCCTAATGTGTGGAGAAACAGACTGCTGACAGACTGTGATTTTGTTTGTAGACAATCCTGGAAGGCCTGCTGCTAGGGAGTATGTCAGTGTAAGTCTTTGACTCATGTTTCCGTCTCATTGGGAATGCTTTTCTCCGAGTGTCCGAGCAGTAACCACACTCTCTGGTTCCAGCTTCTTTAAAGCAGAAGAGATACTATGGGCAGCGGGAGCAACCACTGTGGTGACACTAACGCTCACCTTATTTGCTCTACAAACAAAAGTACGTATTACTGGAATAGCGCTTTGTCATAAGGGGCTTGCTGGCTGTGGTCCTGTGTCCCTCCCAACCCGGTGTCACCCACACCTGCCTTGCACCACCACATGGCCTCCTGGTCTTGTCAGCGATTGGGAGCCTCCGCTGGGAGTTGGAGGATCAGAAGAGAGAGGCACTTAGTTCCATGGCATCCTCCCTACGGGTTCCTCTTGGGCTAGCCACACCCTTACCAAAATTCACTCACACGTTGTCTTAACATGGCCAGCTCAACACAGCCCAACCCCAGGATTCCCGTGTCCTTGTCCCTTGGGCTCTACAAGCAGTCACAGCTGCTTACCCAGTTCTTTCAACCTGCTTCTGGAAGTGACTCCTTTACACGTCAACACCCCTCCTCCTGTGATCCCTGCTGGGACCCTGGTTCAAAATGGCAGTTTAAAATTCAAAGATTTTCATGCTTACAAGGACTGAGAAGCCACTATTAACTCCCAATATAATTCACGACTGCTCTTATTTTGGTGGGGTATTGGGGATCGGCTGAGGGCCTTGTGAATGCCAGGCAAGTGCTCTACCGCAGAGCCACGCCCTAACCAATGGCCATTTCTTTCTAACCATGATGTCAGAGTCTTTCCAGCCCAAAGATGCTTTTGGGGACTCAGTAGGCTCTTTTCTGTGTCCTCGTCTGTCATTTATGGACACCTGGCTTTAGTAAATGGTACACATGATGACCTGAATTTGATCCCTAGCATCCATGTCAGATCTTGGTGTGGTAGCACGGGTTTGCAATCTCAGTTTGGGGATGGTGGTCTCCCTGGAGTCTCTGGCCAATCACGTTTGTCTAGTTTCTGAGCTCCGGGTTCCTAGTGGAGATCTCTTTCAAACCATAAGGAATAATGCCTGAAGTGGCCCTGTGCCTTCCACACACATGCACACAAAACAGAGCTTCATTTTAATTTAGAATCAGATCAGTGTTTACCATCTCAAGGATGGTCCTAGCAGAAGCCAGCCTATGTATAAACAGACATACCTTCCTACAGTTGAGTGAGGGGGGTTACGGACGCAGGCATAGGCTCACTGAGCCATTTAAAGCCTTCTAAATATCAGACTATTTTCCACAAGTTTATACAATTCTCTCCCTCTACAAGACTCCCAAGGACTCCAGGGCAAATATAGTCATGCACTGAGATTGAGTTTTCTAATGAACCCCAAACTGTCCCTTACAAGTGTAAATTAAACAGAATGTCTGCTTGGTTTAAATATACTCAGACCCCATTGTCAGATCTGCTTCTTTGGGCTGAGTGACAGTTTCATGTAGACTCAAGATGTTTAGCCTCCCCCCTTGGCTTCCGCTTGCCTTTTAATTTAAGGTGAAGGCTAGGAGTTTGGAAGGAGCGTGCACCTTTTGTGAGTTTTGGTGATAGCCAAAGAGGAGCTGGCAGCAGAGATGTAGTTAGTCATTTCTGATCTTGAATGATGGTCTCCTACTTTGTGTACTTGTTGAGTGGGTTCTGTTGGGTCCCTGAAGCTGGACGTCCAGCCTAGATGCGACTCAGATACTGAGTTTGGCCAGAGCTGACAGAGGTCCTTCCTGAACCCTAAGTGGGGCTGAAGGGGCTACAGGTCTAGGAAGAACACATGGAAAACTAACCTTGTGTGTGTTGAGGACAGGGGAAAAATGCAAGAAAATATCTTGCATGTTTTCAGTATTTGAAAAAATTTCAGCCCCTTTAATAGAAACAAATCCAAAAATACATGGGTCATCTTTAAAAGCAAAACCAAGATTCATATTAATAACTGCCAAAATTATAAAATGGTCATAACAGTCATTTTCAAAACTGTACTTATGTGTTTTATGAAAATATATGTATACAAATTTGAAAAAGAGACCCAGTTAATGTAATAACCCATTTCATTTTCCTGTTTTCCAAGTATATGTGTTCTTTAAATATGAATAGTTGTGTTACACATCGTACATACAAATTTATACCTACTCAATGTATCTTTTTATTAGAGTTCAGCAGAGATTCTAGTATCCTAGGTTGGCTTTGAGCTTGTCATGAGAATGACTTTAAACTTCTGATCCTCCTGCCTCCACCTCCCGAGTGCCGGGATTACAAGTGTATGCTACCACAAGTGGTTTTAAGGAAGAAATTCTTATAAATGAAAAGCAGAATAAATACAATGAATTCTCATGTACTCTTCACCCAGTTTAAAATTATCTACTCCTGACTTTCATTATTTTGTTTTAACTTCCATTATTTCCTCCTCCTCCCCCACCTGAAGCAAATCCCAGGGACTGTGACAGTTTTATCATTTATGTGGCAATTTTCAGTACTTGGGGCTAAGGCATTCCCTAAGAGATGGCCAGGACAACTTGTGCATGGGGTAGAAAATACATCTTGGGCTGGAGAGATGGCTCAGAGGTTAAGAGCACTGATTGCTCTTCCAGAGGTCCTGAGTTCAATTCCCAGCAACCACATGGTGGCTCACAACCATCTCTAATGAGATCTGGTGCCCTCTTCTGGTATGTGCAGACATACATGGAGGAAGGATGTTGTATTAATAAATAAATATTTAAAAAAAAAAGAAAACACATCTGCGATCCTGTCTGGATGATAATGGAGTCACACGTGCTGCTTGTGTTTCCCCAGTGGGATTTTACCTTGCTAAACGGAGTGTTGTTTGTTCTCCTCATTGTATTAATGATCTACGGGATTATCGCACTCGTCATACGATCATACGTAAGTGACTGTCATTTTGAACCCTTCAAGACGTACTCAAGATGAGGGAAGTGCTGGCTGTATCAGCACAAGTCCTCTGAGAAGCAGACATGGTATTGGGGCTGAGTATGTAAGGACTTACTAGTATACTTTTATTAATATCTGTGGTGATGGCCACCGAGGACAAGGCCTTGAGCAAGTTACGCAAGCGCCCCACCTCTGAACTTCATCTCTAGCTTTCAGGAAAACGTCCTTGAGATCAGAGACAGCTGCAGTGATTTGCACAGGCCAGCACCTGAACAAAGTGTATTATACTCCTGTCCTGTTACCTGAAAGTGAATTTGGTTCCATCTTGGTTTCATACACAGGAACCTGTGGAGAAGTATGGTAGACAGGAATCTAGTGCATGAATATTGACCCTCTACTTGAGAGAGCAGAAATGGAGAAAGCTATCTATGATATCTTGCTCTGTGGTGTCCAGGAGTGCCTTATATGGAGATCCTGCCTGGGATCTGGAACTGTTTGACCAAAGTTCCCAGGGCAACTTGTTCAAATACTGAACCAAAGCATTTATTTGGAAGCAAGTGGATTTTTTACATATCTTTAGACATGTGTCTAGAAGTTCTGTCTGGGCTTGTTTGATGAATACCAGTGTTTGTTATAGCCAGGGAGGTGATATCTGTATTTTGCTGACAAACTATGACATGGCAAACATGTACCCTGTGTTTTTTGTTTTTGCTGCTTCACTTGCTTGTTTGGTTTTTGAGATAGTCACACTATGTAGCCCTGGCTGGCATGTGACTCACTGTATAGACCAGGTTGGCCTTGAACTCGTGGAGATGATCTTTTTCTGCCTCCCAAGTGCTAGGACTACAAGTGTTTGCTACCCCACCTGGAACAGAGGTGTGTATTAAAAGACTCCAGCTCTGCACAGTCACTCAGTGGGTTCCACAGGTCTTTGCAGTTTCCTGACGTGTGGAGACTGTGTCTCCTATAAGATAGACAGAGCTCACCCCCACTCTCAAAAGTATCTCCAAGCTACAGTTTTACACACGTGTCAGCAGAAGGTTCCTTGTCCTAAGCCCATGCATTTGACATAGGCAACCCTGAATCACCACAAGCTCTCCTGTCGACACTCTAAAGCTCCTGTGCTCCCCAGACAGTGCTGTGGTTCACTGTCTCCCCTCGTTATCAAGGACTTCTTATGGGGAGCTCTGCCAAACTTCTTTGGGACCAGAGTTCATGCTGTGTTTTTCTCAGGTGTTACGTATTACTTTATCCTTTTCCCATGTAAGCCAACCCCTGGGTGTTCAGATATATCCCATATTTCTGATCAGAGAAAATGTCAGTCAGATTGGCTTGGGCAAAAGTCCTGGGAATTTCATGGGTCTGAAAAAGACCTAAGACTCTAGCGCCAGCAATCCACCTTTGTGTATGAGTCTGGGGAGACTAGCCACCTCTACCTGGCCGGTAAAGGCCAAGAATTGCCTGTAGACAGACTGGCATGTCTATGACTTGATGGCAGATCCCAGCAGAGCTCATCTGTGAAATGGACAAGATTCGCTGCTTGTAGTGGTTTCTGCTCTCTGTCCTCACACTCTCCACCTAGGGAGTGTGTGATCATTGAGTTTCCAGATCCACTCAGGCCACAGGCTGGGGGAAGTCAGATTGTCTAGAAAGGTTATGTGGATGGGAGGGAAAGCAGACCCTGTGTAACCCATTGCCCTTGCCCCACCCCCACGGAATTTGAAGCACTCACTTGGGGATCACCAACATCAGCCTGCACGTTGAGTGCTTACTGGAATAAAGTGGTAGATGCTGGTGATTACGTCAAGTAGAGGCTAGCTCCCCCGGACTTGACTGTCCTCATAATGGGTCCTTATTGGAGGGCGGTGGCTCACAGAAGCACTGGTGGCATTCGGGACCTTGAGCTGTGCCTCTTTCTTTCTGTGCAGTGGGTACATCTGGTGTATGCAGCGCTTGGAACACTGATCTTCTCCTTGGTAAGTCTTGATTTTCCTCTGTGCCGAAGAGTATGGTGTACATACTCACCGGCCTTGCGCTGGTCAGTGGTGCCAGCCATTCACTAGAAACATTGCAATAACTCACTCAGCAGAGCTAGGAGGCCTTTCTTTTCTTTTCTTTTGGTTTTTCGAGACAGGGTTTCTCTGTATTGTTTTGGAGGCTGCCCTGGAACTCACTCTGTAGACCAGGCTGGCCTCGAACTCACAGAGATCCGCCTGCTTCTGCCTTCTGAGTGCTGGGATTAAAGGCGTGCGCCACCAACACCCGGCTCTTTTCTTTTTTATTATTTATTTTTTGAATTACAATAATCCTATTTTCCATACCAATCCCAGTTCCCTCTCCCTGCTGTCGTCCCACATCCCACCCCCATGCCCTCCTCGGACAGAGTGCGGCCACTGGGAGGCCTTTCTGATCTCTGAAAGCATCACGTTCCTGGGCTGGGGCTGTATGTAGCTCAAGGGTAGACTGCTTTCCTAGCATAGGACCTTGAGTGTGGCCCCCACCAAAACACAAAGTGCAATGTAGACAGCGTTTACCTTCCCAAATAACATTCAGAAACTTACGATTTATAAATGCCCCGCCAACAGCTCAGGCTTGTCACTGACTCCTACAACTAAATTAACCCGTTTCCATTAATCTACATTCTGCCATATGGTGTTACCTCCCTTTCATCTTGTGCCTCCAGTTTCCTCTCCGTGTCTCCTCTGACTTCACCCTTCTTCCCAGAGTCCTTAGTCTGGCTTTCCCTCCTGCTCTTATCCTGTCCAGCTGTTGGCCAGTCAGTTTCTTCATCGAAGCAATCACAGGGTACAGCCGGATTATTCCACAGCAGTGTAATAACACAGACAGGAAGATATCACCTTCCTTCAAAAAGTCAGTATTTGACAAGAGAAAGGACTGTGTAGAAGCCTCTTATTGTCACAAGAGCGAGTGGCTCCATTTGCTCTGAGCACTCTCTCATTTCTCTATACCAGGAGCTCTGGAGAGAGCTAGCAGAGGCCACTGCAGTGCCCCTGGGAATCTCTTCCTTTCTGTTTAGTCCCTTCTTTTGCTGTCCCTGTTTTACAGTGATTTTAAGATTTTAAAAGTAACACATATGCATATTTTGAAATTCAAACAGCACAGTGGACTGCAAAATGAGAGGTGAAACTCCCCCTTCTCTCCATTTCTCAGAGGTGAACCCTGATAGGAGATTCTAGGAGCCCTGCTGAAGTGTCTAGACACATGGAAGGAAGCATGACCCCCTATACTGAGGTAGTCACACTGTGGCAAATATTTTGCCTTAGCCCTTTACTTGACAATAATGGTCTCTGGGTATTAGTGGAGCTGTGTCAAATGCATTCTTAATTAGGCCTTGTTTTTCCATCTTATGCTTTTATCAACACTTTCTTATAGCATTAAAAAAATGGTGTGTGTGGCATTGTGTATGAAAGTCAAGGCCTCTCACATGTCAGGCGAGGCCTCCCCTACTGACATAGACCTGTCGGGGTTTCAAAGTTCCTTGGAGTTCTTAAAGAAAAAAAAGTGCGTGCGTGCGTGTGTGTGTGTGTGTGTGTGTGTGTTGGGATGCATATGAGGAATCTGAGAAGGACATGGGGTGTTCTGCACTATTACTTCCCCACCCCTAGAATCCAGAATTCCTTTGAGACAGGGTCTCCCACTGAACTTGGACCTGGGCCTGTGGCCAGCAACCCCCCTGTGATTCTCCTCTCTCTGCCCTAGACAGCTCTGGGGTTACAGGCACATGTGTGGCCGTGATTGGTTTTTTTAACACAGGTACTGAGGATTTGATTCTATGTTCTCATGCTTTGGCAGGTCTTTGTACCCACTGAGGCTTCTCAGCCTTTGAGGAAAACAATACAAAGACACATCTTACTATATAGCACTGGCTAGCCTGAAACTTGATATACAGACCAAGTTGACCTCAAACTTAGAGACCTGCCTTCTCTGCCTGAGTGCTACAAGTGTCTTGCCCTGTGGGCAAGAAAAAAAATGATTATAAAGCTTTCTGAACATATTGAGAAATTGAAAGACTAATGAGTATCCCTGTGATCTCCTTTCGTTGTCTTATTGCCCTAACTAAAAGTTCAAGTACTGTGTAGAATAGCTATGGAGAGTACAGACAGTCTTGTCCCTGATTTTAGTGAAATTGCCATTTTATTTGATGTTGGCTATCTGCTTGCTGTGTATTTTCTTTGTTATGTTTAGGTATATACATAAATATACACAATCAGAGATACATGTCCCTTGTATCTCTGATTGTAACACAAAAAATAAAAACCCAGAGATAGATATTGGGGTTCAAGCTTCAAACTGAAGATCAGAAAAGCAAAGCAACCAGCCACTAGCTCTTACCTTTACCTCAGACTGAAAGGAGACCCTGGCTTCACTGAGCCTCATACTGCAATTGCAGACTGCTGCCTCTCCTTAACATGGCTGTAGACTAATTCTCACATAGGACCCCTTGCTTCTTCCTTTTAAACCTCTCGAATCCTGGGCTTAAAGGCGTGGGACCCCAAGTTCTGAGATCACCTTTGTTTGAGCTGTTTCTCTTTTAGACTGTATCAATTTCGTGTAGATCAGTGTGGCCTTGAATTAACAGAGAACTATCGGCCTGTCTCCTGAGTCCTGGGATTATAAAGGTGTGCGTCACCATCACCTAGTTCTATGGCTAGCTAGTATGAGTGCTGGAATTAAAGGTGTGTATCACCACTGCCTGACCTCTATGGCTTGTGGCTAGTTTTGCATTCTGGACCCTCAGGCAAGCTTTATTAAATCATAGATAATGTATCACCACATCTGATCTCTCTAAGACTTTTATCATGAAGGGTGTTGTATCTTATCAGAGGCTTTTTCAGTATCTATCAAGATAATCATGTGTTTTTTTCCTTTCAGTTTGTTTATATGGGGAATTACATCCACATATTTTCATGTGTTGAACTTGATCATGGTGGATGATCTTTTTGGTGTGTTTCCTGGATTCAGTTTGTGTGTATTTTATTGAGTATTTTTGCTTCAATGTTCATGAGGGAAATTGATCTATAATTCTCTTTCTCTGTTGAGTTTTCCTGTAGTTTGGGTATCAGGGTGACTGTGCCCTCCTAAAATGAATTTGGTAATGTTCCTTCTGTTTCATTTTACATAATAATTTGAGGAGTATTGGTATTAGATTGTCTTTAAAGTCTGATAGAATTCTGCACTAAAAACCACTTGACCCTGGGCTTTTTTTTTGGTTGGGAGACTTTTTTTTTTTCCTTTTTAAATTTAAATTAGAAACATGCATGCTTCAAATGTAAATCCCAGCTCCTCCTTCTCCCTCCTAGCCCCACCCCCACCCCCTACCTCCAGCCCAATCCCCACATCTTTCCCCAGGGAGGGTGAGGCCCTCCTTGGGGGAATCTCCAGAGTCTGTCATTTCATCCAGGGCAGGACCTAGGCCCTTCCCCATGTGTCCAGGCTGAGAGAGCATCCCTCCCTCCATGTGGAATGGGCTCCTCCCAAAGTTAATTTGTATGCCATGGTAAACACTGATCTACTACACAAGGCCCCAGAGATTGCTGAGACACTACATTCATGGAGTCTGGATCAGACCCCTGTTGGCCTCTTAGCCATCAGTCTGGGGTCCAAGAGCTCCCCCCTTGTCCGGTCAGCTGTCTTTGTGGGTTTCACCAGCACAGTCTTGACCCCTTTTCTCATCACTCCTCCATTTCTGTCACTGGGTTCCTGTGGGTCATTTCACTGTTTAGCTGCTTCCATCAGTCACTGGATGAAGGTTCATGTTTGTCTTTTTGTGACTGGGTTACCTCACTCAGGATGGTTTCTTCTAGTGTCATCCATTTGCCTGCAAATTTCAAGATTCCATTGTTGTTTTTTTTTCCATTGAGTAGTACTCCATTGTGTAAATGTACCACATTTTCTCTATCCACTTTTCAGTTCTGGGGCATTTAGGTTGCTTCCAGGATCTAGCTATTACAAATAATGCTGCTGTGAACATAGTGGAACAGACATCCTTATTGTATGATTGGGCATCTTTGGTTGGGAGACTTTTAATGATGGCTTCTGTTTTCTTTGGTGTTATAGGTCTATTTAAAGTGTTTACCTGATCTTGATATAACTTTGATAACTGTCCATTTCTTTTAGATTTTCCAATCCTGTGGAGTATAGATTTTTGCAGAATGACCTAACGACTCTTTGGATTTTCCCAATGTCTGTTGTTATGTCCCTTTTTTCATTTCTGATTTTGTTAATTTGGATATTCCTTCTGTGCCTAGTTAGTTTGGATAAAGATTTGTCTATCTTGTTGATTTTCTCAAAGAACCAACAGTTCATTTCATTGATTCTTTGTTTCTATTTTATTGACTTTTAACCCTGAGTTATTTCCCACAATCTACTCCTCTTGAGTGTGTTTGCTTCTTTTTGTTTTAGAGCTTTCAGGTGTGCTGATAAGTTGCTAGTGTGAGATCTCTCTCTCTCTCTCTCTCTCTCTCTCTCTCTCTCATGAAGGCACTTACTGCTGTGAACTTTCCTCTTAGCACTGCTTTCACTGTTTCCTGTAAGTTTGGGTATGTTGTGCCTTCATTTTCATTGAATTCTAGGAAGTCTTTAATTTTATTCTTTACTTCTTCCTTGACCCAGTGGTGATTCAGTAGAGACTTTTTCAGTTTCTGTGTGTTTGTAGTCTTTCTGTTGTTTTCAAAATCTAGCTTTTTAAAAAATAAATTTTATTTAAATGAAAAACAATCTTATTTTACATAACAATCCCAATTCCCTCTCCCTCCTGTCCTCCTATGGCCCCCACTGACCCCCATACCACACCCCGAACCACTCCCCAGGGAGGGTGAGGCCTCCCCTGAGGGATCATCAAAGTCTGTCACATCATTTGGGGCAGGACCTAGGCCCTCCCCCATGTCTATGCTGAGAGAGTATCCCTCCATAGGGAATGGGCTCCCAAAGTCCATGCACTAGGTATAAATATTGGTTCCACTGCCCAGGCCTCCCAACTGACACCCACGTTCAGGGGGACTGGTTTGGTCCTATGCTGGTTTCCCAGTTGTCAGACTGGGGTCTATGAGCTCCCACTTGCTCAGATCAGCTGTTTCTGTGGGTTTCCCCAGCATGGTCTTGACCCCTTTGCTCATCACTCCTCCCTCTCTATAACTGGATTCCAGGAGTTCAGCTCAGTGTTTAGCTGTGAATCTCTGCTTCTGCTTCCATTAGGTAATGGATGAAGGCTCTAGGATGGCATTTAAGGTAGTCCTCATTCTCATTACAGGGGAAGGGCATTTAAGATAGCCTCTCCACTATTGCTTAGATTGTTAGTTGGGGTCAACCTTGTATATCTCTGGACATTTCCCTAGTGCCAGATTTCTCTTTAAACCTATAATGGCTTCCTCTACCCAGGTTTCTCTTTTCTTGCTCTCCTCTATTCTTTCCCGAACTCAATCTTCCTCATTCCTCATGTCTTCCTCCCTTCTCCTGTTCTTCACCCTCCCACCCCGTGCTCCCAATTTGCTCAGGGGATCTTGTGCATTTCCCCTTCTCTGGGGAGCATGTATGTTTTTCTTAGGGTCCTCCTTGTTTCCCAGCTTCTCTGGGGTTGTGGATTGTAGGCTGGTAGTCCTTTGTTCTATGTGTAATATCCACTTCTGATTCAGCTGTTAAAGGCTAAGCTCACAACCAAAAATATAAAATGTAGCTTTAATTTATGGTTGTCTGGTAGGATCCAGGGGTCATTTCAGTTTCCTTATGTCTGTTGAGACTTGCTTTGTGACTGAGTATGTGGTCATTTTTGGAGAAGGTTCCATGGGGTGCTGAGGAGGTGTATGTTTCTGTGTTTGAGAGAAATGTTCTGTACACATCTGTTGGGTCTGTTAATTCCATTATTTCTCTGTTTAGTTTCCGTCTGGACAAACTGTCCATTGGTGAAAGAAGGGTGTGAATGTCTCCCACTACTAACAGGGTTTGGTGTGTGATTTGAGCTTTAGTAATGTTTCACAAATGTGGGTGCCCTTGCACTTGGGGCATAAGTGTTCAGAATTGAGACATCATGTTGGTGGATTTTTCCTTTGATGGGTATGAAGAGTCCTTCCCCATGTCTTTTGATTGATTTTGGTTGGAAGTCTAATATCTGCTAGATATTAGGATGGCTACATCAGCTTGCTTCATGGGTCCACTTGTTTGGAACCAACCCTTTACTCTGAGGTAATGTCTATCTGTGATATTGAGGTGTTTCCTGTGTGCAGCAGGATGGATCCTGTTTTCGAATTTGTTATGTTAGCCCATGTCTTTTTACTGGGGAATTGAGCCAACTTATATTAAGATATATTAATGCCAATGATTGTGAATTCCTGTTATTTTGATGATGGTTGTGGATGGTGTTTCTCTCTCTCTCTCTCTCTCTCTCTCTCTCTCTCTCTCTCTCTCTCTCTCTCTCTCCCTCTGTGTGCATGTACACACCCATGTGCTCATTCCTCCCTTCATTTGGTTTTGCTGGTATGAAATTATTTATTTCCCGTGTTTTCTTGAGTGTAGTAAACCTTCTTGGGTTGGAGTTTTCCTTCTAGTATTTTCTGTAGGGCTAGATTTATGGATAGATATTTTTTAAATTTGTTTTGTCATGGAATATCTTGTTTTCTCCATCTATGATCACTGGTAGTTTTGTTGGGTACAGTAGTCTGAGATGGCATCTGTGGTCTTTTAGAGTCTGCAGCACATCTGTCCAGGCCCTTCTGGCTTTTAGAGTTTCTGTTTTGAGAAGTCAGGTGTGATTCTAATAGGTCTGCCTTCATATGTTACTCGGCCTTTCCCCCTTGCAACTTTTGAGTCATTCTTTGTTCTGTACATTAGTGTTTTGCTTATTATATGTCGGGGTAGGGAACTTTCTTTTTGGCTCCAATTTATTTGGTGTTCTGCAAGGTTCTTGTATATTTATTAACATCTTTCTTTAAGTTAGGAAATTTTTCATCTATGATTTTGTTTAAAATATTTTCTGGGCTGGGCTGGAGGGATGGCTCAGTGCTTAAAAATATTTTCTGGGCCTCTGAGCTGGGAATCTTTTCCTTCTTCTATTCTTATTATTCTTAGGTTTGTTATTTTCATAGTGTCCCGTATCTCTTGGATGTTTTTTGTTAGGAACTTTTCAGATTTAACATTTTCTTTGATCGGTGTATCAATTTCTTCTATTTTACTGTACTGGCTGGTTCTGAGTGTCAACTTGATACAAAGCAGAGTCATCAGAGAGGAAGGATCCTCAGTTGAAGACTTGCTTCTATGAGATCCAGCTGTAAGTCATTTTTTTCAATCCGTGATTAATGTTGGAGGGCCCAGCCCGTGGTGGGTGGTGCCATCCTTGAGCTGGTGCTTTTAGCTTCTATAAGAAGTGGGACTGAGCAAGCCATTAGAAGCAAGCTAGTAAGCAGCTTCCCTCAATTGCCTCTGCATCAGCTCCTGCCTCCAGAATCTTGTCCTGTTTGAGTTCCTGTCCTGACTTCCTTCAATAATGAGCAGCAACATGGAAGTATAAACCAAATAAACTCCTTTCTCTCCAATTGCTTTTTGGTAACGATGTTTCATTGCAGCATTAGAAACCCTAACTAAGACAGGTATCTTTTATACCTGTGATTCTCTCTTCCGTCTTTTGTACTCTGTTGATGCTTGCATCTGTAGTTTCTATTCACTTACCTAGATTTTCCATCTCCAGGGTTCCATCAGTTTATGTTTTCTTTATGGCTTCTATTTCCATTTCAGGTCTTGAACAATTTTATTCATTTCCATTTATCTGTTTGTTTGTATTTTCCTGAATTTCTTTAAGGGGTTTATTCATGTCCTCTTTAAGGGCTTTTATCACCTTCATAAGGTTGGATTTAAGGTCTTGCTGGGCATTGGTGGCGCACACCTTTAATCCCAGCACTCGGGAGGCAGAGGCAGGCGCATCTCTGTGAGTTCAAGACCAGCCTGGTCTACAAGAGTGAGTTCCAGCCTCCATAGCCACAGAGAAACCCTGTCTCAAAACAAACAAACAAACAAACAAACAAACAAAAAAGTCTTACAGATTCAGATGGGTCACCCAGCACCAAATAGTGGAGGACACTGGTGTGTGTGTGTGTGTGTGTGTGTGTGTGTGTGTGTGTGTTCTATGACCATCTGGCTAGGGGTTAGCTGTGTCTTAGATGGTACCCTGAGCCTTTGTCCCGTTGGAGGGGACAAGGTGCAACTGGATGCCTGCTCCTTTTCCTCTCTCATTTTCCTGCCTGCCCTTGGACACACTCCTAACCACCGGTCATGCTGTGGAATGGTTGAGTCATTGTCTCTCTTATGAGGAGTGCTAAGATTAATTTAGGGATCTGTTGGAGTAAAGGAGAAGTCCTTGTTCCTTCATCAGGGCTCCAGAGTGATATAAGGATGCTCAGATACTGAGGCCTTTTGTGTGAGCAAATGTCCTAGTTTGCTCGGAGCAGAGTTCGTTTTGCCTTGCACGGATGCTGGAATGAGACTTGGGGAAGGGACTCAACCAGCCAGGTGAGGCATACCCCAGCTCATGTTGGACTCCCTTCCCTGTAGGTCAGGTTCAGTCCTGCCTATCCCACCTCCCATGAGCTAACCCTGTTGTGCATCTGTGTGATGTTTCACAGTAACTTCCATCCTGTCCTTCCCTCTGTTCTGACATTCCTGTTTTAAGCCTGCCTGGGAATCAACAACCAAGGACAGTGGGTATCTGAATTTCTTGGGACAGGTTTCACAAAGTGAATACCATTCTAAGATGGGTTATTAAAAAAAGTTTCAAACATTCCAATATTTATGTCAGGCCAGCGTTGGTGTGTTCATGGCACTGGGCTCTGAGTTTAGTCTGCATCCAGGAGGTTCAGGAGGTGCATCCAGTTCTTTTCTTCCTGTCAAGCTTCTCCTGCAGCCCAGATCTTCACCTTGCATGAGGCTTGAGGGCAAGAGAGGGCTCTGACTTTTTTCATGCCAATGTTAAAGTCTCCATAGTTTTTATTTATTGCAGCTGAGCTGACACATGCTCTCAGAAGGGACCGTGCAGTCACATAGGAGTACCCCCTTCTCCACTTTCTGTTTCAGGCATGCGGATGCCACCCCAAATGGCTATCACTCAAGGCTTTTAAAACTCAGTCCTTGGGATGGGGTTAAAAAAAAACACAGTCCTTACTCTGAGTCTAGGAAGCCTCTTTGGTTTGGTTTAATAAGGTGTGGAGAGGTCATGGATACAGTACCTTGTAGTGACGTGCCCACCTGTCTGTCTGATCACATCATTGACAAAAGATGCAGAGGAATAATCCAGATTTGGTACTGTGGGCTTCAGGAGGATGAAATACTAGGATGACTTCATCCATGGCTGAAGCTCTAATAATATATTCAGTCACAACTGACCTCCAACATCTTTTTACTTCTTCCTTCCCTCCTTTCTCCCTCCTTTCTTCATTCCCTTCCCTATCTTTTGATAGAGAGTTTTGTGTAGCCCAGGCTAGCCTCAAACTTGTGTAGTTGATGACGATGACATTAGACTTCTGACATTCCTGTCTCTACCTCCAGAGTGCTAGAATTGCAGGCATGCACTACCAAGTCAAGTTAGTGTTGTAGGGGGGTTGGAATCCAGGGCTTTATGTATGCCATAATAAGTACTCTACCAATTCAGCTATATCCCTGTGGTCTAGTTTTCCTTGATAAATAACATTCCCCACATGATTTAGGACACTTACTTGGTAGATACACACAATCTAAATAGATAATTCTTCCTTGTCTTCAAGTATCTGGTGATGGACATTCAGATGATGGTTGGGGGACGCTACCATTATGAGGTAGACCCTGAAGAATACATTTTTGCTGCTCTGAATATCTATGTGGACATCATCAACCTTTTCATTTTCATTTTGGACCTGATTGTACGATAGCCAGTGGCCAAGGCTGGCTCATGCTGAGAAGAGGGAAGAGTGTCGCCAGGCCAGGCCCAGACACAGCAGTGACCACTCATAGGCCCTTTCCATAGTTAGTTATTTAGTTATTTATTTGCTTATTCATTTATGTCAAAAGAAGTGAAGAATTCAGTAGATGGTAGCTGTTGTTGTTACTCTTTTTATGTCCCTTGCCATGTGGCAAACCTTCTTATTCATATGGATACATTTCAGATTCCTATACATTCAGAAAATAAATGAGTATCCTAATCCTAGGTTCCCACTGCTTTGTTGAAGTTTTCTAGGCACAATTTAAAGCTGTAAACACCTCTACACAAATAAAGCTAATTATAGAAAACCCCAAATACATCTTTTCTCTTCATTTGAGTATTCTATGGGGGATTTTTTAGCATGTTATCTTTTTTCTTTAACAGTAGTACAAACCAAAATATTTTGCCTTTCTCCTACTTTCCACAGGCAGACTGGAGAGAATTCTATCAGTTGGGGAGGTGAAAGGCTCAGGACAGAGTGGTGGCTACATGCCACCTGGTACCTCTGTGCCTGACTCAGGGGCCACCTCCTCTGAGTGCCTGGGCCAACTGACCTTATAACATCTTAAATGTCATTTTAAATTGTCATAAACCATACATAAAATTTCCACTTTAGCAGTTTCTCTGTACAGTTAAGTAGTATTGAATCTATTTTTGTGAAACCAATCTCTGCAACGTTTCCAGTTGGAAAACTGAAGCTCTATACCCACTGTATGAGCCAGGGTTCTTTAGGAACAGAAGTTATAGGATGGATCCATCCATCCATCCATCCATCCATCCATCCATCCATCCATCCATCCATCCATCTGTGAGGTGGGCTTTGAGGTCTCTTTTGCTCAAGCTTCCCTTGGTGTGACAGTCAGTCAACTTCCTGTTGCCTCAAGATGCAGCACTCTCAGCTCCAGCACCACGTCTGCCTGTACACCGCCATGCTCCCCTTCATGATCATAATGGACTGAACCTCTGAAACTATAAGCGAGCCACCCCAATTATAGGTTTTCTTTATAAGAGTTGCCGTGGCCATGGAGTCCCTGCACAGCAATAGAACCCTAACTAAGATACTATCTATGTATCTATCTATCTATCTATGTATCTATCTATCTGGGTATCCTACAGACTGTGGTCCAGCTAGTCTAATAATGGCTGTCTCCCAAGAGAAGATCCAAGAACCCAGTGGTTGTTCATTCCACAAGGCTCCATGACTCAGCTGGTGTTTGGTATATGTCAGGATCCCAAAGAAGTAGGTTTCAGTGCCCACAAAGGAATGGACTTACCAGTAAAAGAAAGCAGGCAAAGAGAGCAAGCTTCCTTCTTCCACGTCCTTTATACAGGCTGCCAGGAGAAGGTATGACCTAGATTAAGGGTATAGTTTCCTACCTCAATGGACCGAGATTAAAAGTGGGTCTTCTGACTCCAAATGATTTCATTCAGAAAATAATCCCTCACAGGTGAGCCCAGCCATTTGGGTTTTAGTTAATTCTAGATTAAGTCAAGTTAACAAGCAAGAAGAGAAATCACAAGTCCACGCTTGTCAACTTGACACACAAACGTATCTCCTGATGTCACACTTAATTTCCAAATGAAAACAATAACCAGGTTATAATTGTACCTAACATGATATAACTAACCCATGTATAATTGCGAATGCATTATATATTTAACCAGGTCATAATCATGCCCACTATGATATAAGTGCAACCACAAACATATTACAAAATTTAGAATAGGTGGTAATGTCCATTGAAGGAAAAAAAATTCTTTTGGTATCTCAAAACTTAACCACTGACAGATTCTCTTAATTGATGTTATATCACATGATAAAGAAATTGAAGAAAGAAAACACAAATATCTATAAGAAAGCCTTCTTAACAAAATGCAACAGAAACCTTCATGCCAGCTATAATCCTTGTGTCTGCAACTGGCCACGTGGCCTTAGCTGGTATTTATAGCTACCTCCCTCTACTACCCTTTCGGCATTTTTTCCACCCTCAGCAATCACTTTAGCTGGTCTTGGCTCTTTTCCTGCAGGAGTGACCCACACCCTCATTCCTGAGGGTATATGCCCTTTGTCACCCAACTTGGGTTAGGTTGTTGTAGTTTCCCATTAACTTTAATCACAGGACATGGTAGCAGCAAGGGATGCCCTAAAAGGATCTGCATTCCAAACATAAATAATCCTTCTTACTTCTAGAGTGGAGAAGCAATCTGATTTCCCTTTGTTAATCCGGATCAATCACCCGTTCTAACACTGTTATTCCTTCCTTAGCCTGTTGGCTCAAAGGTATCTGAAGTTCAGAGCTCCCAGGGGAAAGTCTGAGTTTCCAGGTCAATAGAATATCTGTTGTATCTCCTGGCAATAGCATCCCCTGCTCTGGAACCAAAACTTGCAGGCCAGGGGAACTTAATATCACAGGAATAAGAAGTAAAAAAAAAAAACTAGTGGGTCACTAGTGGTGATAATGAGTGGAACTATTTTTCACCCCTTCATTCCTGGACCCAGGGGTCCTATCTGTGGGAAAAACCATACCATATATTGGACAGAGATTCAAAGCCTTCTGGAAAACCCTGGCCCAGTCATCCATGCTGCTGCCATCTAATTGGTGCTTTAACTGTGTCTTCAAAAGGCCATTTTATCTATCAGGCCAGCTTCTTCGGGATAGTAGGGAGCATGGTAAGACCAGTGAATTCCATGATTGTGGGCTCACTGTTGCACTTCTCTGGCTGTGAAGTGAGTCAGAAGCAATACTGTGTGGAATACCATGACGACGGATAAAGAATTCTGTATGTCCACAGATATTCATTTTGGCAGAAACTTGCCTGAAGGAAAGGCAAACGCATAACCAGAATAAGTATCTACTTCAGTATGGACAAAGTGTTGTTCTCTTTACGGAGGAAGTGTAGTCCAGTGTAGTCAACTTGCTACCAGGTCGCTGGCTGGTCACCCTAGGAAGTGGTCTGATATCTGGGGCTCAGTGTTGGTCTCTGCCATCGGCAGATCTGGCGCTCAGAAGCAGCTGTAGCCAGGTCAGTCTTGATGAGTGATAGTCCATGTTGTCAGGCTCATGCATAGCCCTATATCTGCCACCATGGCCACTTTGTTCATGGTCCATTGGGCAATGACAGGAACGAGGCTGACTGTCCACAGAATGGGGCTTTATCATCGAACCCCTCCTCAGCTGAAGTCAGCTTTTGGTGAGCATCTACATGGGACACAAGAATCTTCATACCCTTTGCCCATTTGGAGAGATCTATCCACATACTTCTTTCCCAGATGTCTTTCACACTTCTAATCATGCTCTTTCCAAGTCCCTGACCATCCATTGGCTGTGGCTCAGGAGACAGTGAGTAATCACACATCTGGCCATTTTTCCTAGACCATGTGTCCTGCCCAAAGTTCTGCCCACTGGGAAGATTTCCCTCCTCCAGTGTCTTTCGGGGTTGTAATGCTGCAGCTGTCCACTGCTGGGTGGTGCCCGCATAGCGTGCAGAACCATCAGCAAAACAGGCCCCAGTCTTCTCTTCCCCAGTCAACTGATCACAGGGCTCACCCCGTGAAGCTGTAGGTGTGTGCTTGGCACGGGGTGGCATTGTCATGGGAGCAGAGACCATAGGCATTTGGGCTACTTCTCCGTGTAACTTGTTTGTGCCGTCATGAAGTTCTCAGACCCAACCATGTATATACACCTCCGTTGGACAATAGATCGATGCTGTGCACATCCTACCTTATGGCTTAGTGGGCCAAATAACACCCAGCTCATGATAGACAGCTCAGGTCCCAGAGCAGCAGGCCAAGAACTGTCTCTCAAAGGGAGAAGAGTTGGCTGTAGATGATGCTTCAAATCCCAAAGGTCTCTTCTGTGGTTCACCTGAAAAAGGCTCCGAAAAGCGCGTCTATCTGTCACTGATACCCCAGGTACCATCAGGTCTGCTGGATCATGTGGTAGAGTGTAAGGTGTTGCTTACTGGGCCAATGTTACCTGATCTGGCCTGCCAAGGAATTAAATCTCAGGCTCAGGATGGAGGGGCCACAGCACGACTAAGGCCGTGACCATTGTTACCGAGAACAGACTTTGTATACCCTTATCAGAAACAGAATACAGTGGCAATGCCAGAATCAATACAGTTGTAGTTGCCAGGATACAATGACATTTGCAAGCAAAACAGGGTACACACTATCGATGTCTAAGACTTAATTTTCTATCAAGCTTCTTTGGTTCCTTAACTACTTCTTTTTTTTTTTTGGTTTTACGAGACAGGGTTTCTCTGTATTGTTTTGGAGGTCCAGCCTGGCCTCGAACTCACAGAGATCTGCCTGCCTCTGCCTCCCTGTAAAGAGAGGCCTTCCCACCAGCCTGGTTCCAGAGCCGCATCAGTCCCAAATAAACACACAGGAGGCTATATTAATTATGAAGCTGTTGGCCTTGCTTGTTTCTTACTGGCTAGCTCTGACTTAAGTATTTATCCCATAATTGTTAATCTAAGTATTTCTCTTACCGGAGAAATTTCCGGGCTTCTTATCCCTATGGCGTTACATCTTGACTCCCTGTGTTTCTCCTACCCAGAGTCCTCCTGGACTCCTAGTCTCACCTATCTTACTTCCCTATTGGCCAACAGTGCTTTATTGACATATACACAGGACTTCCCCCATCACCTCCCGAGTGCTGGGAATAAAGGTGTTTGCCACCACTGCCCGGCTGGTTCCTTAACTTCTAAAGGGACATACAAAGTGGCCTCGACACTTCACTACCTGAGGGAGTGCCTTGGATTTTCAGGAACTGAAAGACGCACATGCCCCAGGAGCCACAGACTGTAACCTGAAAAACCTATGATCCATGCCTCTCAAGGCAGCTAGGCCAAGCCGCTCCATGGTTTCCTACAGTAGATTAGCCTACATAGCACCCTGGACCTGTTGAAGAGCCCTCTCCTGTTCGAGGCCCCACTTAAATCTAGCAGGTTTCTGAGACCCTGGGTACGTGGGCCAGAGTGACACACCCACGTGAGGAATGTGCTGTCTCCAGAGTCCAAGTGGGTCCACTAAACATTGTGTTTCTTTCTTGGTGGTGAGAGGGGCCAGGTGCAATAACTTATCCTTCATCTTAGAAGGAATATCTCTGCATGCCGCACACCACTGGACTCCTACGAATTTCACTGAGATGAAGGCCCTTGAATTTTGGTTGGATTTATTTCCCATTCTCTGATGCACATGTGTGTTACCAACAAGTACAAAGTGGTTGCTGCCTCCTGATCACTTGGTCCAATCAGCATAATGTTAATATGGCGCACCAATGTGATATTTTTATGGAAGAGAA